GGAGAACATTCATCAGAAATGAATCTATCTGAAAACTAAGTTTCTTTTCCTAAGTAGATATCAAATTAATGAAATAATAAATTTAATCTGCAATTATTCATCTTATCAACTTTTATGATTTTTTGAAAATATTTTATAAACATCAATTTCATGTTTGCATGATGCAATGCTTTAATGACACAAAATACATGCAGAGAATGTAAAGTTTTTTGATACATATTAAAACTAGATGAAATTATGAATAATAGCAGTAATAAAGCTAGAAGATGCATAAAAACTAACTAGATTTTAATAGGAAAAAGAACATTTCCACAATAGTTGATATGTTCATGATAAAAAACCTCATGTTTATTTATTTGAACATATCAATGAACTCCATTTCATTACTTGCGGAGAATACTTCAACTGTTAATTATTTTATTTAAGTTATTTCATGATGATAGCGATTATGATACATGTTTGCAGACAACTTCAAATTTCTAACTATGAAGTTGAATAATCGCAATTCAATGATCAAATATAAGCAAACAATTTAATTCACTAAAGTTGCAGTCGATTTACATTTTAAAGGGAAATATTTAGAATTATTGCAAACCTTCATGACCAAAACAATTCTACCGAAATTAATTCTCCACAACTATTCTATAGTTGATGATTGTTTTTGTTATTTTTCACTTCTAAATTGAATGAAAAAAAACGTCAAAATATTGTTCTTCTCTTTTCTTACCATGACAAGTTTTTCTGACGTTCTTGAATTGGTAACGACGAACAGAAGGAAAACAACGTTGAGCTGTCTTTTGTTTTATTTTTTATTTGAAATGATGAAGAATGAAATATTCGGACGTTCATTTGTCCAGTGAGTTTAATATAGAATTGAATGAATTGGTTTGTAGTAGAATCTTTTTTTCTGCAGCTAGAAATTAATATTCAGTTTAGAAATCATAAACCATGCTGCAAGTACTAACATTTTTCTCTTAATTGGAATTTTGAAGAGCACTGCAACGAGATGACATTTTCTAATTAAACACAAGGGTGACATTTTGGTGATTGGAAATCTATATCTGCATTTGACAATTCTTTGATATCTATGTAAATTATTTAAAAATCTTAAAAGAAATATTATTCCGGCATTCATTTTAAGTTTTCTGATTAAACACCAATAATTATAATTCTATAATATAATAATTATTTCGACAATAATTGAATGATTCAGCAATTTAAGCGAGGACGCAATTAATGAACTAATATAAAAGAACTGACAGCGTAGAAGCGGAACACGAAATCAATTTTTCAATTAAAAATAAACACCAATTAATTTCCTACCTTCAAACTAGGAAGTAGATATTCACCATCTCTCCTGCTCTTTCATTCGCTAGCATTTTCATTCCGGTATGCATTAAATTGAATCATCAAAGTGCCTAGATAATTAAAACTATAAACTCAAATGAGAGCAAATGGAAATTTTCCAACGCCGCCCATTCCTTTGTTTAGTCTTCCTGCAACCCCTAGAAAATCTCTGATTGAAATTGAAAAGAGAGACTAAAAGTTTTAATTAACAAATTCCGAGAAATTGCCTCGTTTCAATGAAAATATAAAAGAAAACTTTTTAGTAGCTTAGTTTTGTAAGTGAAGGAACTTTAAAATTACCAACAAGATGCATGCCAAACTTTTCTTTAAACTGAAGACGTACAAAAACTTTTTGAGTACATTTCTTGCTTATGCATTGCTGTTTCACACAACAAAGTTGAGTAGATATATGAAAGCTAAGATGAGAAATGAAGATAAAGTTTCTTGGTGGAATTGCTTTACCCCAAACAAAAGACAAAGGAAGGAAATTAAAAGATAAATGAGAGTCGAGAAATTTGCTAATAAATCTGTGACGAAGTTTCATGACAATCAGCAATCATCAAACTATTTATGCCTCAAGAATGTCTTAAAAATACCAATAAGCGAATAAAAAATCTGACGAAGCTGGAAGGAGATCTAATTTAGGATTCTCAGAAAGATAGTCATGAATCGGTTGACCTCGAAAAAAGTGAACAAGTGAAAATCGATAGAATATTTTTATGTCGATGTCTAATAAATTCATACAAAATAAAACACGAACAGAACCAATTAAATTCAGCAACCTAATCGACGGACGCTATAAACACAAAACTAATTAATTTTCCATTCCAACGCTTCGCATTCTCTCAATAATCACTCTCGTTAACCATCAAATAAATTTTAATTAACATGTTCAGCGACATGTAGCAGCGGATTGGAACAGAAAAAAAAAACAAAAACCATGAAGAAAACAATGATTTTTCATCCTCATTTCTCGCTCCACATTCCGCCCAGCTCACAGCTAAAAAGCTGTTAGCAATTTTATTACCCCGAATAATTTTCTAATTTCTACCCTCGACTTGTTGTTGTATTTTAACATCACGACGGTAAAGCAACAACTAAACACAACTTCTTTTAAATGAGCCTCGAAATTTACTTTCCACTGCACATCAAAACTTGTTGGAAAACTCGTCCATTTTTCACGCGAGCCAATCACGTTGCATTAACATGAGAATAAGCTAAAAATGGGTGTGGCTTGTTCAATGTGTGAGTGAAATGAAGAGAGAAGAATCATTAACATCATCATCATTAACTCCGATACTTGCTGTGTGATATTTACAAGATTCATACAGCTTGTCGTTCACTTAACATTCTGTCGTTTCGTAAGACGGTTCGTTACGCGAGAGGATAAACAAACTGTTTCTACTTTCTCCTATCGAATAAAAATTATTATAAAATTCATAAAGTCGTGAAAAATTAATACGAAGTGGGAAAATATTTTTTTTTATACTACGGTTATTCTTTTTGAGAGTTCGGCCGATGACGGTTGATTGTATACATTTTGAAATTGTTGAACTTGTGTTGATGCAAAGAAATCATTAATATCATCATTTTTCATCGTGTCAGATCGTCACATCATACATCATCTTGAACTGAACCTGGGAACAGTGAACAAGATAATTTTACCATTAAACATTTAACCATTTTAATCGCGATTTTATACTGAACCAGATCGGATGCAAATTGGAATTAGTCCTAAAAAAGTCAGAAAAAATAACTCTTAAAACTCATTCATAGGAAAATTTTCTTGGTGAAAATAAAATTGGAAAATAATTTTAAAAAAAAATTGAAAAATTAAATTCAATTAAAATAATTTTATTTTAGTGAAAATAAATTTAAAAAATTTAATTATAGTGATTTTTATTAAAAAGAAAAATAAAGATGATAAATATAAAATATTATAATCGAGTATAATTATGCAACGAAATAAATAGTGAGACAAAAAAAGACCCGTCGGCGACGTATAGCTTGAAAAGTTTTCTATAGTTTGAAGTATTTCAATTCAGAAAAAAAATAAATTAAAAAAAATCATGAATTTGGATTCGTTAATTTCGTCGTCGGGTATCCGTTCAGAGACATTGACTGCTACACTGAATCGTCACAATTATCCAACAGCAAATCAAACAATGCCTCAACGTTCGCCTTTCGCTATACAAGAATTGCTTGGCTTAAACGATTCATCACGACAGACATCGAATGGAACGTCCGCAAACACTGGAAGTCAAAGTATTTCAAGTGGTTCTTCAGTGCCCTCAGTTGCACCATCGATTTATTCACAAACAAATCCAGTTGATCACCATCAAATGCAAATGGCATCAAGAATGGCCTATTTTAATGCACATGCTGCTGCTTTTAATGTCGCTGCTGCATTTTTACCCCATAATATGGCAGCGTCTGGAACTGGCCCACTAGGCCTTCATCCACAAGCAACTGGTAAGTTGAATAGTAATTAACAACTGTTTATTTATTGCATTAATAAGAAAAATAAATATTAAACGCGTGTTGGAATAATTAAGTGAATTAATTATACTGAGCCTTATTTTCTCTATCAAACTTCTGTCAATACCGTTGAGATTCTCTTAAGTGCTTCAAACAACTGTAAAAAGCATTAATCTTAGTGTTTTCTTTATGTTTAAAGAACCGTTCAATGCAAATTTCATAAAAAAAGAAATCAGGGAAGCAGTGTTAATTCATTTTTTATTTTTTTCAATGCTAATAAAACAACAGTCCAAGTGTTGCCTTTCAACCCCTTGCTTCATTCATTAGCTATTTCATCTAAAAACAAAACATTGCAGTGATTTATGTTCGTTGTGTAAAAATATAAAAAAGAGAAAACAGCAAAAAACAATCTTTTATAATTCTTATTCACGTCGCATTCAATTAGCAAACGGTGTTTGATCGTGTTGGTAATGTTTTTTTACTATTGTTAAGAAAAAAAAAAGATTTTTTTATGATATGAGAACAAAAACGCTTAGAAACTTCGCGACTAATTAGTTACCAGAAACAAGAAAATATTCCTTGAAGCACAGCTTCCTGATGGAATGTCGATGGAGACAATTTTCATACAACCATTCAAGTGATGGCACTTAGAATGTCAACAACTAATTTCTCTTCTTCAATTTGTTTTTCACGCTTTCTCGTTATCTGTGATCTCCTTTGAACGTCGTATAATTTTAAAGAAGTGAAAGGATTCTTTAAGGATATTAAGGGAACATTATTTTAATAGAGAAGTGACGTATATCAAGAATGAAATCTGCAAAATATGCGGGTCAATTCATTCTTTCTTTAAAAATGTAACTTGATATCGTAGGTAAATTATTTATTAGGCAATTAATAAATGATTTCACGGTTATGTGGTCACAAAATCGCTTGCTTTTGTTCCAAGATATTTCTATGCTTAGGTGTCGGATTACGCAATTAATATAGCATTAAATAAACTTGAATTCCTTATTGTGATGAAAAAAAAAATATTCATTAGCTGTGGAATGTTGTGCAGGGATGTTGGATTACTTTACAATAATAAATTTAATTACGAACGAACTTAAAGAAGCAATAAAAATTCCCAACTGTCACTATGAATACTTCTGAGTTGGAAAACACCAAATGTCAGTGAATCTCAATCCGATTTTCATGAACTGGTGGAAAAAGTATTTTAAAAATTTAAAAGAATTTTAATTTAAATGTTTTATTTTTTGGCTTATTTTTACAATTTTATATTTTTATCGATTTTTGGTTTAAATGTTCCCGGAAATCATTCGTAAATTTTTCGTTTTTAATATGAATTGAGCACGGGAGTTATTCTTTTACATTGTAGGTGTTAAGCTGTGATATTGTCGCGTTTGTTTTCCACATGGAAAACTCTTTTTTATTCATACTTTTTTTCTTTCGTTACGATATAATAACTCAACATCATCATCTCGAACATTGCAAGAGCCTCAATGACTTTCATTCTCCCAGTTCTGTTGTTGAGATTTCATTTCTCTGAAAAGCTGTATGAATAATCAGAAAATTAATGTACGTAGAAAGAATTTAGTAACGTCATTAACAATCAATCCCTTCAAGTTTTAATGCAACCTTGAGTATCACGTCCCCAAGATGTAGTACGAAAAAAAATAATCTCTTTTCATATTTTTTCATGGTGAGGCTAACAGTTAGAAAAAGCTTATCATTAGGCTAATCAGCGAAAACATATTAACACGACCATACAAAAATTTTAAAAGAAAATATGTAATGAAAAATTGTACATTGTACACACATCCATACAGAATAATACACATAAATGCTATGCTGCATAAATAATTCACGCACACATGCATGTTGACAATTTTGTTCATGGAGTTACGTTTAGAATAAGAAACAACTTTAATGAAAATGAAAAGGGGTAGAAGGGAGAATAATCTCAACATAAATACACTGAAAAAAATATTAAAACAGTCAATTAAAATATAAATTTCCACGACGTTTTATCACGTGGTTGGAAAAAAAAATTTATTTGAGAAACTAAGTTAATATTTTGAAAAATTAATTTAAAATATCGTATGTCTTGTAGTTTTTTGGTTAATCTTGATCTTTATTTCATTTGTACATACATTGATGCTTCTTTTGTTAATCTTTCGACTCAACATCATCTTTTATAGTCAAATGGCAAGAAAAGAAAGGAAAGAAGAATTTATTTTAAAATATAATAGTCGAACATCTGTAGGCGGTCTATTTTGTTGGTTTTATTTTTATTGGATTTAAATTGAGTATTAGGATCATTGCTTAGAACTGTCAACAATACTTCCATAACTTCCGACGGTAAACTTATGTAGGAAGCTTATAAGTACATTTCTGTTTGAATAAATGACCTGCAATTGACGACAATAATAATGAACCTTTTATTTTCTCATAACGAAATCCTTGCCCATTATAAACATCATGAGAGAAAAGAAGAAAAGTACTTAAATCTCCTTAAAGTTCAGTCATCATGTCGTTAATCCAACACAATAAGAGATCTCGCTCTACACAATCCCATAACCCGAGCCTCCATGAATGTTCACTTAAGTGTTAAACATAGTGTAAACATGCTCGACAAGACGTTGAAATGAACTGCCAACATCGAGACACGTCCCATGTGTGTAAAAGGATGTGTCAACAACAACACGATTGTGAGATGTCTTAAGTTTTTCTTTCGCCAGCAATTTCCAGGTAAATTCTCTGGAAAAAAAAACTCGAAGAAAATAAAGTTAAGCCGAATAAAAGAGCGAGAAATAAATTCAATATCCTGGATTTTCAATTGTTATGTTATTTATTCTCATGTTCGCAAAATATTTCATATTTACTGAATGCCTTTTTTAAAATGCAAAGAAAAATTCACACGGTAGATAAAATAGATTTATATTTACGTTTTTAAATTAATCTATTGGATTTTTGGGATGTCACTGTCACAGTTAAAAATTTTTATGAAGAAATCCAGTAATTTTAACTTTTTTTCTAACAGTGCAGTGCATGAAATTTAAGCATTTCAAAAAAAATATTTTTGGGTGAAATAAAATCCTTGCTGTTTGAGTAAAAAAGTCTTATTGCCCTTCTTACTTTCGTTGATTCTTTCATCGATACGTTGATCATTTTTTAAACACATAATGTGAGTAAGATTTTCAACCAAGCTTTATGTTATGTATTAAAGAGAGAAAGAAAGAAGCAATTTTTTCTATTAAAAGTACAAATTGGTCAGATTGAAAGTGAGTGGGACAATTGTCGGATGTAGTAAATTTATAATCAATCATATTTTTTCTTTTAAAACTCAATGAAATAGAAATGTTTAAATGTCAAGAAAAATGACGAGAAAATTATGATTCGTAAAGTATTGCTTGGTTCAATGTTGACGCCAATTAGAAAACTAAATTAACAAGTTAATTTCATAACAAGTCTCTTTGCTGACCGCAAATTAATCTGATGGTTTACACGTTACAAGGTTACGCAAACATAACAAAAAAGCGAAGTCATTGAGTCGTCATATCAGCTGTCTGCAGATTGTGACGTCATAATTGAATGCTCAAAACTTAAAAGCGAAACTTTTGAATCAAAAAGAAATCGTAGAGTGTTTGTAAGTTGGTTATTATTAGCAATACTAAGTGTGGAGTAACTTCAAAGAAGAAAAAATATTCTAAAAGTATCAATTAACAATTATTGTATACCATTAACTAAGTATTTTATGAATTATTTTTGTAATGTTCTCAATTATGTTCATAAAATGTATTTGTGTGAATGGTATGACACAATTATTCACGCTTAAAATTATCCACTGATAATTCATTCATATCAAAATCATAAGATAAGAATCTTCACGCTTATGATAGGGTTTCAGTGAATAACATTTTTAATCTGACATTAAAAAATGAAAAAAGTAACAATTTTCCATAGTCGTTCGTTTAAGTATTAGTGTATCATAGTTTCACGTATGGTATTTGACAAACAAAAAAAATAAAACGAAACAGAATTAGACAGATCTCTGATTATGAAACCAGCGGCCGTTTAACTCACACACAATCATCAATTCAACAACAAAGAATGTGAAGAGAGACTGAAATTATGAGGGATTGAAAAATCTTCGCGCCATTCACTTTTGATGATCAATCGATTATCAAACATTTTGTGTAAATTTGATGCGTTAATTAAATATTTAATTTAATTTCATGGTGATGAGATGATTGTGAGGTGCGCAGAAAATTGTTGGCATGTTCACTACTTTCGCTGAAGGAGAAATTTCATGACATTTGGTGTGCTCTAAACATACAAATGGGTTAATAGTACCTTTTCATTTTCAATTTGTGACATCGAATCGCAAAACTGCTGCCGCTTGATGTTTCAACTTTCAATTCATATAACATGAAGGGCTGGGCTCGAATTCTAAATTGTCTAATTTCAATTTTAACGATTGCAACATATTCTGAATGTAAATGTAGAAAGCAGCAATTCAAACGATATTTGTGAACCCTTTTTTTGTGAGCCCGGCCAAAAGGCACTTCATTCTATAAAAGGTGTTTTATTTTGCCAACATCATAAAAGTACGATTGTTAAAATGATCCATAATTTTCTTATTATGATGCTTTGAAGCATCCTTTTTCTTCTACCTTTCTACTTTGAATGGTATATGTTGAAAGGGATAATCTTCCTTTTCTCCATTGTCGTTGAGTTGAAGATTTTTATCAGGAAACACTTATCAAACACCCACATTGATTTTTAACCACATTCTTTTCTTGTCTTGTATGGTTGAACATGAGTAATGTGTACGTTGAACAATGAAGATTATGGTGAGGAGTGAAGATTATTACCTTCTTGGTTTCTTTCATTCCGAAACAAGACGAATAAACTTTCCAGTCTCTTCCTTACACCTTTTGATGAGATTAACAAAAATGTTTTGTTGACATCTTTTTTAGTGATGGGATCAATTATCACACGGGTCATTTTATCCTCTTGATACTAAATTATTAAGAAGCAATTATGTTGATCCTACAACACGACATTAAGCAGAACTGTTGACAGATGTTTGGAAATTGAGATGACAAGGATCAATTTTCATTCCAAATTGACATGCAATAAAAATGTTTTGCTAACTCCTATTGATATAATTTCAACATTTCGAATGATGTTTTTCCCGATGTTAAACCTAAAGATGTGCAAGTAAATTTAATTTTTTTCCATTTTCTTTCTTTGCAGGTTTTTCACAACTCAAGACATCGTTCGCTTCGGGAAATGGAATGCCAGGTAAGAGAGAAATGATGATATATTTTTATACTTCCTTTTAGAATTATTGAGATTAATAAATAAAGTTTTAATTATTGATTGTCTCATTGAATTGTGAAGCTTCCTAATCGAATTTTATTTTGAAATATTAAATCATTAACTGGGAACCATCATCATTTGTACGAAAATTAATAATTGACGGTTCTTAAAACTCTTTCATTTTTCGACTATTCTAAATACATGTCTAAATATCAAAGATCAAATCACATGTTGAACTGGAAAGTGAGACGGAGAGCCGAGTTGGTGATTAAAAATAATCATCATGTTTACAACGCACACATTGATGCATCGTCATGACAACGTTCGCTCTCAACCCTCTGTCGTCTCAAAATTTTTCCCCCTTTTTGTTCTTTTCTCTGACTCTGCACAGAGGATTTTAATGAAAATCTGACAAAGAGCGTGCCGAGGAACTCATGTGTCGGACTAAATGTGTATTTCAATTCAAAATGGCGATCCTTTTGTTTGTGTAGCGTTTCATTTTTTTTCGTTCTCTCTTTCTTGCACAACAAGAACATAAAACATATTTTTTTCTCAGTCAGTTCTTTGCCATTATCCAATTTGTTTTGCTTAATAAGCTTACTCAACTGAAATTTACCTTGTACTTTATCGCTTGAATTATATTGATCAAGTTCATCCTCAAAAATCAACGAATGATGAACGTTTTATTCGTTTTCTGTTTCAAACATGTAGGAAATTGTTAACTTATTCAATAAAAATATATCTTGGTGACAAAAGAATAAAATATACCCACTGATAGTTGTATTAAATTGTTGAATTATAACTTAATTAAAAAAGTTGGTACATATTTTAAGAGGATCACGTAGCTTTATTTGATCAGTTTGTGAAATTATTCGGTGAGTAATCAGAAAGTGATACACGTGATAAGCAAGAATGATATGAAAAAACTTTCAATTAATTAATTTTGTTCAACAGGTTGGTTCCAAGAAAAAAATTAACATAATATACGTGACTTTATGTACACTTAAAGTCTGTCTTATTTTTTCTTACCTATTTTTGTTAAAAAAATTAAACTTATGATAAATGCAAGTTCTTAAAACTAATGTTTTCGTCTAACATAAAGACTGATTCGTTTTTATCGTATCTGGCTTTTATTTGTCGTCAAATATTATTAAATGAAGCGGATACTTCATAGAACGTCATCTTCAAACATGTGCGGTTATTACTTTCATTTTCAAATAGTTGATACTTGCAGCATTGCGCATCATAAATAAAATTTAACTTAAAAAATGTATGTTTAATCAGTTGTCAACATAGATACTTATGTAAAATTTATGTTTGTTAGTGAATATACCAATAAATGAATTCATACATGAAACGCTATAGACGAAAAGAACTTCAATTTTAAAGAAATTAAGTTATTATATTTACCCAAGTGTCTAATTGAAACTTTTAATTGCATAGATGGTTTAGAAATATGTATTTGTTTTGTTGACGTACCTAAAATTATTTGTTATGTTAGATATCGAAAAGAAAGGTTTTAAATTTGCCGAATATTGAAAGATGATCTCATTTTTAAAACACAATAAGCAATTATCATCTCTAATTTAGCGATAAAATCTTGTTTTCCCATCAAAGTAAATTGGTATCTCAAATTTCCAATTGTTGACATCAAATGGTCTACTGTAGACATGAAAAGAAATGTTGCAAAGAAACTTGATACGTTCTGTTTGCTAGATTTAATATTTCTTGTGGGTTTTTATTCCATAATTAGGAAATCATTTCCGGAAGAGATTTTCAATGTCCATGTGTAGATGAAAGGAAAGATTTACTGCAATGGGAAAGTATCTTGCACTCTTTGAAACAGAAAATTTTCTCTGACATGTGCCATATGTTTTCTCATATTAATCGTATACAAAATCTCAACCTGAATTTGCTCTCAGTGTGAAAATTAGCACAAAAGAGAGCTTGAATCGATACTTTTTAGATGTTAAATAATTTTAATTAAAAATAGATTTGATCAATAAACGATTATTTACTTTGATAGATATAAAATTCATTTTTCTTCAAATTTATCTGAATATTCTAAAAGAACCTTCTAATGAGCGTAAGAAATATTTCAAAATTGTATCAGTTAGAAAAGTGTAAGAAAGTGATGAAAAGAAGAAAACAGAATCCAATTACGCAATTTTGTAATCTCCCTTTACCTTTCTTTGGCAATGTTGCAACCAGTTTCTAATCATTTCTTATGGCGAGTAAATATTGAAACTGTGGCAACACAACAAAGTGAAATGAAATGAAAAAAATAAAATAAAAAAAGTCGTCAACTCGAGTGCCTTCGAGGATTACAAACAAGGGAAATACAAAGGAAATCCACTTAAAATTGATAATTAAATTGGTATTTATCATTCTCAGTGGGTCTTTTATACCCATACCCAGGAGTTGTTAAGAAGATTACAAAATTGGTCTTTTGAGTGCAAAATGGGAAAATTAATCACTTGAAACAGCGATTGGATTTCCAACTTTTCCTATCATTTTTTCAAAATGGCTAAGTAAAATGATGTTTCATACTTCAGCTTTAAAAACATCGATAATGACCTTTTACATCCTAAAGAAGAACTTTAATTTCAAGGCTGAGAATTCTGAACTTCAAGAGAAATTTGTGGTGAAACACTGAAAGCTTCTCTCATCATTCAACGTGTAGAAAGAAAAGTTGTCATTAGCAAACATAAATTTCCTTTATCACCGAAAACTTTTCCAACAGACGACAGCAATGTTCATTTACTACTTTATCTTTCGACAAACACATTTTCACTTTCATTTCGACACTGCTGAATAGCTTTAACCGAAGATAACCTTTTCATAAGTCAGTTCATCTTACCTCAGCTTGTTGCACGTACATAAATACCCAAAACGCCTATTAATCTACATTTATTGTCGGATGTTTGATTAAATTGCCAATTACAATAAATATAATTTTCGTCCCTCAACAACCCCTGTTTTCATCTCTTAATTCAATTAAAAGAATGAAAATGACCATTGTACAGCTATTTTCCGTACAAAAATATTTTCATGAAACGACAAAAGAATTTAATCGAGAGAAAGGGACCGAACTCACATGCCTGCTATTGACCATTTTCCATTGTTCAATTCGAAGGACTTGATGTGATATCGATTTTTGAGTCAGCCTTTTGTCATTAATTTGTTACGGTAAATTTCACTTCAATTAATTGAGTGTTTTGTGTCGAGACAGTCAATGAGGTTTTATAAGAAATTTTCCATCTGATCGTCATAATATAAGATGAATGAATTATCTAGAAAGAAGACTCCATTCAAAACATTTTAGTTTTTATTTATTGACAAACAAGTAGATAAGTTGACTAAACACTCTTAGCACTAGATGCGTGACAAATAAAATTGTTCTGGTATCGACGCGTTTCTAAAGTAAATAAAATATACAAATAACATCTACGTTCAAATATACATGCTATGAATTAAAATATGCAAAGGTGGATAAGTTTACGTATCTCTATCAGTTAAGAAGAAAGTTTTCTACGATTTTAATGTTACAAATATCCCTTAACAATAAAGCTTTAGACTTCTACTTATTTCAATTTATCCAATCTAATTTCATAAAGAACATTCTCATGAGTGAATAATGAGCAAGCATTAAAGACACTCTTTTTTCAATTTCTCGTTGCGTTTTGTAGCAATGGTGAAACGAGACTTTGTGCTTGGGGGAAGTTGAATTTTGCGCAATTTTACGACATCTTTTTATGAACCAATTTTATATTTTTCTTAAAAGGGAAGCGAACAAAAATTTCATTTCCACAAACAGAAAATGCCAATTAAATTTAACGAGTTTGAATTTTCTGTACGTACGAAAAAGAATATTTTAGAATATCATCATGCAAATGACATTTTTAAAACTTTTCGGAAGCAGCAGGTTACAAATGATTTTAATCTTTTAAAATTAACTGATGCTGTTCAACATCTAACTAGTCACTTACGCCTACTCTCTCTTCCACTACTCCCATCCATTATCAGGGTGTAGCCTTGACTTTAATGACGCATTGGCTGCAACAAAGCACTTTCAAAGCATTAACTTAATTTGAATTTTCTACAGATGATTCCACCCCATTCCAACATGCTGATGAAAATGGCAACAAAGAAAGCAAAAAGCTGATAATTTTCTCAGTTTCATCATTCTCATTCGTTGATGGAATAATGAATTTAATTTTCCTCTTCCATCAAAAATTCATCGCTCTCATTTCAGACAAGACAGTGATATTTTATAGGAAAATAGTCTTAAAGATTGTGATGTAATGTGAGAGAATGAGAAGGAAAGAAGGAGAATCATTTTATTGTCTCAATTTATTTCGCTGGAAAATTTGTCTTGTTTTCTCTCGTCTTGACTCATTTTTATGTTGAAATATATTTTAGTATTTCGATGGAATAAATATCATGAAGTAATCAAATTATGCTCATTTAAAAATGACGGGATTCTTCGAGACGAAAATCTGAGTTGATTCACCATGGCGGATCGATCGATAATTTTCTTTTTTGGGGATGATTTGAAAAATGTTTTCAGGGCATGGTTCAGGAGTATTGATAAGAAAATTTTTCATTCGATTACATCAAAAAATGTTCATTTGTTATCCCTGTGATGCTTCAAGAAGACACAGACTACAAAATTCTCCATCATTCATGCCAAAGCATCTCAAATTCATATTTTATCATAAATAGGAAAATTGCCAATTTGAACGTTATTATCTCTGCTCGAGTGGAGCTTTTTTACTTGCGCATCTCCATCTCATCCTCCTTAGCTATAACAGCTTTTATCAAAAGCGTTTCGCTTTTAAAGGAAATTCAAATGGGAAGTATTTACCATTCCGGTGCCTCACACTTCGTGTCGCAGTTTACCATAAATCCATCGACATCATTGAAGATTTATTTTTATTGCCTTCTCTCTTGCTTACAATGTGCATCATAAACCAACAATTTCGCAGCTCATCGTTCTTCATGATTGGAAAAAAAATTATTAGATACGATTGATAGTACGTTGGAGACAGACAGCGAGAGAAGATTGATGTTTCGTGCTTTTTTTTATTCAGAAAAGCAGAAGTTGGATTGAATTTCCAACATTGTTGGGATATTCAGGAAAAACCAGAAAAAAAAAATAAATTCTGTTAGTTACAAATTATTTACGAATTGCTAATCAAGAACGACAAGTTCTGGTTGTGGGTGCGTTTAGGGGGATTTCTTCAATAAACTTTAAATGATCAATTTTTGACAAAAATCTAATGATTTTCCATGATTTATCATTACAGCAACACCAATTGATCCTACTAAAGACTTCACTGTAGACGGTATAAATGGTTTTAGCAAAAAGAAAAAGAAGAAAAGACGTCATAGGTAAACATTGATGACGCAAAAATATAGAAGAAAATTTAATTTGAATTTATGTTCTGTCTCGTTTCGTAGTCGAACAATTTTTACAAGTTATCAACTTGATGAGTTGGAAAAAGCATTCAAAGAAGCTCACTACCCAGATGTTTATGCCCGCGAAATGCTGTCGCTTAAAACAGATCTTCCCGAAGATAGGATACAGGTGAGTCGCATGATCATTTTTCGTTATGGTGTTGTTGTTCATGTACTCTACAAACAACCGCCATAATTGTTTAATGGTCAATTTTATAATTAGAGAAACTCATTTCATGTTCATGTTATTGTCTTTTGTTCATTTGAGAAATTCTTTCATGACAGACAGATTTCTTCTATTTCTATTGTCTTAAAAATATTTAAAGAGAAGAAAAAGTCTCAAAGAATTTTTTCTTCATAAAATAAAAACGTAGAAGAAGCAAAAGAAATGTTAAAAATTTTACTTGACACATTCTGTGTGATGAAACATGATATTTGACAATAAAGAATGAAGTCTCATCATTCAGCTATCTCTATTAATAGTCTTAAAAGTGAACTACATGCCATTGAATATATGAATTGGCCTTAAAGTTTGTATGACTTAAATATTTGAATGAAATATGCTGGTCTGATCAATTTGTTCACTTTAGACATTGTGGAGAGGTTTGCGAGTTGTTTTAACAGTAAACGCTAATCGTCAATATCAGAATATCACATAAGCAATCTGCAGTAATCATTAGATTTCATTTATCTAAATACATTACATCGGAGAAACATTAATCATTGTAAAAAATTAAGATCCACACACTTATTCATCAATAATAATAAACATAAAAAATATTAGAAAAGGGTGAAATGTTTATAAACTCTGTCAGTGAAGTTGTTTTACAGATCATGCTCAAATACTTATTAGAAATTCGTGACATTTCTTTATGGTTATCAAAGCAAAGGCGATCTGAACAGGTGAATTCAGAGGTAATTAGAAAATATGGAAAAAAGACGTGGAAAATGGCATAATAAATATTCGTGATGTAAAGTAAGTATGCTAACATGGAAGCATTTATGCCCCAATTGCGGGAGTACGAACCCCGTTAATGGCTATACTAGCTTGAATGCAGTAATATCTAAAAAACTGTTAAAACTGGTAAAACTGGTAAAAACAAACAAAAAGGTTTCTGGATAGAAATATCCAATGGCCAATAAATTGGTTAAGAAAAGTTAAACAGAAACGAATGTAGAAAAATTTGGACAATTATCCAAGATAAAAAAGACAGCAAAGCTTCATAAATGCGTCTTAGAGTCATTTGAATGCAATTATAATAATTTAATGAAATGGAAGATAAAATAACAATTTTTAAACAGCAAATTAATCAGAAACGCATCATGGACGTATTAATTGTGGACCACTCGACGCTTTATATGCTAAGAATTTTGTTAAAAGCCACGTTAGAAGCAGGGTTGATCATTTAAATATTTCAAGGTGCTCGAATATTATTCTTGACTGTCACGGTGTTCCAGCTATCGGAAAGATAAATAAAATAATTTATATTCTTTTTTCACATTCTGATGGAAACGATGAAAACATTGACTCAAAAGAGAAGGTCTCAAACTTTGGAAACGTTTCACTTCTAATTGAGAAAACATTTGATGACGATACCGATTAGGTTGGTGGGAATCGGAAAGGATGACATTAAATCTCTCTTTACCAATAATCTGATAGCTGATGTATAATTTAAATAAAAAAATTAAATTAAAGTAAAAAAACAATAAAGAAGACGAAGGAACTATGTATTTAGAAGCCTTCGCCAATGAAGATTTTAAATGAAATTATTTTTCAGATGGAGACCCAAAACTCGCTCTTTGAGAATTTTTTATTTTAAGGTATCACGTGAATACGTATTTTCCGCTTTCAAATTAAGCATTCCCCAATGGCTTAAGTAAATATTTTTAAGATCTTAAGATCCTAAACATAGACAAGAATTTCTGACATATTAGTCTTGAAAAGAAATTTTGAAAACAAAAGACGGCATCTTAAGTTTCACAAACGACGCGCGAAATTTCACGCGATATTTCCCTGAAAAAACAAAAGAAATTTCAAACAGATTTATTTTCAATTAAATAATAAAATGATTAGTCGTTTGCTGACACTTTTAGTGCTCGTTATGTTGTCAATCAAACTTGTTTTAAAGAAAAATTTAAGAACAAAAAGAAATTGTTGGCAATCATTCTTTCATCATTGCGTTGTGGCCATTGTCGCGATTTTAATTAAAATTCATTTGTGAGATTTTTTTCTGTCATTTGACATACCATTCACTGTTCTCCAACTTGTTTTCATGCTTTGAATAAATTTTAATTAAGAAAAAATGGTCTACCGATGAATCTGACCAATGGCAAGGCAATGTTTCACTATTTATATTCTTATTTACGTTTCTAATGAAATAATTTTAATTAAAATAATATCTGATTTTCAAAATTTATTTTACAACTTTCCATGTCTCATCAACTTCATATAATGAATTTTGAATGTCGATCTATATGATGTAAACTGCAATGAATTATTTACAATAAAAGCAACAAACAATCCTATTTAATTTCATTTTAAGTTAAAGAAAAGGTCAATTAAATGCAATGTTTTAAAGCATGTCATTGCTTGTAGACATGCACTTACAGCATTATTAACAACATTATTCTACATTGATAGACACGATGTGAGAATTTTCTATTGCTTTTGCCCTAAAGAAAATTCAATTAAACGACAACAATTCCTTGAATGCGAGTTTTAATAGAACGATGAGAATCAGAGCTCGTGACTGACACGAAGCAGTCTGAAACTGGGGAGCGCTTTTTTAATTAACATTTACAAAAAAGAAAGTTTATAAAATTGTTTACCAATGAAAAAAAAAAGAATTAAAATTGTGACATCAAAAGCTTGAAAAGACGTAAAATTTTCCCTGGTCTCCACAATCTGCCAGTTCATGACAGCAGTGGATGCTGAAAGGATTTTTAATTATCTTGTTTCTCGCTTATCCGCCCTTAATTTAACAAAACCTTTGTATTAAGCCGAATATCTATCTTACTTTCCGATGAAGCAAAGAATAAAGTTGATGGTTGTATCATTATGTAGGTTTTGAAAATGGGCAGAAATAACATGGTCAATTCTTCAGCAAACTCAAAGTATTTTTACTCGCATTCATGAGATTTTAGTCGACGAGCGAGAAGAAAAAAAAACAGAATTGCAAACTCACAAATTGCGCATGTAAATGTATTTGGCATGTTCTTTTAGCTGACTGAAGGCGAAAAGATGAATATGTTGAAAAAAATAAACTTCTCTAACGAACCAATTTCATCATTATCATCATTGAAGCGGGAGAGAAACATCGAAATGGAAAAAATTGCCCTTATACAGTTTGGCTTTTATACCGGATGAGGAAGAAAATGTTTTGACGAAGAGCAATTTCTCTCTCTCTGTTTTAAGGGGGGAATCAGTTGGGTGTATGTTGATGATTGCTATGGAAACCAAAGAAAGATTTCTTTTATAAATGGAGATTGTTGGAATGTCTTACATCCCGTATTTCTATTACCTGAAGGATGTTTGTCATTATAATGAAAGGAAATTGATAAACAAGATTAAATTTTCCATGGCTTTAATGTTTGTCACGAAATATTTTCTCATTTTACATTATACGCGTTAATTTCCAAGTTTTTAATGGTATTTATGGTCGAATATTATACAATTAAACTGTAAGATGTCTTATTTAGAGAGTTGTAAATCCGAAATGCGTCTTGTATCTGATTCAATAAAATAATCCAATTTTGATTCGAGGCGAAGAATTGAAATTTATTGTCATGAAAGGGTCTTTTAAAAGCGTTTTCTTAGTGGTGAACCTTTTGCCTTCAACTCCTGTCAACATTAACTTATTTAATTAATTTTACGCTTTTTAATAAACTTAAAATCATCATTTTCGACGAAGAATAAAACAATGTCACTGTTTTACTAAACATTACTATGTTGTGGTTGAATTTCATGCTTGAAATGTAACAGAAAATATCACGTCCCTGATAAATAAACTCTTAACGACGTTAAAAAATATTTCATAAAACTACTCTGTCGACTTTCCAACTTTATTCATATTAAATAAAAACATGTTTTTCGTAAAACTTTCTTTAGTTAAGGAGCAATGTTGCATTTTTAAAAAAATTTTACTCAAAGCAAATATCTTCTTACACTTTTACAGACATGACCTTTTTTCTGGTACAAGTTAGCAAATAGAAAATAAAATTTTGACATTAATATATAAATACTAAAGGAATAGATAGATAAAAACCAAATTGTCTAATCATTAAATGAAATATTAAGTTTTTCTCTTACTTTATATTTCTACAATAATAAAAAAGACAAAATTGTTAATTTCCATAATTAAATACTTTTCAAACCATTAAGTTTTATCATTTAGCTTCCTCAGAGGCAAATACAAAGAATTGCAATCTTATGCTTGTTGATGCAGAACAAAAAAGAATAGAATGATTCATTTCTAAGAGAATTATGGAGGGAATTTAAATGTTTAAATGCACAGACATGTATTTATGAAAACAAAAATGGCGGCAATGGTAAAAAACATTAATAAATCATAATTTTTTGAAAAATAAATCACATGATTCAATTAGTCGTTTGAATATCTCATTTGGAAATTTGCCATTTACTACACAGCTCTTTTTCACGGAATCGTAAGTTTAAAACAGGAATTATTTTAATTAAAGAAAATTTTGGTTGAAAAACATAAACGTAATCGAGAATTATCAAAGAGAAATATAAATTGTGAATAAGTTTGCAAGCGCATGTTCTGTAATTAAATCTCCATAGCCTAGACAAACAAAAACAATGACGCCTTCAATTTTGAACCTTTAGCCTTGATGTTGTGCGTAAGCGAAAGAGTTAAACAATGATTTTAATGAATTATGTCTTTCTAACGCATTAAATAATTGAAAGCTTTTTTTTTTTTATTGTAACGTACAAACCTTAATGAAAGTATTAACACAAACAGTCAAAGAATTTTCATTTCATGTGTTATTTTATTTTGTACTTTTTGTTTTTTTATTTCCTTTAGAAAAACATCCAAAATTTCATTTAATGGATGATGGAAAAAATCCATTAATATAACAACGAAGTAAAGAAAGGGTTAAACGCAACAAAAGTGAAAAATAACCTTACATAGAACTCTGCCCATAAAACCTGAAAATTGAAAAATTAGTTACACATATGCAAGACAAAGTTAAAGCACAGGCAATAATATTCCAAGCGAACGTGGTAATTTGTGCAATTTAAATTCCCTACTAAAAATAATGACTATTATTTGTACACATGTTTGTTGTCATTTAAGGGTGCTACAGAGATTCCCAGTTGGGGAAATCTTATAAAAGTTCTTAGAGCGTTAATGTTTTAGTCGAAAACGAAACTTCCAGATTCTGCTACACTAACATTTTCCTTTCTATATACAAAAATTTCTACGATTATGCAATTCTCTCCACCCACATAACTTATGAGATAAAAACTGGGCTAAAATTGAAAAATTCCTTAGGAGCCACTTTTTCAAACCTCCGCGTACATAGATGAAACAATGAAACAAAAATTCCTTTCCCTCCCCTATCTGTAACTAATTTTGCTATTATTTGAAAAATTACCATGTTTGTTCATATGAATATTTAATGTGGTGTTGGCTGATAATGTGAGCGTTATGTGTACATATATCTACACCAATTCGTTATCCTTTCGAATCATCTCTTTTTATTTTATTTCAACAACTCTTCTTGTGAATCTTTAATTGAAAAATTTGTTTTATGAGCTACATGAGGAAAAAAGAGTTTAACACAATAAAAAAAGGGTGCAAATAGAAGATGATAGTTAATGTTGATGAGGGAAGAATTTCTTACTTTTTTCCTCCCCTTTAAACTGTTAATGAAATGAAAAATAAATTTCAGAAATTTATTAGAATTTTAGCTTAGCGTTTAAGTATTTTTGAATATAATGGTTTTCGCCAAATCTATTTTGAATTTCTTAGATACTTCCCACTTGCAAAAACCACATTTTTGACTTGATAAGGGACGAGCCTTGCGGTGTAGAATGACACACTAGACAAAAAAGTGGTTCAATTAAAATTCAATTAATCAAAAGCAGAAATTTTGTTTTTCTTTTCGAAGATGAAGAAAAAAAAGAAGAAAGCTTAGATTGGAAAATTAATTGTATTTTAATTATTGCGTCACACCCACACATTATTATTTTCTTCTGGCATGACATGATGCCTTGTTATGTGTAAATAAATAGAGAATGTATAGCAGAAGAAGATACAAATTTTACGCATTATTATAGATCGTTGTTTGCCTGTCATTAACACAATTTGCTAAACAATTGCACAAACAAATTGAGTACTCACGTAAATCGATGTTGAAAAAAACAGCAGGTGACTTCTGTTTGCTGATTATCAAAGTTTGAACACTTGCAAAGTTTTTGATATTTTCTATTGTAAGTTAAAAAAAAAAAATTAAAGCCACTAGGGTCGAAGTCAGTTAACTTCAACAAAAGGTGATGCGAATTGAGAATATGAATGGAGTGAATGATTTTTCTAGCACAAAAACCTTAAATTTTCAAATTAAATTGAATTGAAATCATAGATGATTTCTTCACCATAAATAACGTCATGAACATGAGTGGGAGGAAAGTTTAAATGAAGTGTCGAATCAATTTCATTATTCCGGATATTCGTGGTACTGTCAATGATGAAGTAGGACCACAGCAACTAATAATTTAATAATCGTCTTTGTGACAAGGCAAATCTTTTCATTAACCCAAAGTTAATACACGTTTTGTTCATAACATTTTTGTTTGCTTAAAACTCACCTGAAGCATCATGTTGTAGAACACATTACAATAAAAATCGCAAGAATATTTCAATAAAACCATGACAATGAAATTCTTTAAATATCAAGCTCATCATTTCTGAATCTTCACACCATTGAGATTTCAATTTCGTTTTATTTAAGTGGATGATGTGATGAAACTTTCATTCTTGAAATGATTGCAGGGTTTTGTTATTGCTTGTTGATACTTCTCGGAATTTTCTTGATAAATATTTCAGGCAATTCTTTCGTCTTCAAATGTTTCGAAAAAGAAAGAAAATTAAATAAAAATTTACTCACTATGAACCAAGTCAAAATTTTATTTTTGCATCATAAATTATAAGCCATGAACTAGCGTAGCAAGAGGCGTTAACCGAAACGCTTGACATGACGCAGTATTTGTTTTAAAGTTCACTTGCATGTCACATCTCCAAGTGAAAGAAACGCAACCTTATCACATGATGATGCATAAAAAGCACTTCCATATTTTTTATGTTTCGCTATCATCCAAATGAAATTCATTTTGATGCATTCGAGAATGAATTTCTTTTGAATTACAAGCTGACAAACGTTAATTACATGTTTTTGGTATTCTTGCACTAATAAATTTTGCATTTCATTCATCATCAAGTCAACCATCAGTGCTCTGGTTTTTATTTGCTTTTATTAAATCATTGTCAGTGCAATGAGATGATCATAACAAAATTACTGCTGATCTTAGGAATGAATTTCTTCGTCATGAAAAGACAACAATGAATAGCATTAATTAGAATTTTCACTTCCTGTAAATTCACGAGTATAGGAATAAAAAAAAGTTGAATCATCTGAGAGCGTAGCACCTTAACACAAAAGAGATATTCACGGTCAAATGCTTTCGCAATATGGAGAATGATTAAGTCGAAGTCGTTAATCAGATGTCTCAAGGGTTCTACGAAGATGATTCGAGAGACTCTTCAATATTTGACATTTCAAGAGAGTTAGTCAATTAATGAACTGAGTAATCAAAGCACTAGAAATTCTTCTTTAAGGGATTTCTTGACTTGTAGCAATTCTTTTTTTTTGACGATTTGCGTTCTAATAATTTTATCCACTTTATATCACTCATGATTCAATCGTGTCTAATTATGTTTCATAAATTTGTTGACATACGAATATGTTAATTGAATTATGAATTGAATGACTCTGCTTAAAAGTTGAAAAATAAGATCTAGAACGAAGGAAGATCAACAGAAAAATTCTCTTATTTAGAAATATACTCAAATGAAGGTGACTCTGAAATTGTTCGTGCCTAATTTCGATGAAAATTAGGCATCCAAATTGAATTCATCGCTTGATGAGTAAAGAGAAAAAAATAAAAGAATTTAAATTTTTTACCCTCGACTCGAGAGAATCCACTCAAGAGAAACAATTCCATGTTATTCCAACAATTTCGACGATTCATTTTCATTGCCTGAAGTGTAACGAAATGAAATGTGGGCACTTGAAGGTTCTTGATGTATTTTTATAAGCGTTTATTGCTCGAAAATTGGGCTCAAGAGTCAGTTAATTATGCGCAAAATTTCCGTTCTCGACAACAATGGCGATGGCAGAATGATTTCTATTCATCGCCATTTATTTCCTCCATATTTTCTTTTTGTTATAACTTGTAATGCAACTACTCAAATAAATACTTCTATTATTCAATTGTCACTCTAATTTATGTTAATTAATACAAGAGAAAAAGTTGCTACAATCCCACGAACAGCCACCAGCCGTAATCATTTCTCAGGGAGGAAACTTTGTGTGTGGCAAAGTGAAACGCAAACGCACTTCAAGTCGAGTAATAGCCTCACTTTAGGCGCTCTCAACAAGTTTCTTCTAACTCTTTCCATACTCCACACGAGTGAAGTTGGGCGCGTCGATGAAATGATTCACCGGGGACGGTCATGAATGGCGAGGCAAGACAAGGCGAGGCATGTCATGAAACTTTTCTTTTCTTTTACGTTTCTCATTATTAAAAATTGTAAAACGTGATTTGCATTGTTCTTAATAAAAACTGAAAATAAGATCAGTGAAGTTGAGAAAAAATAATTAAAAATCTGATAACGTCGTCAATTCTTTAAAACCCTTTTGAATGCTTTCAAGTCATTAATTTCTTAATCATCACATTGCGATCCATACCATATTTCAATTTGCATTTAAATCGCCAATGCGATGAAGTAATTAAAAATTTCTATTACGATGGATATTTTCCATCCTAATCATCCACTTCATGGGTCAGTTGACACTCAAGTGGCTTCACTTCAGCCGTTTTCTCTCTCTTCATCATTACGTCGTTTCAAAAGAATTCACTTTTGCATTTTTATTTTACTTTAAATCGAATCTTCAAAGCGACCACTGATGTTTATTTATTTGAATGAAACAGCAATTTTTAGTTTCAGACTCGAACCGAAGTGAAGCGTTTTCAGCTGATCCGTTGCATTTCAAGAGCTTTGCTGTTGGGTTAATTAACGGCTATTGAAAGGCAGGTGGGCACGGTTGAAATCGACGAGAAAATTGCTGGGTTTGTTAAGCTTATAAGTAAAAATGTGACGAAGTGTGTCCTGTTTCTCACCTTTTCTTTTGCTTTCGATGATTGTCAATGCATCTTGTTAATTTCTTGAAACACTTTTCAAGCATGAAACATGATCTGTGAAAAAATGAAACAGAAAAACGAAATCTTGCAAAGTCCTAAAAGAATTTGACTCGACTGAGAACTGATACTTGAGACACAAGAAGTCTTGTTCAATACATGAAACATATTGTAATGTTAATGCGGGATTTTCGTATGCCTTCCTAAACGTTCTCAATGTTGTTGCATTTCAAGTAGCTTTTCTCGGGAATTAGATTGAAGTGTTCACTCCGACGATAACTGATTGTAATACAAGTATCGTTCCTTCAAACAAATGTCTATTTTTATATATTTTTTCTTCACGAAAAATTTAAAGATTTTTGGGAAAAAGAAAACAAACAAACTCGTAAGAATCAACAAAAAAAAAATAATTCCCATCATTTAAAGTTGAGTTAAAGAAAGTGTGAAAATTCTGGTAGCTCCTTAAATTCTTCTTAATCTTAATCTTTAAGAAGTGAGAAATGGCAAAATAAACAAAACCCGTATGAATCAACTAGCTTTCAGCAGTCTGTAAATCCAAATTATACATTTTTCAACAAGAATGCTAGCGTAAAAATGGAACGATCATTAATTATCATCAAATGGAAATTATGCAGATTTAAACATTAAAATCATCATGCTGAAAAGCAAGTCTTTAATAAAAAGGAGAAATTGCATAAATTTGCGTCACTTATTTGCTGCATCATGACACTTGATACTTACAATATATGTGCAAGTTGCTTGTGGTTGATTGCACTTGGAAATCGTCAGATGTTTAAAATGGAACTCAATAAGTTACTCCTAATTAAAGCTGCAAGTTCTTTGAATGATTGCCAAAGCATTTCATTTCTACATGCATTTGTATAAAGCGCCAATTGATGCGGTATAAAAATAAACTGCTTTAATTAAATTAAGCGACAAAAGTTCTTTTGTAGTACATGAATTGGCATTTTAAAATCATCCTTAATCTCATTCAGAGTCCCGCGAGAATCACTCATTGCTTGTCTTGGATATAAATTTTTCCGTTCAAAAAAATCAGAAAAAGCCATTAAATTAAATTTAATAATCAAATGATAAATGGTTTGCTTGCTGTTTCTTCCCTTCGCGAGAATGAAATTTCATTCAAAGAGGGTTCTGCATGTTGATGTTATCTATTTACATATTTTTTTATTACCCAAAATTTGTTAATCGAAAGATCGTCAAGGGACCTGCTAAATGTTACAATGTTTACACATGAAATTATGTAAAGTATGAAGAAGAAACAAAAACTTGTTTCTCACCCTAAATACAATGTTACCGATGACAACAACATAACTCTCTCGTCATTCGTTTGCTTCCAGTAATTTGGTTCCATTGGGTATAGACGTGTGAAGTTTATGGTTAAGCAAAAAAAAAATCCTTTTCATACATCAAACATATAAACTTTCACCGCAATATAATTGTCTCTTTTCCCATCAAAAGAATGTCGATATAATGATTAATAAAACAACATAAACGGCGTTGAATCCCATTACACGGTTAATACATCACACTTGTTCGATGATCTCGTGCCACGAGAGAAGTGAATCCTACCACAAAACAACTCATAATTGGCCAACGGTCTGTCACGTGACTACAAAGCATCATTTATGTAGATATTTCATTTCAGTATAATTATTAATTTTCCTTATAACCCTTGAATGGTAATCGAATCTTTAAGTAATAACTAGACAATATTATATGGGGAGAAGAAAGGATTCATTGTAGATAGAAATACAAAAATTTTCTTTCTTAGATATATTTATGTGCTTATCAGACAGAAGAATTTGTTTCAAGTTATTGAGTTCAATAGTTAAACTTTCAACATTAAATTAATGGTCATGATTTTCTACATGATAGATTTTTTATACAAAAGATTGAAGGAAAAAGCAAAACGGAAAATGGACAATGGATAAAGCTTTTCTCATTTCAACTCCATTGGATTTTGATTTTATTGATTTGAGGACATTGAATATTGATTAAATTATGCAACAAATTTAGGTTTTTTTAGAATTCTTTAAACTGGTGAAATTGCTAGTTTAATGCTGAGACTAAAAAAAAGTAATCTTTAAAATTGAGATGAAAATCTTCGTCTTCCTTTCTTCTTCTTCTCATCTAATTTCTTGTGTAATGTACCGTCTGAAACTCTATGTTATTCACTTCAAAGCTCATAAGGAAAGAAGTTTCATTATGAAAAGATTAACAATAAACCACTTTGCCCATCAAAAGTTTTGTGCGTTTAACAAACATTCAATAATCAATACAAAAAAATACAAGACTGTTTTTATATTTTTAAAGAGTTGATTGAAATGATCCCGTGAATCAAATAATAAGCGCAAAGGATTACTTTTTATAGTCTGTCTGAAACTTATCCTTTCTTCAAATGAATTGTTGGTTTCTTTTATAGAAAATCTATTGATATGAAATCAATTCAATTTAATGTTGTGATCTTGCCGATGAATGACTGAGATTAATTTCAAGATTAATAATATTTATTATTATAAACTTCTCATAAATTTATGAAGGAAATGAAATATCTTTGAAGAAACATCAATTATTAGAAATTTTGAAAATTCGTAAACAATTACAAGATGATTTTCCAATTGACAACACAAACAAGCGTAAGGCGTCAATGAAGAATCACAGCACGTGACTCATACAGAGTGAACTGATTTTGAAACATTGTTAATAAATGTTCAAGTACATTTGCTGCTTTAACACTGCAAAAAAATACTTCATCGCTGTGTGTGTTAGTAAAACGAATTTGTAACGCTGAAGTCTCCCGTTGCGTCGCGGGTTGCCTTCCAACACGCATGTTCGTAATTACTGCCTCGATTTTTTTTTTATGGGAAAATGAGAGCACGCTCGGATGTTATGTTTTTACAAATAAATATGCGTAATCAGAGATTGTATTAATTATTTCAATCTAATGGAGATGAAAACTTGCCAGACTTTAACTTTTTGCTTTAAATCGTTAATAAAAATATTCATGATGAATGTTAAATGCAATAACAAGATAGAGAGACTTCGCAGCAGGATATTTTATTACCAAATATATAACAGTAAAGCAAGTCACTCTCAACGAATTCAATTTGCCAATTGAATCGCCATCTTTATGTCGTTGCCATAAAATTTTTCTTATTTTCCTTTCTTCCCTTGTCGAAGCTTCTCCGTGGAAAATTTACGAGTTGTCGAGAAAGAATTTTAGAATCTTTCGAGGGAGAAAGAAATGTTTCGACAATCAAAGCCCATGGCAAACAAAACTCGGAGACCGATAAATTGCCAATAAATGCTAACAAATTGATTTTTCCGTCTTTTTGTTTTTCTCTTTCAATTGAGAACGTAATTTAGTGGTCTCCATAAAGAATAAATTGAGAAATTGGATGAGTTATTGTAAGCTTTTCATCTCTCTTTCTGCGAAGGAAATGTACAAGTTTTCTTCTTTACAAAATCCCATGACATTCCATAATCAGATCTCACCTGCCTGTGACTTGATTGTTCAATTATTCATGACATGATAACCAACTTCTTACAGACTCATTCTCTTGAGTATCCCATTCTGATACTTTTCTTGAAATACTTTTTTACAATCCAATTTTCTATCTTTCTCTTTTTGCCACTTTCCATCTTGATCTTCACATCCTTTTATTTCTTAACACTCGAGTCGAGAATAAGCCGATGAATGCGATAGTTTTGCAAGGCATCCACAGTACCATAAACAATTCAAAATAAACACTTGATAGCGCTTGAGAATCTTTTTTTACTTATTTTTACGATCTGCTACTTGTTTACTTCCCACAAGTCGTAAAAAAGTTAAAATGGAAAAAGTTTCAAAAAGGAAGAAAGTGGCGAATAGTATCAATAAAAGTCACTTGTAAAATTGGTTTTTTCTTTACTTCAATTGCTTCTTAGTCTTAACAACTAGAGAATGAATGTATTGTTTTATAGATAAATGTTTCAATCATCGAAAAGAAAGAAATGTCTCAATTGAATCTTCAATCTCATGCAATCAAAATTAAATTGGACTGGAACAATTTTTCATGTTTTAGAAATAAAACTTGAAGCATGTACCCAGGGATTTTTTTTTGTAAACGCCACTCGATCACATGCCACGATTATCTTGGGTAATAAAATATTAATTTCAATTAACTTTCGAGTGCGTGAAATACATGGAAAAAATACTTATCTACTTGTTATTGTTTTGTTTGCATTTGCAATTTGTTCTCATCCATTCAAGTGTTGATCAATAAATTATCTTCCGTGTGCTTCTCTTTTAATGCTATTTACCAGATTACACTTGCTTCGATTTGTTTACGCGCAAATAATCACGACGATGCGTTTATTTGAAACGGGTGATGGGAGAAGAACATGATTAAGGGATAAAATTGAATAAAAATGATGAAATTTCGCTTTTCGACTCTTCCCCTGATTACATGGAAATCAATTGTTAACAGTTAATAAAATTGATGTTTCCCTTTTCGGTCTTGTAAGTGTTGTTTGGGAACTTTCGCATCTTTTTTTTTTAACTCATCTCTTGGGATATCATCAACAATCTGTATAAAAATTGTATCACAAACTTTGTGGGATTTCAAAACGAAATAACTTCAAAGAGGGTTGCGATATGTTTAACACTCAACTATCTACCAGACTCGTTTAATAGCCCGAAAAGAACTCAATGATAATGAATGTGTTTTTATATAAATTTCTTCCTAAACGCTTGATTATTGTGTAAATATTTCATTGATTATCAACTTGCACGTCCGAGGGTTGTGCAGTAAGGGAGAGAAGAAACTCTTTCCATCACCCTTCTTGAGAAATAAAAGAGATAAAGAAAAAATATTTTCAATTATCCCTCCTGTATTGCTGCCTCTTCTTTTGAGAAATAAATTAAACCAAAAGTGATGATAATCAATAGAGATAAAAAAGATATCTTTATGATCGAATGATTTTGGTGAAAATTAATAAACAATGTGAACAGTTGATGAAATTATTTTTCTGTAAAGCAATTTCATATTAAAGGTTAGTCAGACCAGATAATGAAGTCCAATTTGCCAAATGCAATCTTACTCAATTTTATTCGTGAGTGTAACCTTCACGTCCCTTGATACTCTAAATTAGTAACATCATATTCAAACTGTCATCACAATAATGAAAAATGATTTAATTAACATTTGTCGTCACAATCTGTGACTTAAATTTCTCATATAAAATGTAAATAAGAAAATATTTAAATTTGTAATTAAAAAATCTTTCAAATATTTTCTAAAAAAATTGCCAAAAGAAATTTAAACTTCAAAATGAAAGTTTTCTATTATTTCTAAGGTATTTATGTCTCTGGATAGACATAAATTGGAAATTTTTTTGTTAGCAAACATTATTTTAATTCCTTCTTTGTATTCGAGGATAAACTGTTCATTCAATTGTGGAAGTTAATAAACTTTATTGCCATTCAACATTCCATTCAGAGAATACCGGTCGTGCCTAATCATTTAATTCCGAAAAGCATTTTCATTTTTATTGAATACTTTTCCCCCTTAAATATTGGCTTATGTTACTGCAACACATTCCAACTACCTACTTGTCTATCTGATATGAAAATTGTTAATCCCATTTCGATTAAAAACCACTTTAAAGTCATGGCGAGATGGTCTTATGTAGGCTTGTTGTGAATGAGTGGATTAAAACTTCCTCCTTTTGTGTTGATGTACAAAATACAATAATTTGAAAATGAGATTCAACAATAAAATTCAATTTGAAAATCGTATTCATTAAATTTTCTTTTTATATCATTTCAGGTTTGGTTCCAGGTCAGTTTATTTCAACATTTGTGAAGTGAATGGAAAGGAATCCAATTAATTAAGAAATATTTATATCATGACTTAAATTCATTCTTAATTTCTTTTCTTTATTCTTTCTTCTTCATAGAATCGAAGAGCAAAATGGCGTAAAACAGAAAAATGTTGGGGACGCTCCACAATAATGGCTGAATATGGACTTTATGGTGCGATGGTTCGTCACTCACTTCCATTACCTGAAACCATCCTAAAGTCAGCAAAAGAAAACGAATGTGTGGCACCGTGGCTGTTAGGTATGGAGATGAAAAGTAATTGATTTTCTATGATCTCTTATCTCTAGCTTTAAGGTTGGGGTGCGACTTACATTCATAGATCATTTTTGCATATGTCATGAATACTGAAAAATAATTAATTATTTAACATTTCCAGGCATGCATAAGAAGTCTATTGAAGCCGCAGAGACGCTTAAAAGTTCAGATGAAAATAGTGATAAAGAAGATGAAGAAAGAACAGAGATCAGCGACTCAAGCTCGACGAATAATAATTGTAGGTCACCAACGACACCAACATCATCAACTACACCGATTGCAAACAAAACGAAACCAGCTTCAAACGGTTCTCCATGTTCATCTTCAATTTCTCCTGTTACTATGTCACCACCGATGTCTCATCCGCCGACAACACCAAATCAACGATCAACCGAAGATGCAGCGAAATCAAAAGATTTCAATCTGATGTCAAGTCCATCATCGAGAGCTCCATCAAATTATCATTTAAGTCCACATGAACAGCAACAACAAAATGCTGTACAACATCAAGCTTCACTTGCCCATCATCATGCACATCCAGCTGCTCATCATTATCCACTTAATCCCATGAATCCATCGCCTGACACTGATCCCGAAGTGTTTAGGTGGGTGAACTACAATCGCGACTATCCTGTGTCTTTTATACGGTGAATTTCAGTTTTAAAATATTTTTTCTTTTTTGTTTTCATTTTCCAAACCGTCCACAAAATATAAACAATTTCGTCTTTACATCCATGCGTCATGATTTTTACTTTATTTTCATACTTTTGTATTTTAGAAACAACTCAATTGCATGTTTACGCGCCAAAGCTCAAGAACATCAAGCAAGACTAATGAATAGCGGCTTATTGGCACTTCAAGTGAGATCACTTGCTGGTCTTCAACACCATCAATTACCAAGTCCAATGAGTAGTTCTCCGAAATCTTGTGATAGCGTTATGATTCATCAACATTCGCCGACACCATCACCCATCAGATCTCCTGAGAATAATAACAACAATCATACAAGCAGAAACTTCAATGCTAACATGGCAGCATCAAGCGATATAAGTGAAGATATTGATATTGAAGATGTGAAACCAATTCACAAGTCAACAATCAGTCCAAATGTTGTAACGTTTTGATGACATTAAGATCGAAACAGAAGAATATTCAATGATACTTTACAAAGAAGCGAAGTTTTCTTTTCCACCATCTTAAGTTGTTGTGTGCAATAAATTATTTAAAAGCAAACAAAAAATTAAAGATTTCTGTCTTGAATAACAAATAAAAAAGAAAAATTGTGCAACGAATAGCTCAAGAAACTATCGACGATTCTATTTCTTTTCATTTTTTTGCAAACGAAAGATTTTAATTAAATTGCAAATATTTCCTACAACTTAAATGCTGTAAATTATTTATTAAGAAGACATTAAATTAAATTTTAAATTGTGTAATAATTATTAAGGCTCATGCTTATTTTAAGTAAAAAGATTAAAGAGATGAAACTCTTATCTAAGCTTAATTCATAGATTTAATTTCTGTAAAGACTCGGATTTTCCGAAATAAAAGAAAAGAAGAAAAATGTCAAGAAGAAAACTCATTTGTTTTTAGTTTTTTTTTGAGGAACTTCAGTCACGATTATAGTGATTTTTGTCCCATCCATTTATTTAAGACCTTTTTTCTGTGTTTTTCGTGAAAACAATTTTTTTTTTCGCAACTCACATAAGGGAAGTCTCTTCACCTACTGCTTAGTTTTTATTTTATTTTTTTCTTTCTTTTAAAGATAAGTAACGTAAATAATCATAAATAACTTCAATTTCTCACAAATATTCGCCTTTGATTCTTTTCACCTTCCGTTTTCATTTTTTTGTGACTTTTACTTCTTTGTACTTGAAATGACTTTTTTTCATTTGATTTGATTTCAACCGAAAGGAAAATTTTATTCATTGTTTGGTTAGATGAAACTTATTAATTTTTCTTTTGCTTATTATCAGCGAACAAAACTGTGAGTAGGTAATGTGGAAGGTTACAAATCTTATTGTTACATACATATGCTGATGCATTACTACAATTATTATTATTATTCTTGTTTTCAGTTAAATTCTCATTCTTCTGACAAGTCCTCGGATGTGATCAATAAAATTATTTTCAATAAAAATGTTATAAATAAGATTTCATCAGACTTAACTCTATGTTTTTTTTTTGTTTTAAAGAGACAGTGAAAATATGTGATAACAACTCTTATTTACGATTAAAGGAGCGAGTAAGTAATTGAATGAGGCTGAAGCCTTTAAGGGCAATTCAAAGAATAAGTAATAAGATTTACGAGTAATCTGAGGCTTTTCATTTTCTTTTATGTCAATTTTTGTGAGTTACTGACGGCTTTTTCAAACGTACTTTTTCAACCAACATGACGATTTAAATATTTTCTATTTTAATTATCAAACATTTTGACTTTCAAATTATTGGCAAATATATTTTTTCTTGTTTACTTAAATCTTAAAAATATCTTTTAATATTCTTAATCAACAAAAAAGAAACGAAAAATCACTTAATTCACCTAATATTACAATGAGTGACTCCGTCAATGTCATTATGACAATTGATTATTAAAACTTATTATAAATAAACGAAAAACCATCGGTTTGTGACTGCAATAAATTATCGCTTTCTTTATCTCATCATCGGGAAACTAAAAATGCAAATTTTGATATTTTTATTTACCTTTTTAAAAAAACAAAGATCGGAGCAAAAAATTTTTCTTTTATTAGCTTTTCTTCCGTTTCTTTTTTTTCCTAAAAATTTCATATTATTTAAAGAAATAGTCGTGAAGATTTTTATTACATACTTTACTTTAAGAAAAGCCTTTCTTTGACCGATATGCTAGCTAATTATTACTTTTTTTTCCTTACTTAGACAGCTTTTTATTAACTTATTTAGGCGAAAGAATTCTATTCAACCGTCTGCTTTATCGACCTTTTCATTGCAAGTGATTCTGCTCTATTTTTGACACTTTGCTTCGAAAACCAAAAAACAAAAAAAAAAATCCATGACCAACTTACATTCAACAGATAATGTCATCTCATTGATATTAAAAACATTATAATTAAAAATGATCTTTTTTTCTTGAAATTTCAAATTTTCGTTTGTTTTTTAATTTTTTTTAGGTTTTTCGGGATATTTAAGTTTTTTTGGTTTTTGTGTTTTTAAGTTTTTTTGTTTAGTTCTTTTTCGCATTTTTTTTCATTGCTACTACGCAAGAGATATATGTATTAGATATATTATTCCTGCGTATTGATCCTTGATAACTTTTCTTCTTGTCGCATTCGACTGGAGAATTATTAGCGCACTTATTATTAAAATTTATTTAGATATTTGTTTGTTTTTTTTTAATCTTTTTTCTTCCTCAAATTCACTTATGTTTCCCTAAAAAGATGATTTCTAGCGATGTTGTTGCTGTTGATGATGCTTTTTTATTTTCTTTTACCCAACTGGTCATAACTATTTTATTATTATTATTTATTGAAGTGGCGGAAATGTATCATTGCTATCGATCAGCAGACCAGAGCCACTATTGGTCATCATTTGCTGTTCGCGTTCTCTTTGTTCTCTCTCACGTTGCTGTTTTATTTGTTGCTTATTGATCGCTTGCAGTGCACGTTGATGCGGCGAAGACACTTTCGTTTGTGTCACAACTGGCACATTTGGCTGTGCAAATTTGTTCTTTACATTCATCATCTGATGATGATAGTTTGTCGGCGAGATCTCGTCACGTGACTTATTTGACAAGTTATCTTGCTCATCACTATCATCAGAATCAGATGTGTCACCAGAGCTTATACTTGATCGTCTAAATCCATGTCCATCAACAACACCTTGCATAACGTTTGTCGGTGGCATCACATTTGGATCGTTTGTTGTGATAATAATTCCACGATTTAATAAACGAGGCTCACATGTCATTTTTATCCAATTCCGATACTCAATAACTTCATCTGTGACTCGAATTATCCTTCCCAATATACTTTGACGATTGCAGTCATTAAAATAGTTGTTGAGTGGTGACACAGCCTGACAAAGTACAATGTAGGCATATTCAAAAGCTTGCTTCACTTGTAATGCGCCTAAAAATGATTCAAAATAATGTAAATGAATAAACTTTCACTTTTGAATAATTTTTTTATTAATAACAAACCGTAGGATGAACGTCCTATGTCATTTCCAGGCGTAAGCGGATCTTCGATACATAATAAACTGGGCCTATGTCCATCAACCATATCGCGTTGTAACTCTTCTTTCGGGATGTAACGACCACCATTCTTTATACTAATGCCTGTCTTCATATAGTTAAAACGTCGACCATACAATTCAAGAAACTCTAAGAGTAATACACCTAAATTGGCATTGGCATAAGAATTTTGACGTGGATGAAGTTGAAGAAAACTGATGCACATGAGAATAAGTGAGTATGAGGAGATTCCACCTGTAATATTATAATAATAATAATAATTATAAATGAACATTTAATACAAGTAAATTTAATAAAACTCACCCGTGAACACTTCATTCAAATCACGTTGTAAGAGGAACTGCTTGAGGACTAATACTAATTTTGATAGGACCGGATATTGGTTTTTATAGTCTTTGATTAATTCAGCAGACTGAACACCTGATTGCATGTTAAACGAGATGTCAACTTTCACTTGAGTTACACGATCAGTCAATTTTACTATCGGTACAGAAGCTTTATCAAGTACGCGAATTGATTGTGGTTCCGCTATTCGACTGCTGAGTAGCTCAACTTCAAGTGTACGAAGCGGAAGCTTTTCCCAACGACCAATGACGACCAAGTCTGCAATAAAATAATCGTATTATCTTATTTTAATCTCTTGTTTCATAATTTATTCACCAATATCACTTGTTGGCAAGTATAATCCTGTTCTAAACGATCCGAATATTTCAACTCGCGATGTTGGCCATAGCGACAGAACAGCAGATTCAATACGAGAAACGACATCCATTCGAATTGCTTGTTCTGTTGCTGTTGGAATCATGTGCGCATAAAACTGTTCAATCTCTTGATGTAATCTAAAATAGCCAAGGAATAAAATTTATTTAAACTTTATGATGTTAGAATTTTTTAACTTTTCAATATGGCTCAAAGTTTATTGATTTTCATACACGAATAAAGTAAAAAAATTTCTGTCAATTTTTATTCAATATAGGTAACATTATGAAAGGCAAAGTCAACTCTCGATATAACATTCACTGGACCAGCAAAAAGGAATAACGAGTGAAATTTCTTATCGAGGGAATTTTGTTCTAGATTTCGAGACACTTAAAATTTACTTTCGAATGAAATTTCTTATCAAAAGGATGTTATATCGAGAGTTCACTGTATATAGTATATTTAATATTTCAAGTCCATGTCAAGACAGTCATGAATTTTAAAATCTAAAGATATTGCATTCAATATTTCCATTTTCGGACATCAGTCCATTTTCAGAGCCTTCATTATGAATCACAATAAATTACCTAATATTAATGTAAGAAAAAAAATTGAACAAAAACTTTTGCCGGGTATTCGTGAAAAAGAACAGAACGAAGAAATTTGCTGAGCCGGTAAAGTGATCGTGAGAGTAAAGAGTAAACTGTACGCCTTTTCTTCTCAAACGCCTACACGTATCAATTTTAGAAAGAATACATATTTGAAACTCAACGGAAAGGAAGAAAAAGAGCAAACATTAAAGTTGTGGGAAGGTTGTAGTTATTTTTCTTTTTCTTCAATTGGCAGTGAGCTTCGATCAGATATTCCCAATTAATTAAACACATCTAACGTACGAATGTGTGTAAATTATATTCAACGCAAGCATCACATTTCACTCGGAACAAATTAACAAATTCAAAGAATAAAAAATGACGCAAGGAATGATGTCGATGTGATGAGGAGATTGCGACGTTTAAAAATAGATTAAAGAAAACAAATTTCAGACGGAAAAAAATTATTTACGATGACATTTGATTAGAAAGATAATCGTTTATAATAAGTTAAACTTCATTAAATTTTGGAAACTATTAAGTTTAGTACTTTTAAAAAATAAAAGATACTCATAGATATGTTTCTATTCCGTTTAAATTGTTCGTTTGTAAGTATTAAAAAACATTCATAAGCAATGTGCATTCTATAAAACGCGCTTTATAAATTAAGCAAAGTTGTTTTCACGATACGATATAAAAATTAAAACCTGTTCGTTCTGCATTCAGATCAATCAAAATAAACAGATCAACAATGTGTCCTTCGAATGCCGCCCGCCTGTTGTTCAACTTTTGATTTGGCCGCTAAACTGATTTTTTAGATGATTCGTTCGGAGTAAACAAACAATATCTCATCAGGTTTGTTTTCTTCATTTAGAGCATATTGTGATGGGATTCACTTTAAAGAAAATTTCCCATTTAGACTGATTTTAATTTAAATAAACTATTTCCCATCAAATTTGATCTTCCAACAGTGCGAGTAATCGTTAAAACGAAATAAGAAGAAAACATTTTTTGCTGTTTCTCTTCCGTTGCATCAAATTTTAATTTAAGCTTAAAAGATAAATTAAGCAACAAAACGATATTTCACACTGATAAATAATTAGCGTACTGACTGGCGGTTTTGAGGGTTAAATTCATTTAATATTCATTTTTTTCTTTATAACTTGTTCGAAAGCAACATTTTCGCATTAAAACGAATTAAATTGCATTCAATTATTGTGTCTCAATATTTTTTTAATGTTTCTGCAATTACAGAAGTCCAATTACACTTTAAAATTGTTCATTTGTGAAATGCGTTTTTATTTTGAAAAAGGGCTTAAATGTTCTTTGTTTGCTTTCGAGAGATTGAAATGAATCGTAAAAAAAATATCTCACAAGTACAAAAAAATGTGATAGGAAGTTAAGTAATTGATAAACACTTTTCTACGCTGTTGAAAATGATAAGACCTTGATATTGCCGGTTCAACCTTCAACACGGTCAACTCCGATGGAAATTGTTGTTTGAAGTTTCGAATTATAGCTTTCTTTGCTTGTATTTGCTTCTGTTTGCTATGACTTGTAAACTTAACTTACTGTTCATGTGATTTTTCTTCTCTCTCTCTCAAACCACTCAACTTAAACAGCAGTAGATATCTCATTTCTTTTTTGTTTTTAGCACAGCTGATATCAAATCATATGGATTTCAGAGGGAATAAATATGTAAAAATAAGACAAATATTAAGCTTCCTCTTCCTGAACATCAATCATTTAATTCATAAATTATACATTAGTAAAGATAGAAAACGATTTAGTTACAAAAATTTGTCATTAAATTTTTGATTGCATTCATTAATATTATGCAAAGATTTTATATTTTTTAAATATAGCGAAGCAAAGGTATGAGAATTAAAAGGTTGGGATTTACGACTTCAAATAAATAAATAAAAAATAAATGATTTCAACTATTTTAAGATTAGCGCACCAAACGCGTATTCGAGACAGAATCGAGGAAAATGCCGTGAGGCATTTCAAACGACACATGAGTCTTTTTATCACATCACGTGTGTGTTTGTGTCGCAAAGCTGTTTTTTTATTTCTTTGCGATTGGTAACAGACATTGAATGAAAAGAAAGACTCACGCTCTATTCGCCCCTCATAACCAGTTTGCCAGTAGTCAGAATTAAGACAAAATCTATTTTAAGTGTAGCTTGGCAAGTCTAAGCCATTTAAACAATTTATGAGAAATTCCAGCGAACTAATGATTTAAGGAAATCCAAAAGGTTTCACATTTTGCTGCATTAAATACCTAAAAAGTAACGTCATTAAATTATCTCGAATATTCGAGGCCTTCCTTGATTGATGATTCAACCAACGCAGATTTTTTATGTTCATATTTTGTTTTTCAATTTTCTCATCTGAGCATTATTCTCATTTCACATTTTCATGCATAAATAATTTAATTAAACGAATGTGTATAGTAACACAACTTTTTCTTCTTTTTGTTCAGTCACGTTATGGAATGGAATCGAAAGTGATTCTCATGTTTTTTTTTCTCTGTGTCGCTATTAAAGAATTTAAGTTATCTAAAGTAGAAATGTATTGTTCAAATAACAGAGGAACTAAAACAGAATTATTGCGCAATATTTTAAAAAAAAAGTTTGAAGGCGGTGTGCGCATGATTTGATTAAATTCTACAATAACAATTCTTTATATCATTAACCTATTACTTAATCGTCGCCTTGCTTTTTTAAAATATCTATTTAAATAATAATTTTTTAAAAAAGATGAAAATGTTTTCAATCGTGCATTTGTTTTTTGTTCCATAAACAATTAATAAATAATGAGATGAATTCTTGAAAAATACTTTTTAATTGTTTAATTTTAAGTTGTAAAAGATCTTCATTTATATCTATTATAGTTTATAAAGAGAAAACAGTTTAAATTATGGAAATTCCATTTTATATTCTTGCAATAAATTCAACAGGTGATGTTGTCTACAAAATCGTAGGAAAACTACCAAGAAAATTTTTTTCATTATGCGTAAATGTTTCACTAAAAGTCATTGGACTTCGCGTTTTCTTTCATAAGCATTACTCACAAGTTTTTCGGTTACGAAATCTTATCAATTAAAATTCGTTTGCGGCTTAACCTTATGTTGTTTTAATAAAAAAGAGATGGAAGGAGACTGACAAGCAACCTTGAATGCCCTCGAAAGAAAATCATGAAGGCAATTGTTTTTGGTTAAAAATTGAATCCAACGACCGCAAATGAATTTTCAAATGAAGGATCACAGTCGTCATTATACGTTTTGTTAGCATCTCAATGTTTTATTTCACAAAAATACGGTCGTCAAGTGATGAGTTTTTCACGTACGCTACACCAAGATTCATCACAAGCAAAATATTTCATTTTCACGAACTGTAAGACTTTTATTTGTTCATTCATAGATTGTTTTTTTCTTTTTTGTAAATTACTTGAATACCAATCGAGATCTAATTTTGGCACCATCACATGAAGACGATAAATGGGCATGTAGACAAAAAGAAACTAAAGTAAAGCAAAATGTTTTCAAAAAAAAGTTTCGTTCTTTTGTTTTATCGCTAGAATACTTAGAAAATGTAATGTAAACATTTATTGACGTAATGACATCACTACTTAAGTACTTATCATAATAGGACGACAGCGAAGACGATGAAATGTGATGAAGCTTTCAAAGAGAACGCGACTTTAATTATTTTTAAACATTGTGTTGCTGGCGTTTCACTTCGATTCTCGACATTAATAGAAAGAAAATATAGATGAATATTCGTTTTTATATTTCAACAGGGAACAAAAGAGAATCCTTATTGTGTTGAGTTGTGGCGCTAGCAGGTTACTATCGGTTTAAATAAGTGACAAAGTTCTCGTTGGAGTCAGCATTGAAAATGCTTTTTTTTAAAATTTATTATTGTTGCAAGCTCACGATGTTCACCACATTTGGTTAGTGACTTATCTCAAGGGTTCCCAACCAACAGTTTTCGCTCGTGATTGATAAGAAATCTTGAAAACATTTTGATTGATAATGAAACAGAAAGTAAGAAATAAAAGACTTGAAAAATCTAAGCTCCATTTATGTGTATAAAGAAAGAGAAACAATAAAGAAAAAATACTAACTGAAAACGAAAATAAAAACAAAACTGGATTCGCAGCTTCTCGCAGTTGAATATACACACACACACACACACATGCATAGATAGAAACGAAACGACTCATTGCAAATAGATCGCGTTTCTTTTAGCTGACATTTTTCTGCTTAGATTTTTCCTGCACCCGCGCCAATGACATTTCTAGACGATCATGGAACCTGTTTACTACAGAATTAATTCTCAACTTACCCAACGATTCCACGAGCATATTGGAAGTTTAGTGTACGCCATGGGCATCCGCCGTGCTTTCCGACCAGTTTTCCCTGATACTTGTTCATGTTATACGTCGATGCTTTGTTATCGTTGGTACTTCCTTTTCTACGTGTAGGATTGAACGTTTTTTCGGCTGTAAAATTATTGTTTGATGTGTTGCTATCGTTCGATTTCGTGTCGGAATTATTGCCATTGTTTGCTTGTTGTTGTTGCTGCTGTTGAAGCAATTGCTGTTGTTGATATTCCATTTCGTTGGTATCCCAAATATTTGACCAGATACGTTTTGCTTCACCTTCTTGCTCCTCCTGATACCAAGCCACAGATAAGTCCATGATAAAAAAAATCACCAGAAACGAGTCGGGAATGAAAACAATTATATATTCCCTTTATGATTTTCTTTTTATCTGTCTCTTTCTCTTACTTTGAAACACTCTCTCTCTTTCTTCCCTTTTTATAAAAACACCTTTCTCAATTCCCCTCGAATTGTGTTTCAAGGTTTTTCACAAAATATTCAAGAATTCAATTTAAAAAAACAATTCAATAAAAATGGAGTAATATTCAACAAACACTTTCTTGTCTTTAGATTCGATTTCTTTCTTAAAATATTCACACAGAGAGACTCTTATAAAAATAATTATCACAATTTTTTTTTCTTTTTTTTTTTCACTGATGCCAAATTTACATGAAACTCTGACTTTTATGAATCTTTGAGAATAAATCTGGAGCTGCTTAATAATCAAACGATGATAAGTCTGGTTTCGCTTTCAATACTCTGTGTCGCTTATATGAAGCTTATTTAAGTCAGTTCTGAGAAAAGAATAATGGATCTTTATAACTTTTCGTTCTTCTTCGCACGATGACGAAAATTATTTGATTTTGAAACGAATTCGACTTGTAAACACACACTTTTTAATGGAATAAGAAGCGTCAATGCTTAATGAATATTTTAACGTTATTTTAACTAATTGATTATACCAGATCACTCTCGAAATGGCTTGCGAACACGATCGAAGAATTGTTAGAAAAAAATGACGGTCGGTCGAATAAAGTTTTACATTTTTTTTCATAAGAGCTAAAATTTTTGCTAAATGCTAAAATTTTCAAAAATATGCGGGAAAATACTACGTTATAAATCGTTTAAACATTTTAAATGACAAATAAATTAATAAAAAAAAATAATTGAAATGAAGAAGTATGAAAAGTCTTTTCATTTAAAAAAATAGTTCTTTCGCGTAAAATCGTAGTAAGAAAAATATTTTCATTTTCCGATTAGTGTTCGGTTGAACTTTGATTTATAAGAATTAAAACTAAGGCTTTTCATGTGCTCAGAGTTCACACTTCTTACTCTACATACCTAATTTTTTATCAATTGATCCCTATATAAAAGAAATAATCCACACACAAAGTTAAATAATGGGCATGTCCATGACAGGTTTTCTTTAAGTGTAATATATCAAGAATATACCTAATACTAAAACACGCTGCAATAATTTTTGCGTTATCAGCCTAACATATCATGTGTCAGTACATTTATTAATGAATGTGATGAAAATATTTTCGTCAGAGTTGCTTCGAACGTTGTCGAGTAAAGACGGAAATTTAAAATCTTTACGTAGAGACTGAAATAAGGAAAAAGCAATAATTTGAATAATTTTCAAAAATTTCAAAGTGCTGAAGTGTAAATCGTCAGGCAACACTGTCGGAGGCACGTCCTCCCCTCTTCGTCTGACGTAATTCTTTGTTTACATTTTCCAATAGTTCTTCAGTATTACATTTGAGCTCTAACTGTCGACAGTGTCTGCGTTAATTTTGTTAAATTCTCTAGAATAATGAAACTAATCGGTGTGATTGATGCTGGAACGAATAAAATTCGATTTGTGATTTATCAAACTCCAAGTTTTGAAGAATTATGTTCGCATGAATTGAGAATTAAGCAAATTTCGCCCAAGCAAGGATGGTAAGATAAAAGTTGCACAATCCTCAATTTAATTATTTTTCCGTCTACGTCTGTGATTAAAATTTATTTAAAAAATCGATAGGTTGGAACACGATCCACAAGAAATTATAAGTGCAGTTCGAGAATGTGCAAAGGTCGCAATGCATTTATTACCAAATCACGGGTTTTCCAAATCTGACATTGCAAGTATCGGAATAACGAATCAAAGGGAAACTATCGTGATGTGGAATAAAAAAACAGGCGACCCTTTACACAATGCAATAGGTTAGTAGATTTTTTGTTGCTTTGTTGAATTTTAATCTTATTAAAACTGATCTTACACAATGTCATTGAATTGTCGATTGATTTTTTTCTTTATCAAAAAAAAAAAACAGTGTGGAAAGACACGAGAACGATGACATCGGTAGATGAAATATTGCAAAAATTGAATGTTGATAAGGATCACTTCCGAGAATTATCAGGGTTGCCTGTGTCTTCCATTCCGTCGGCATTAAAAATTCGATGGCTTAAGAAATTTGTTCCAAGTGTTCGTGATGCATGTCGTGATGGTCTTTGTCTGGCTGGTACAATTGACAGTTGGATTGTTTGGAATTTAATAAGAGGCCTTCATGTCACAGATTGTACCAACGCAAGGTAATTTTCGAACGAACTGAGTTCTAGAAACTGAAATTTAATAATTACCTAACATCTTAAGCTAATCAAATCTTCTAAAAATATAAGTCAAAGCGTTTAAGACTTACATCTCATCCTTATCTCTTAATTTCTTTTTATTTCTTTTTAAACACTCCAGTCGTACCTTGCTTATGAATTTATCAACATTAATGTGGGATTCTCAACTGACTAAAGCTTTTAAAATTGATGACACGATTCTTCCCGAAATTAAAAGTTCGTCAGAAATTTACGGACGAATCAATGACGGAAGTGAACTTGATGGCCTTGTTATAAGTTCTATCATCGGAAATCAACAAGCGTCTTTGCTAGGTCAGCAGTGCTTTAAAATAGGTCAAGCTAAGAGCACATATCGCTCCGGATGTTTTTTGCTGTGCAATGTTGGCTCAAAGCCCGTCTATTCTTCTCACGGTCTTGTGACAACGGTAGGATATAAATTTGGAAAGGAACCTCCAGTGTATGCTCTCGAAGGCAACATTGCAATCGGTGGTGCAGCTTTAAAATGGCTTAAGGATAACCTTGGCCTACTTTCAGATGCCGCCGAGTCTGAGAGCCTTGCAAATATGGTCCCAACAACTGGTGATTGCTATTTCGTTCCAGCTTTCCGTGGTCTTTTCGCACCATATTATCAGCAAGAAGCTCGAGGGTAAGTCAAATAATCCTTATCAGTTTTGTTAAACCGGTTTCTCCAAATACACCTTCATACATTTTTTTTTCCTATTAATGCTTTGAGCTGCCGTTTCATTTTCATCAGTTTCTTTATTCATTATCGCTTATTTTGTCAGTTTATGTTGTCTCGATGTTTAATTTGAAATCAAATCGATGGCCCCCAACACAACTCACATCTGAGACTTTGGATTCATAATTCATGAGAGCTAAATATAAACTTACAGAGTTATCTGCGGTTTGACCGCCTTCACAACGAAGAATCACATCATCAGAGCCGCATTGGAGACTGTTTGCTACCAAATAACGGACATTATTGAAGCTATGAAGAAAGATGCTGGTTTTCATCTCGCTAAACTTCACTGTGATGGTAAAATGGCTCAGAATGGACTTCTAATGCAACTGCAAGCAGACATCAGTGGAATTCCAATCTGTGAGTTTTTTTCTTATCTTGAAACAAAAAACACAAAAAACTTTTTGTCTGTCTCTTCTCGGCGATTGAACTTTCGAATTCTTGTTTTCTATTTCTATTTTTAAAGTACGTTCACAAACAAATGATACGACAAGTTTCGGTTGCGCTATAGCAGCTGCACGTGCTGAAGGCATAGACTTGATCGATTTTACTCCTCAAAATCGTGTTTATAACGTCAAGGTTCATCATGACACGTACTTGCCGACATTGACCGATGAAGACAGGAAAGGAAGAAACAAAAAGTGGAAGATGGCGGTAGAGCGTTCTTATGGATGGGCAACAAGCATTAAGAGTGCTGAAATGACAAGTAATTTACTTAATCACTTCTCGTCAAAGTCATCACAAATTATCATTGCCAATGTTGAGCAAACTTTGAGACATTTTACATCGGAGCATGGAAACTCAATTTTATATGAAAAAGATCTCATTTTGTCATCATCTCCAACATCATTTTCTCTCTAAGATTTAAAGTCATTACAGTGATTCACAAAAGATTTTTCATGATTTTCTGACCACTTTTGCATTTTCTTCATTAAAATGATGTAAAATGTTTAATTGTTTTTAATAAAAACGTCAATTTTTCTATATTTTTTTTGTCCATCTGAAATGTTTCCATGACGTCAAAAATTACTTCAAAAGTTTAACTTTGTCCGTGATTTACATCGACTTTGGGAATTTCAAAAAACATTTATTAAAATATTTATTTATTTTTTTTCTTATTCCGTGTTTAGATGAAAGATATGCAATGCTTGCGTCAATTCCATTCACAATGTTCATGTTGAGTTCATTTGGTCTGCTATCATTATCAAAAGCACTTGAATGAAAATGGAATCTTTCGGAGAAGTTCCATATCTATCAACAGTGATAATCTTCATTGGACGGTAGTAGTGGAGTGTTTGCCATTAAACTTGTGACGCAACAAATGTCGTAAAATATTTTTCCTTATCGAGGCTTTAATTTTTAGATGAAAATCCGTGGCTAGGTAGCTTCGATTTATTATCAAATTCATACACGTACTTGAATCCTATTGAATTTGGAAAAATATTCTTCGAAAACGTAGATATTTAGTGCAATAAATATTATAAAAAGAAAAAGACAATTGCAATGACAACATACGTAGATATTTTTTTAATGATTTTTATTTGGAACCACAATTTGGATATCTTTTTAATAAATGGTGGAATGTTCTTTGTTTCATATCTGTTATCAATCAGTTCGCTGCTTAAAATTGTTAAATTTTAAACAAAAAGTACAATATTTTAATCTAAATTTAATTAAATAATTGAAATTCGTAGTTAATTATTAAATATTTAATCTATTGGTTGTAATTATATGAGAAAAAAATATATTTTCGTGAAAATTGTAAGAAAAAATAAAATTCCTTTGTTATAATTGAATCATAAAAATCTATATTAGTAGTATAAATAAAAATGAAAATTCATTGCAATAAAGAAAAAATTTAATTGTTTCCTTCCTGGTCTGAAAATATCCTTCTTCTCTCTATTAATTAATATAAACTTTCGTTTTTATGAACTTGAACGAATGTCAACTATTTAGAAGTTCTTTTTGTTATGCATTAAGTAGATAATTATTGGATTAAGTGTCAGGTGGCAAATGTCACAAATATTTACATAATCTTTTTATGAATTCTTTGAAACAATCAAGAAGACATTATCGCATTTGCCGATGAACTATGATTTTTTAATACTGATAAGGTAAAGTGTCATCATCGTTAGTAATCTAACATGGCATGGCAATTAGATAAATATTATATTTTAGTTTCTCATATTTAATTACTTAGCAGTTTATGTTACCATCAAATATTGCGTGAAATTTTCTTTTAACAATTTAAAAACTTAACGTGAGTTAAATTTGTTTTATTTTAATATTTTAAAAGTCAAAAGTTGAAAATTTGAGGATAATTTTACTTATGAATTTCATGAGAAACTTGTATTTTCTTTTAATATTTTAATTTAAGAATATGGAAGTATACGATATGTTTCAATTGCTAATAGTACTGACACGATCAATGTTAGTGTCCCAGGAACATCTTATTCCAGGCGCACATTTCATTAAATTGTCAATTTTTCCATTAGCCAAAAGTGTTCCAAACTGTTGCTGTTTCTGTTGATACACCAGGTCATGTTCACTTCTACTATTAATTTTATGTTTTTCAAAATGATATTCAGAATGTGTCAGTTCTAAATTTGCAATAGATTTGCGATGATTGAACTGAGTTTGATAAAGCAAAGGAATCTGATCGTTGCGATGATTTAAAACCCCAGAACCAGTGAAAACAATCGACGACTCATTATTAGTGTTTAAAAACAGCTGATTTAAGAGATTCTTATTGTTTTTCAAGTTCTTGCTATCCTTTCTTGCCAATTGTTCTTCATCAATTTCATCATCACCTTGTTCATTGGCTGTAGCTTCACATTGCTCGGTCTCGTAAAAATGTTTCATAAATGGAAGAACATTTCGAGATTTCAGAAGAATACTCCAATTCTAAGTTAAACATTTCCTTATTAGCTTCAAATATTAAGAAGATATGTAAGTCAACTAGAACTTACCAGAATATTGTAACAGATGGCAAAAACGGTGGGAAAGACATACGATTGAATATTTTCTAAAGCAAGTACACCAATGAACCAACATATGGCAAAAACAGGTTGGAAGAGCAATGCAAACTTTGTCGCATTTTTGAAGTTTGTGTAATCATGACTTGAGCTGTTTGTTGATGACGAATCCGATAAATCGGCAAGTGACAATTGACCCAAGTCAAACTTTGAGTCATAAATGTCTGTCTTTGACTTGAAATAGTTATCTTCATGCTGTGTGTCAAAACAAAAGAAAACAACAAAAGTTAAAAATAGAAACAAACTCGACATAAAAAACAAATATGTTTTGGAATGTTTATATTTACAAACCTGATCTTCACAGCACTTAAGCTGATTATTAAATGCCGAAGTCTTTAAATAGTACGACGCAAGTATTTCCTTATCCGTTATGAATTTGTCAATATTCTGTCCATTGTTCATGATAATTCCATTTGCTATTGCATTACTTGTTGAATCAATACTCCCACACAATATATCCCGATTTTTATCTTTGATGTGCTTCAAGCATATCGTGCCAAAAATAGTTGTCGCCACAATGAGAATGAAAACGGGAACCAGAAAGTTAATAATCATATTCTTATGTATTGACATGAAGCAATATTTCTGAAACTCGAGGCTGTTTGATGAGGCCGCGTAGGAAAACTAGAAAGGAAGTATTAGAAAATAAATTTTAATTCTTTCACTAAAAAAGGATGTAGAAATATGTCATTCTTACCATCACAAAAATTAATGGACCAGCATAGGCCATAAGTAGAATAAATCGCATTTTTAATCTTAACGATTCATTTATTATTAGGTCGTAAATAATAAAAATGAACACAAAGCACCAGACACTCGTAGTGAGGTACAAATAGTGCAACAATAAAGCGATCATCTCGCAACGAAGCGCATTCTTATTCGATTGTACACCGACAATAAACAACAAGTTGGACAGGAAAAGCATCACCAAAAGGTTCATTGTGATGGGAAAGAACGCGTTGTTCTTTCTCATTCTTCGGTTTCGTAATGTCACCAAGATGATGGTAAGAATTTGTGCGAAAATGGAAAAACCCGCACCCAATATCACAATGTTCCCTCCTAAATCTTTCCATGTTTTTACATTTTTTCCGTAGTAATAAATAAACATGATGGAATCAATGAAGTCATGACTCTAAAAACACAAGAAAGAAAAAGGGACAAAAAGTATGAATCATGTCACACGCTGTGTCAGTGGCTTGTTATGATAAAACTTTATACAAAGTTCATTAAACGATAAATCTTTAAATTGCCTTTCTTTCTACATAATTCACTCACATTCAAATCATCGTTATTCAAATCCACTGACTGCGTGTGATTAATCCGACGTATCTTATCCTTTTTTGGTTGTCGTATGCGTGTGGTATCTGACAAAATAATGGCAAGAATTTTTCGCATAAATGATTAAAGACTCATTATGTTGAAACTTGAGTTCATTCAACTTACATATTTTAATAACAGTGTCATCGTTATGTTGATTCACCATACGCGTCTTGTTTAACATTCTTCTGTGAAAATCTTCAGGGTCAGGATAAATCAAATCCAAGTTGTCATCAATTCGTGACGCATCTTGTCGATATGAAACTTTTTCAACTTCCGTTCTTGTATTGTCATAGTCGTAAATAGGTTCAAATGACTGTGATGCATTAAAATCGTTAATATATCGGCTCGAATATCCTTTCGTTTTATTTGCTGATAATGATTTTGCTTTTACTAGAAATATGCATTTTCACATTCAAAGTTTTTTTCTTCTGGAAACAAAAGAAATGTTACGCAAAACTTACCATCACTCGCAAAAAAGACGAAAAAGATACACAAATAGTTAACAATTAAAAGATATAAATTTTTCATGGCGTCTTACTAAGCTTCGCAAAGTTACAATGGCGGAAAATTTAATTAATTACACACTTGGTAGCTTCTGAAAATTTTGGAAAACTCAAGAATTTTCCTAAAGAACCTTATCGCCATGATTTTTGTCATAGACTGAAAAGCTTTTCTCTTCTCTCACGGACAGATTTTTTCGTACAAACAACAGAATCCAATGAGTATGAGGTGCAGAGTAAATGGGATGAAATTTATAGCAAAATGGAGTGAGGGAGGTGAGGGTGGAAAATTTATATTTCTTGCTCTTTCTATCGACATGAAATGTGAAATAGAATGAGAACGAAAATATCCTTGATTTGTTTCTACAACACGATACACATCTGTTGTTGTGGGTGAGATGAAAATGGGTGGAAGGATGCTGACACAGAATTTCTTTGACATTGAAAGCTGTGAGTATTCTCTCTTTTGCGTACAACAATCTCATTTCACATTTCATTTTCAATTTTAATATTCAAACGATTTCTATTTGCGATATTTTGTTTTGCGCAATAAACTAAGCGATATAAATTGGAAACAAGAATGGAGTGATTAAATGTACAATACAAACCGTAACTTTTATTTGAATTTTATTTTAGAATTACAATAGAAATGAGAACGCGACAATAAAAAAATCACCAGATGAAAGGAACTTTCTCCCGTAAAATTCTAACGCCATAATTTTCAAAATCTTCTTTCGTGATCCAAAGTTCTTCACTTGCTTCTAATCCTGCCATAACTGATGCACCACGCCACACAATATGCCCTGGGTCAACATCCTTTGGTGTCATGACAATATCTTGACTTTCAGTTCGATAAGTTAAAGGAATTGCTTGTTGAATCTTCGTTTGTAACCAGCGTGCAAGACCAGGAATTTTCGAACTACCACCAACGAGTAACACACAATTGTACATTTTTTTCTTCAATTCTTCATTCGGTAAATGTTCAATACTTTGAAGTATGGCGCTTTCTAAGCCACTAACTTGTCCAGTCGAAGTTTGAAAGTCATTGGCATTAAATTTAAGTAAATCTTTGTCAGTTTCATCAACGACAATCTCATCATCAGCATCCATTGCATTCCCATCATTAGCATTAAATGAATTCTCAGTTTGATCTTTTGTGTAACCAGCATTAGCTCGCCGACCTGTTTCTCTTAAAAATTCAGCATTAAAGCAGTCTTCAGAGTCAAAGTCTTGTCCTAATGTCTTTTGAATTTGTATAATTTTGTCACGATTTGTGTTACCCAAACTGAACTTTAACAAGTCGGTATGGAAAAGAGATAAAGGAGCAATCAATAGTTCATCTGCTACTTGTAAAACGTAACGAACTGGAGATTGTTCTGGTCGATTTATAATGAAGCTTTTCTCTTGAGATCCGCATATGTTCATGTCAATGTGACATGATGACTCTTTTAAATGATTTAATAAAACTGCATCTTGATTGTTATTTGGCTGACATTCCTTGTATGGAAATGCAACTTTCTGTAAAAGCCAGAAGAAGCACATCGTAACATCACCTCCACCAAATTTCAATGAAACTCGAGTGTTTGGATGAGATAAAGCATCTTCAATGCATGATATCGAAATTTTCTGATCGCCAATATCAACAACACAAGCATAACTCAAACCAGATCCAAATGTAGCTGCAACATGCTCTTGAACTGAAAAGAAAAAAGTTAATTGCGCTCATAGACATAAATTCTTACTGAACAATTAATAACTTACCTAAGAAACATGCAGAGAAGCCCATTTTAAATATAAGAGCTGTTAATTCTTTAATTCTCTTACGATTATAAATGTCAGGAATAATCAAAACTGCTTTATACTGGTTTAAGTCTTTAATATTGATGTCTAAGTAGTTCTTAATGGAATATTCCCAAATTGTTCGGATATCTTCAAGAACTGAAAACATACTTCCACCAATTCCTTTGTGTATATTGAATTCACCTCGTCGTATAGGAAAGTGAATGTTAAAATTGCCATTTGGATCCAGCCGAAGAACTTCAGCTCCTACAATTGTATTTACTTTTTCCTTTGGTTTCAACCAAAAGACTTCTGGTTGTCCACTGACAATTTCTGGATGAACTCGTTTATTGAATGATGCTAATTGTTGTGACGGTGTTCCATAACGTTTTCTTCCATTAGTTTGAAGACAATTTTGAAGCATATGACTGACACTCAAACGACTTTCATCCATCTCATGAATAATATCCTTAGTTTTTGATGATTCTGGTAAAATTGAATCTTGATGTATGTTTCCAGGATCTTTGCCTTTTCTTTTTCTCGCGACACAATTAAGAATCATTTCGGGATTGAGATCAGATGCTTTTCCGATCCTCAAATAGAGGCTACCGGGATGAATTATTATTATTTTTGACATTTTCCGGTGAACGCGTTTGTTTGTTTGATATTTTTGTTTACAAATTTATTACGTCATGCATTTGCGGAAAGGTAATTTTTTTAGAACTCAAACATTAGTTTTAGTACAAAAATTGTTGCATTCTGCGGATTGAAAAGTTTTAACTTCGAAGAATTTTGTTTACGGATTAGTATAATTATCATGACATCAAATATTAAAATAAATCTGTTAATAGATAAACCAAAATATACTGCAGACTTAGGAGACAACAACTATCGTGTGTTTACACCAGGAGAATCAATAACGGAACAAAAAGATTTTATGAGGTTGGAAACAAATTTTCGTTTGTTTACATGTTGATTGACTTAATAATGTAATCAAAATTTTATGTCGTAGAGGTCATGGCACTTACGTTGAGAATGGAGAAATCAAATCATCTGTTGTTGGTGTAGTAAAGAAAATCAACAAACTGATATCAGTAATTCCCATGAAAAGTAAGTACACCGGAGAAATAGGAGACGTTGTTGTGGGTAGAGTGACGGAAATTCAAAAAAAACGCTGGAAAATTGACACCAATTCAAGACTGGATTCAGTTCTCTTAATTTCATCAATTAATTTACCTGGTGGAGAACTTAGAAGAAGAAATGCTGAGGATGAGCAAAGTATGAGAAAACTACTGCAAGAGGAAGATTTACTTTCTGCCGAAGTCCAAAATGTCTTTGTTGACGGAAGCTTATCTTTACACACTAGAAGTTTAAAGTATGGAAAGTTGTCTCAAGGCATTCTCGTGTCTGTATCACCTTCTCTTATCAAACGAAGAAAGACACACTTTCACAATCTCCCATGTGGCGTTTCCATTATCATTGGAAACAACGGTTATGTTTGGGTATCACCAACTGTAAATGTAGAACTGGAAGGGCAAGGAGGTTTCACTCAAAATCTTGAAGCTGTCTCCAAAACCGATAGGGAAATGATAGTACGAATAAAAAATTGCATTCTTGCACTTTCATCATGTTACGTTATGATTTATGATACGAGCATAATGTTGGCTTATGAAGAGTCTTTAAAATACGAACCTAAAGATCTTCTTAATCAGGACATTATGTATGAAGTTGGCTTTAATGCAAAACAGCGGCTTTTAATGGTGAATCAATAAAGAAATGAGAAATGAAACAGATTTTGTTTTAAATTTCTGATAAGTACATATAAAGACCGACTCTAAACGATGTAGAAACAACAAACACATGTTTTTCTAGAGGCTTCTTTAAAATTTAAATTCATTTTCAATTGTTACAACATAAAAATTTTAATAATTTTCGAATAATTCTGATGAGTCTGATAATTTAAGTTTAGATTTTCGATGTTTAAATTGACGATTTGTCGCTGATAGTTTATGTTCCGGTACGTTATTTTCCAAATGATTTTTTTATTGATGAATTTACTTAACTTATTAACTTATCTAATGCATTCATTGATAAAGTCATTTTAAGTCAAATCAAAGAGATAACCAACTCAAAAATCTTAAAAAGTGTGCTATGTTAGATTTAAAGAACTGAAACAAGGAATAGCAAAGTTTTAAAATACAGTTTATAATAATTATTTCTATAAAATACGAATATACATTACATGTAGTGAATTATTCAAAATTAATTCAATGCCATATCATGTAATGTTTATGAAATTATTAAGTTTATTAAGCCAACTGATCAGGATTTAGTTTTAATCCCGATTAAACGGGATCTGACCTTAACATTCAAAATCTTTTATTCTGCTTTATCGACTATTTTCATATTTTTCTATTTTCATAGAATTCTTCTAACATTCAAATAAATCTAAAATGATGAAAATAAGTAAAGAGAGTAGATGAATACCATCAACTCTTTTCTGAATTGAATGAGATTCAAAATTCGTCTAATGATGGCTGAAAATAAAATTTTAATATGACAGGTAAAATAACAAAATAGTTTTGATTTCGATGCATGTGGTGGGTTTTCAGGCCACATTTTATTCATTCTGATGATTTGTTTTCATATTATGACCATAATGATGTCTGCATATTTGAATTCAACTTTACTTTACTTAATCCCACCACAAGTTTTCCCTATGTCAAATATGATATAATTTGTCACTGTTGGTGCATATTTTCGATTTTTCTTTTTGTTATCTCTTTTTTTGGTATGTTTTAAGCAGAGTGTCAAGAATTGCATAAACAATCCTTTCTACAAGATACTAAAAAGCTTTTGATGATCGAATTTAAAATTCTTCCAACATTCCGGCATATCCATAGCGAATGGCTTAACATTTACAATCGGTTGAATATTTTCCTTGATATCATTGAAAACTTTCTTTTCATTTCTATTTTGTGACTGCAATTGATTAATTTTTCCATTTCCTTTCGATTTCTTGTTGAATTTTCCATTTTTTTCACTGTTCGTTGGCCTGAAAGCAGAACTGCTTGATTGTGCAAAAGGACTGTTGATGGGAGTCGAGGTTCTTGGTTGTAACTTCAAGTGATCGTTATAATAAGTGTTATTGCCGTTCCCATTCTTAAAAACATCAATGACATCACTTGTCGATTTATTCCTTTGCTTTCCATTACGAAATTGATGATCGACATTGCTTTGGAAGAATGGTGAACTTGGTTGCTTTGTAAAAATCAAATTCTTTTTGTTTCCATTTCGTTGGCCTTGATGTTTCTTCTTGTTGTGTCCATAAGAGCCCCGCTCGTTCATGATCCAATGCTTAAGTTTAGAAATGAAAGGCAGAATCATAAAGAAAGAGTTGGCTCGGATTTTGCGTTGGTCTTTAATGTATCCGTCATCGTTTCGATTATTCGGCAATTGATCAATAGCAAACCATGAGCAGTCCTATAAATGGAAATCATTAATAAACGAATTTTCAACGTGAAAAGCTTTTAATAATCTTACCTTAATCTCATTGCGTGTTCGTGGACAAAATTTCGTATCAATTGGAACATTTTTGACAATATACAATCGTGTGTATTGATAATTACTTGTTTGTCCTTCCACAAAGTCATTTGGATTGATCAAATTGCTACAATCAAATCCTGTCTCCTCATAAACCTCGCGAATGGCACATTTAACTGGATCCTCATTTTCATTAACTTTTCCTTTAGGAAATGACCAAGAGTTTTTTGCAAAGAATGATTGCACAAGAAGACAATGTTTCATGTCTGGAGTTAATAAAATAGTTCCATAAGTTGGAACAGACATTTTATAGCTTCGCCACTGCTCCAATATTGTGTTGAGATCAACGATATGATGGTTTAGAAATGGAATATGCTCGAAAATAGTTAAAGCAAATTGCTTGATTCCACATGAATACACTGAATTCTCTTCCTGAGTGCAATAAAAGTCCAGAAAGAACCAATGTGCAAGTTCGATTTGAAAAAATAAACGTATGAGATCAGATTTCTCTCCATCGGGCTAAATTATTCAAAAGAAAAAGAAGTAAGGAAACAAAGAAATGAAAACATGTAAGAAGAAGACTTCAAAATTACACAAAGTCGTAATAACTTACCAAATTAATGAGAAATTTTGAGCTAAGGTCATCTAAAATATGAACTGGAACTTTTCTCATATTAGATGGTATCTGAGACATCTGTTTTGCCTTTTTTTTCTATTTAGTTTAATTAAAAAGATGAATTTAATGTTTTTTTCTTCTTTTAGTCATTTGTCTTCGTATACGAATATTAAAACTATACGAAAAGTATTCCCAAAACAAGGTTAAAATCTTGAGTTCTAAAGTTTAAGAAAATATCCGTTAAAAATATTTCTATAAATCATCCTTCACAAATGATGGATATTCCATTTCCGCATAAGCAAATGTTTAGAAAATATCATTAGTCAAGTGCCATAAAACCAAGATGTTCCTAACGAGAAATTATTAATAGAGAAAGCTAAGTAGTGAGAAAATTAATTTCTATTTCTGCGTTAATGACTGTTGCTCTCTCTTTCTGTTTACTGGATTTTGTAACAAGGCGACATCTATTTTCACCTTTTTAACTCACGTCTACCTAAATACAAAAAATGAGAGGATCTTCTGAGCATAATTGCTTCTTGAGTGGTAAATGCAGTTTCTTGCATTTATAAAATGCGAGCAAAAGGATCTTAAGTCATCATTCTATTTCGAGAATTGTAAGTGAATACATATAGCTCACAAATAAATAATTAAAAACAAAATATAAATCTACGACGCCTGTCAAAACATGCTAAGTAAATATCTTAAAAAAAATAACATTATTAATTATAACTTTATTATAAAACTGTGATTTTAAACTGCATTAAGTGTGTAGTGTATGAAACTTTTATATTTGTCTCGCAAAACAGTGAAAACAAAAACTTTAAAGATCATCAAATTAATTTCACGGATGACTAGCAAATTTTACAACAATTTTTATCATTCTTTATAATATATTTTAGATTCAAGAATCATCCTCTAACAACTTATAATAATTCGAGACTTGTTTACAAACAATTTATAAAAAAAATCGCTATCATCCAAACAACGTCATCATGTTCTCTCAAAGGAACGGCAATAATAACACTTCATCACCATCCAGTAATCCACCTCAGCAAGCGCCAGTTAAACAGCTTGGCATGACATCGGCCATCTCATTAGCTGGGCCAAAACAAGAAGACATTCAGAGAACTGTGGATTTGGAAAAATCTCTTGAACCTTTTAATGTCTTTGAAAACGAACAGGAACTCAATCATCGCATGGAAATCCTCGCAAAATTGAATGGACTGGTAAAGCAGTGGGTAAAAGATGTCTCGATTAGTAAGAATATGCCGGAGCAAATGGCTGAAAAACTCGGAGGGAAAATCTATACATTCGGATCATATCGCTTAGGAGTTCACCACAAAGGCGCTGATATTGACGCTCTCTGCGTTGCTCCACGTAACATTGAAAGAGCTGATTACTTCTCGTCCTTTTTCGATCTCTTGAAACAACAACCAGAAGTAACTGAATGTCGCGCTATTGAAGAAGCCTTTGTACCGGTCATTAAGATGAAATTTGACAACATCGAAATTGATTTGCTATTCGCTCGTTTGGCGTTGAAGGAAATTCCCGATAATTTCGATCTTCGCGATGACATGCTGCTAAAAAATTTAGACCATAGATGTGTGAGAAGTCTGAATGGTTGTCGCGTAACAGACGAAATCCTTCGTTTAGTTCCAAACATAGAAAACTTCAGACTGGCTTTAAGAACAATCAAATTATGGGCCAAAAGTAAGTTAAAGTGTAACAAAGTAATAGATTTATAATAATTATTTTATTTTTTTATTAATCTTTACAGAACACGGAATCTATTCAAACTCATTGGGCTACTTTGGAGGAGGTAAATTGACTTTATTATATATTTTTTGTGACACTTGTTGATTTTCAATTTCATTCTAGTATCATGGGCTATGTTGGTCGCTAGAACATGTCAACTCTATCCAAATGCAGCAGCAGCAACAATCGTCCATAAGTTCTTCTTAGTCTTCTCTCGCTGGAAGTGGCCACAACCAGTTTTGCTTAAACAACCTGATACAGTCAATCTTGGATTTACAGTTTGGGATCCTCGCGTGACTCCAACTGACAGATATCATCTCATGCCAATTATCACTCCAGCTTATCCACAACAGAATTCAACCTTCAATGTCTCTTCATCGACGTCCAAAGTTATTCAGATGGAGTTTATGGAAGGTATGGAAATAACAGACGAAATAATGCTTGGAAATGCTGGATGGGATAAACTCTTCCAAACACCACAATTTTTCACCAAATATCGACATTTCATTGTTCTTCTGGTGAGTTCAACATCAGCTGACGATCACTTGGAATGGTGTGGATTGGTTGAGTCAAAGATTCGTATTCTCATCGGAAATTTGGAACGAAATCAACACATTCAGTTAGCTCATGTAAATCCAAAGTGTTTTGAAAAAACAACAGGAGCAGCAAAGGATAACAAGACGACACCGCAATCAACTTCATCGCAATCAGCAACTGACAGTGAGAAGACATCAAGTGAGAGTGAAGATTCACATGCAGATTTCTGTTCGATGTGGTTTATTGGTCTTGAATTTGAACGCACCGCTAATCTCAATGTCGATCTCACTGTCAGTATTCAATCATTCACAGATCAAGTCCATAAGCATGCAGTAAGTCAATTAAATTTAAGTTTTTATCAAATTTTATTCTAACATCGTTTACAATTATTTTTTCTAAGCTCAACATTAAAATGCTAAAGGAAGGAATGAAAATCGAAGCGCGACATGTCCGGCGTAAACAACTCGTTCAATACATCGACAGCAGCTATGTGAAGCGTGAGAAGAAAGTGTCAGAATCACTTAATAATTCAGCAGCATCTGTAACGCAACTAGCCAAGAAACGTTTTTCAGCTGAGATGGGACAACTGACTAATAATCCAAAGCGTGCAAAGCTCCAAGAATCCGTGAGTAAACTAGAAAAAGTAAAAATTACCAAACGTGAAGTAATAAGAGAATTAAATTCTCGACGCTGAAAGCTTTAATAACAACTTCCTGGACAATTTATTGCCAGGAAGAATCTTTAATTATTAATATCTCTTTGATTATCTTTTTAGTGAAGAAAATGTTCTTTTAAATAGACATTGTCTTGAAGATCTTTTTTCCTTTCTTTTTTTTGTCACTTTAATATTCTTACGTAAGCAAAATTTTTCTCTTCAAAATTCCTTCAAAAAAAAGTTTGACAGTGTTGCAAATGACTCGCAAAATGACACAGTCTTAGATGATAGCTCACAATCTGTAGCATCTCCCCAACCCCAATTGTGCACGTGACGATCTGATGGTGTTTTCATTTGACCGATGAACGCTTAGGAATTGATAAGGATAAATTTAAGGATTACAAGTTCGATATATTAAAAACCATTCAAATATTTTCTTGAAATTGAACACACTGGTGAGTGTGTAGAGTTGAATTTTTTCATAATTATCCTCTCTTTAAATTTAAAATTAATAGTTCATCTACAGGTTCAAACATAATTCATCATTTCAACAACTATGAAAATAATCTATACAAAAGTCTTATTTTCAACCGATAATGGATCGAGACAAAGTAAAAAAAGCAAAAAAAATATAAAATTTTAGTTACTTATAAGAAAGAATGAAGAAAAACGACAAAAAAATATATAAAATTATTAAAAAGAAAACGAAAAAAAGTATGCTGAAGAAATGAACAGTTTTTTAGACTTTTCCATCTTAAACGTTTACTCTGCGTGACTAAATGAAAATTATTAATGAATAAAGCGGCAGGAAAAAGAAAATTCACACAACATTAACTTAAGTAAATGAAAGAAAGCACCTTCATAATGTTTTGTTTAGCTTACTTGCAAATCTCTCCCACGCAAAGTAAACTGTAACATGGAAGGTTAGCATAATTAATCAATTCAGCTTATAAATATTTTCATTTTCTTTACTTATATATTTTTTTTAATCAATAAAATGTTAGAGGATTTAAGAACAGATGTTAAGGACGTTTCCTTTTCAACGTAAATGTCAAAAATATTTTCAATTAGCTAATATGGAGTTGTGATTCGGAAAAGGAACTAGAAGTACATATAATCAACGTTGGATTAACGGATGGAAGAAACCAGAGACGAAGAAAGGAAACATTGTAACAACCAACTAAGCATAGATTCATTTATTTTTATGTTCTCGCAACTTAGATTGTTAAATAGAAAAATATTCAAAATATCATCATTATTTTCTCTCATATTTCTTTTAACTTCTTCGAAAACTGTTTAAATAATTTTTGGTTCATCCCTTAAGATCCCTCAAACCAACCATAAGTAGAATGAATATAAGAGAGAAAACATATTTTTTCATCTGTGGTTTTTGCTCACTATTTGATATTTTGCCAGTTATAAATAAAAATATGTTAGGTTCTAACAATAAAATCAGTTCGACTTATTAAGGAAGATTTTTAGGGATTTTCAGATTTCATAAAAAGCAAGGAAACATCTTTTGAGAATCAAGATTAATGTCGATTATGATTCACTATCGAAATTTAAATCAGAAATGTATTAATTAAAGTAGTCTAATAATTATTTCAATCTAAATCGGTTTTTTCACCTGTCGCTATTTCTAATTGGCAAAACGTCAACTACATTATAACATCATAAATAAAAACAACATTCTTGTAAAAATTGAAATTTAATTTTATGAACATAAATTTGAATAAAGGTTACAACCCAATAAGCCTAACATCAAAGTTTTCTCATTTTCGTAGTTTGGAATCAAACAAAAGTTCATTTAGTAGTAATTTTAAGTTTATTTGCAGATATTTTCATTTTTCTTTGTATTCAATTAAAGTTCTTTTACAGAAAATAAAGTATTTAATTTATCCAAGATCTTTAAGCCGCTCATAACTTTTTGATAACTTTTGTGATATTACAATGAACTTTACATCAAGTGTAATTATAACAGGTTTGATTTAAAAAAAAGAGTAGGTAATCTTAAATGAATGAGGTGAAGTATTTTTTACTTTTGATTTAATATTTTCCTGATTATGTTAATGGCAGAAATGCTTATGAAGATTTTTTTGAAGATTATTAACGTCGAGAAGCTCGTTCATCTTCATACCTTCGACGTCTTTCTCTTGATCGTGAACGGTCGTAATTTTTTGATTTACTTGAATATCTTTCACGACTATGAGATCTGTATAAAAAAAATTATTAAATTTTGAACTTCCTTTTCAGATAATTTTTTCTTACCTTTTCGAACGCTTATAACTTGCAGGCTCATCGTCATCATATCGTCGTCTATCTTTAGATCGTGATCGTCTATGTTTACGTTCATCTTTGTAGTCTCGTTCTCTTGGTGGACGATCACGTTCGTAGTTGCGGTTGTCACGTCTTTCCACAGGTTGTGGAACATATCTTTGTCCTGGTTCTGGATTTGTCACGATTCCGTGTTTGTGGTCATATTGACCGAGTTTTTGTTCAATTTGCTTTTGAATCGGAACGGGAATTCGTGGAAACAATGTGCTGAACCAGTCAAGTTTGACCATAAATTGACGACAGAGTTGACCAACTGTTAAAGTTTGACCACCACCAGCTTTCACATCAATTTCTTCTTCATCTTGAAGGAATTCTTCGTACCAATCGAAAAGATCTGCTGGTGGTTGAGTATATCGTATGTACATAAATCCAAGTCCTCTGATATATGGTGAATCAGTATGTTTAATTAAGCCATTTAATTGCTTTCGTGTTAGTTTCAAAGTGTAGAGCTTGTAAAGAAGACAGAACTGTGAAGGAAAATATTTATTTGAATGAAAACTTCATTGCAGCTTTAATAGAACAATAAATAATAAATAAATTGAATGAAACTTACTGCCGAGCTAACAATTCCACCAGCACCGACTCCACGCACGCTCCCTGTTTAGTTAATTATTGGAATATAAAAATTACGAATAATCTTAATCTAATATAATCCATTCGCACGCGATTTTTTATTTCAAGAACTTACCACACATTCCAGAATTACCGGACGTCTTTCGTGATCCTCTTTCCTAATAATACATTAATAAAATTATTTTCCTTTACAAATGCATTCAAATTTAATCAACAGAATTATTCGTACCCATGGTTCGAGGTGTTTAACTTGATAGTAAATCTCATCTATTACTTCATGATACGTTTTCAGCTGAAACAAGGTCACTAGAAGAAAACAAAATCGAGATTAATTCTAATGGATCTTTTTTTAATTTTGAAGATTGCAAATAGAAAACATGCAACATTACAAAATAAATTTGCAAATGAATGCTCAATCTAATGCAATCTGGATTTTTTTGTTTTAGTTGCTGGGATAGCTTCATACCTACGAACGCACGTACCTAGATGAAAAACCACATCGAAATGGGGAAGAGAGAGAGAGAGAGAGAAAGATTGGAAAGAAAAAACATTTTAGATATTTGAAGGAGAAAAATCAAAACAACAAATAAAATCTTACCTTTAAAATAAACAGAACTTTGTATGTTTGTAAGAATTAAGGGATTCAAATTCATAGAATCATTTCCATAAAGAGGAAGAACATTGTTTCTCTTTCTATTACCTCCCGAAAATTCTGAAAATAAAAATTAAACCAGAATATAAGAAAAAATTTTAAACGTTTAGATGCTTAACTAAAAACCTTGTTCTTCAGACATATTTGCAAAATAATTTTAACACTACTTATTAGCTAAATAACAATTCTTTTGATCCAACAGGTTTCGACCGTTTTGTTTCAAAGGACAAAATGCGAATGAAGCGTTTTGGATATTTTCAAAAGAAAAGAATTTTATGAAATTGAAAAAACCCCTCGAAACTACGTTGATATGAAGTTGATTCAGAAAGTGACGAGTAAATTTAAAAACATATTCGTTAAAATTATGACTATTTTTAATACGATTGCTCGCACCTATTTCTATTTCTATTTCTTTATTTATTTATCGACTATTTTTATCCGTTTGAAATAAAAGTACAAAAATATGCCATCAAATTGAAAACATTAGGAGTTTATTTTATTTATTGATCGGAAATGAAGTAGGTATTTATCATTATTATAATGTTTGTAATGAACCCACCTAGTAATCCACCTATCTAATTGAAACATTTTTCTTTTATGTCACTTTATGCAAATTTGAAAAAAGATCGTAAATATGTAAATTGGTATGTAACATGATGCAATATATCTTTTCAAATTTAAGACTCACTTCGGTGTATTATGGAGAGTTCTTGATATAACTAACGCGGTTTTCATGCATTGATTTTTTCGATAATAGGATGATTTTTTCTTAATATAACGATTTTCTAGATGCAGTGGTATTTTTCTTGGTATCTTCAGCCTCGTTATATTAAGGTTCCACTAGTGCCTATTCAGATAGCTATCTAAAAAAAGTTTTAATATCGAAACTAAATATGCATCTTTATTTTTCTCACCCCAACCGTATTAATTCAATTATCAAAAAAAAAAACGAAAAGAAAAAAGACAAAGAAATCACCCTTTTAAATGACTTTCTGTCTTGTTTTCTTCATTGATTTCACATAAAAAATGTTATTTTTTATTTTGTCATGGATGAGCAAAAACACGAAATTTCTTGCTTTTTATTTTATTATAGTGATTGAATTTGTAAAATTAGTCTTGTCATTTAGATTTCAAACATGACTGAAGAAGGAATCAGCACCTCAATTACTGTGAGTTTTTTAGAAATGAAAAAGTTTCAGTTTTTTATATGGACATCAGTATTCAATAAGATAGTTTCTTATTAGAAATGAATTTAAGATAATTTATCTGATTTTATCACACATTTAGAACTCTTCAGAAAACTCTGCGAAACATGAACAATTTTATTTATACCGGTATGCTAATAGAATATTAAAACTGATATTGGAAAAGAATCCTGATGTCACAGTTTTCATCTCAGACCGTCAAGGAAAAGTTCTTAGTTCAACTGTATCTAAAAGACAGACCTTAGAAGACGTTGCGTGCATCATGAATTTCACTGATAAAGCAAGATTTGTAATGCGGAAGCTTAGAGAGGAAGATCTAGATTGTGTAAGATTGAGGACAAAATATCATGAAATTATAGTGACTTTTGATGAATTATTAGAAATTGTCACAATTCAAAGAGATAAATCTCATATGTAATTGAAAATAAAAATTTAACGGATAGAAATTTGAATATAATGCGTGTTCAGAAATCAGTTCGTTTTAAAATCGTTTACGTAATGTTTTGAATTAACAGGGAGTCAAATTCCATTATTTTATCAAGGAAAACAAAATGTTTTGATTATTAAACTTTTACAGCTGTGATCAATTTCTACATTCCATTAAAAAGTAATAAATTAAGGAAGAAAATTAATTGAAATTAAATATATTCAACAAAACATGTTAACAGAGGAAACATTCCATAGAGTCTCTCTTGCGCAAAATCACGGAAAAATTCTCTTAGATCTATTTTATACAAAAGATTTTCTTCAGAGAATCAGTTCAAAAGAATCACTCGACTTTCAAGCGTTGTTTTCTGCAGAAATTTACGCAAAATAATTTCAAAGTGTTATGATTTAAAATAAAGTGAAAAATCAATTATTTTCAATAGTTAATAATTTAAAAAAGTAGAACTATAAATATATGGAAAGTTTTGAAGGAATAAACTAATATGTAAGTGATAAGAAAGAAGGAGCAGCTACTTTGAATCCACCATAAAAAAATTAATCGATAATCATATATTCTCGGGTCCAGTTTTCATTTTTTTTTATTTTCTTTTGGATGATCTCTTTATTTAAGAAGAAAACATTCAAATAAATCTCTGTCAGTGTTAAGAGGTTCATGACATATCATTTACCCAAACATCCCAGGTGATTTCATTAATCTGCAATAATCTTGTTATAATAATTAACGTATTACAAAATGTCAACATTTATTTAATTAATGTCAATTTAAATTCAATTTCCCACTTGAATAGTCGGCATGACATGTATTATTCTCTTGTTCATTTTCCTCCAAAAAATAGATTGAATTGTGAATGAAAAGAGAAAAGTGTGAGCAGATTCAGTTGCAAATTAAATATCCATTTTGGGAGTGTTAAATTTATTAACCTCTTCGCTTTGTCGTCGCCAACTTAATTGAGTATAAAGAAAGACATTCAATTATACCGTCAGACGTAATAAAAGAAGGGAAGCTGATAGTCGTATAAACGATTTAATTAAAACAGGTGAGTAGTTAATATGCATAACAATTTAATAGAAATTAACGAATTCATGTTACTCAGAGTGTTTATTTTCATTTTACGGGTACTTTTTTTTTGTTTTCGCATTCTTTCGCATTCTTTCGCACACTGTTTAACGACTCGTCTACGCTGACAAAATAAATAAACGTTACCTTTAGCTAGCTTTGTTTTAAGACAACAAGATATCAGTAGTATGTACATCGTTGCTTTGTCAGATTAAGTGTAAGAAAAAAACGAGTAAAAATTAATTAGATATCTACCTTGACATTTTGTAATTGTTGTGTCAATTATTTTAATCATGGTACATATAACATATCATACCATACACATACCACACTTCATATCTACACGTTAAGTTATTCGTCTCATTTAGTAAATCTTATCTAACGCCATATAATACATTCACGTTCATAACAGCGATATCAGTATCGCTCTAAAATTGTGTGGTGAAAATCCACCTACAAGCATATTTGTAAGGCAACGGTACGTGTTTGCATAAGATTTTATTACGAAAGATCTTAAGACTTATTTGAATATCATGCTCGTCCCATTCTAAATCTCAATATTAAATGCACAAATAAATATTAAAGTTGCATCATTTTGTTTCCGATACAGATGTGAATCACTATATTACTCACGCTATTATCGCTTCGTCTTACAATATTGTACTTTATTTTTTTTTTCTATTTTAAATTTAGTACTACTTACAAGAATAATTGAACAATTTTGTTTTGAAAGAAGCTTTTTTAAAGTTGCATTGAAATTTGTAATCTTATCAAAGCAAGTGATGATATAAATACACAGTAATTTCTCTCATTCATCGTAGTATTTAATAGAATGCTTCTTCGTGCTCGTCTTCTTGGTGCCATTGTGCTTCTTTTTTATATAATATGAAAGCAGCAGTGGTATATGGAATGGGAGAAGAAAACATTAAATAAGAAAACTTCATGCAGTCATTCAGGTCATGGTTAATTGATTTCAATCTTATAAATTTTACGGGATGAGTGAATTGTTTGACGCCTGATGGCTAAGAAAAAGAATTATCGCTTGTACATTATCGCTGCGGCGATCCGATTTGAAATCAATACCTATTATTAAAGAAGCTTGGACCAATTTTATTGTATATACATATTTGCAACATCGCAATTTATTCTCATTCCCTTCTTATCATGATATCAGTTAGTTATGTATGACTATTAAATCAGAAAGAAAAGTTATCGCTTCAAAAATGAACGAATTTATTTTGAATTTTTTATTTCAACATACTGAAGCTTTTAATTAACTAGAATTATCAATAAGTCAAATTTATAAAATCAGTGGAAAGCTTATTCAGTTACCTGAATAAAAAAAATTTCGCAACTATGATATGTAGGTACATGTCATCTATTACGAGGCTATAAGAATCTTCCCCATACTTGTAAATGTGACATAACCAAATGACTACATTCTCTCTCTAATTAAAATAATCATGTACATCATTATATCTTATTAGAAGAAGAATTAAGTTGGGTAAATAGAGTAAATCGTTTGTAATTAGCTTAAATAATTAATATGGTCAAAATAACAAATCGTGATGTTTATGTTGTCACACAACTTATTTAAATGGTGTCAGATAAAACATATTCTTATGAAGGAAGTTTCAAGATAAGTTCATGAAATTGTTCACTGTAAATATGAAATGTGGTTGGGGACATTGCATCAATCTCATCATTTTGAATTATCATAGACATGCATGGAAAGAAATTCTATACTAACACATCTTCTCTATGGAATAGAAAATATAAAGAAATATTTTTGTCTTCAACTTTTAGACATCATGATGTCTCTAAACTGAACTCTTTTAAAAAGTTTAGGTTTCATAATAATTTTTTAGGATGTTGTCTAATCCAAGTTTCATTTACTTTATTTCATGCAACGGGCCACTGACAAATCCAATTTTTGAAATGAAATTTGTTAACACTGTCATCGACAGACTGTTGATCATTGATACTCCCGCAAGAACCATTGTAGCTTATAGGAGTGTAAATTTGCAATAGAAAATGGCTTATTGATTTTCGTAAAACGTTCTTTAGAGTAATTTGCAATTTATTTAAAGAGTTTATGTTGTTCCTTAACAACTTTCAGCAATGCAATAACAATAATTATCACTTTTTTGTAAGAGAGAGAGAGAGTTTAGGAAAACCAACATTATAATAGAATTTTCAACTTCCCTAAGACAACTGTTTTGTAACAAATTTGTCTCAATTGCTTATTTTAGTTAAACTAAGTATCAGCAACTGCAAGTAACAACGATACCTTAAGAAATGGAGAAGTTCTTAATTGCAGTTGCGAAAATATTTTAACATATAAAACAAAATTGTTCGTTCGTACACTCGTTGTCTACACCTGTGTGAGTTTTCCAATGGTTATTAAATTTTTAAATGTTGTATAAAAGGCTTGTAATCCCATGCAAATCAGAATAGCTATGGATAGTTAGGAATACCCTAATGTTTCCACATACTTTCTCTCTGCAAGCTCTGCTCTACATTTCAAGAGTAAGTTGTCGTAGTCTGGGGGCGATAAATTATGCTCTGTTGTGTTGTGTGTCTGCACTGAATACTCTTCAAATTCTTTTTATTTATGCAAACCAACGGGTTTAGTTTCTCTGTCAGATTTAATCTCATAAAATAAATGGAACTCTATCATGTTAATTATTTTTAAGCTCGATTCATTCATTACCTTAGATTATGAGCATCAATGAAAATTATTTATTCAAAATTGGCTTGAAATTGTTGTAATTGAATTAACTTTGGTGTATAATTTCAGCTGAAACGTCGGCATTTTATTTTGTGAAAGAATAATCAGTTTTTATCGCAAACGAATGCGAAAAGATTTTATTCGTAAAAGTTAATTTAATTATAAGGAAGATACGATGGAAGGAAGGGAAATAACATAGAACAAGAGCCTCTGTTTGTTTGTCAGTAAAAATGTATGTATGTTTGCTTCTTCATTGCTACCAAACCTATCACTTTACTGCCTCTTTCAATATCACTTGAGAATCTAATTGACATTGTCTGCCTTAGTCTGACACGATGATGTCGGGAATCGTGCTTCTTGTTTGTTTTCTGTCCATAAACAATCGATGAATACTCAATCAACCATGACAAACTTGAAGCAAACCCCCGCAAATAGTTCCGTTGTTGTCTATTCCTTTCAAAACAAAATAAACTTTCAAGCAGTTCATGAACTTCATTGATGATAAACGTAGTGGGATTTGATTAATTCTTTGTTTTCTAGTTACTTGGCTTGTTTTTGATCTCTTTTTTACTTACATACTGTTTGACACTTTTCATTTATTAAATGCTGCTTACTTGTGGAAATTGTCACTCAAGATATCGAGTTTTATCTTTACTCTAACCGTACGACAAAACGTTCATTTTTCATCACATAAAATAAAAGAAGTTGACCAGATCATGTTTCTTATTCTTTACTTAGCTATCGAGGAAAAATAAAAGAAAAAGATTTTTCCTTCTTTCCTTTTATTTTTGTTGTTTTTGTCTTCGTTTCTGTCATCTCAATTGTTGATGAGTCATTTGACGATGACTATGTAGTTCATTATGAAGACTTTTCCGACTCATGTTAAGGTCTTTGAACACTAAATGATTGTTCTCTAGTTTTACTTGAGCGAATAATATTAAAAGCGAATTTTCTTCAAAATGATCTTTTAATCTGAGAAAGTAAACGAAAATGTCGTTATTCAGTATGTTTAAGTAATCGTTGTTACTGCTGCTGATGCTGCTACTGGTGCCAGTCACAGATGTTTTAATCATCAAAGTGAAAAATAAGAAGAATGAAAATTGAAAACCAAGGAAGAGAACTGACATAATTTATGTTTCATGTTGAATAATTTATTTCCCAAAGGAAATTGGAAACTTAAGTCAAGTTTTGCGTTTTTTGTGTCTGGCGCTTGTGAATAGCGATGAATCGTTTAATCGACAATTAGTTGATTTCTTTAAGATTCTTTTTCTTCTTTTTATTTACTTAAAAAAAATTAAACGTTAAGCCGTCAACAAAATATTTCGGCGATTTTCTCGGTTTGTTTTCGTTTTTTGAGTATATCATAAATCTTCACTCTGTTACAGATTTTAAAAATGAAATAAATGAAAAGTTGGATTTTCTTCTAAATATTATGTGGGTGGATAATATTTCATGACGAGACATGAACACAAAAAAAATTGCTATGGAAATAGATTTTCGAAACTGAAATTGTCGGACAGTGATGAATATTTAAATTGAAGCAATTAACAGCAGGAAATGTTCATATCAAATCGATTTTACGTGTTCGTATCGATATTTAAAGATTTTTATCGATGAATGTTTTACGACTTTATTGCAACATCCCTTCAACACCCCTGAGTACCAATCAGAATAATGATGACAATTATTACCAACAGCTGGCTCCAATCTTTCTCTCACGAGTACTTTAAACGTTTCATAATTTTTTTAACTGTTTTTCGCTGAGTTTTTGCTGATCTTTTTGTTCATTTTTTATTTTTTTTTTCATCACAGGTTTGATTATTTGAAGCCGCAACAATGGAAGTTGAAACGCGCGCTGCCGTTCTACAAGATTTACGCATTCAATCATTCGACACAATCAGATTCGCTTCATATCGCACGGCATGTAAATTACGTTACGTTCAAAAGGCAACAAACTGTAAATATAAAAACATCTTTGTTTCGTGTAGTGGCTTTATATATTTTATTACTTTCAGTACACCTTGTCGACATTTGGAATGTAATCGAGGCATTTCGCGAAAATGGACTCAACACGCTTGAACCAACAAATGAAGTGAGCGTCGCACGACTTGAAACGCTCATCTCATCACTTTATCACAATCTTAATAAACGTCTTCCAACAAACCAACAAGTCCCTGTTGATTCAAAAGCCGGACTGTTACTTAATTGGCTTCTGTCCGCCTACACGCACGACAACTCAGGTATTCGTGTCTTCTCAATTAAAGTCGCATTAGCCGTGATGTGTGCTGGTAAACTGGTTGACAAATTAAGATGTAAGATTCCAATTTAGCTTCACTCGATATATTTAACATCATTGTCACTTCTACAGATATTTTCTCACAAATCTCTGATGGCGCTGGTCAATTGATTCATTGGAAAGCAGTTGATTTCATTCGTGAAATTCTTGCAATTCCTGCAGCTGTCTACGAGTCGCCAACATTTCATTATGAAGAAGGACTTGAAAATGAACTATTTCCTATTGAAAATAAGATCACAGTGAATGATTTTATAGTGACGATGGTGAGTGAACCAGGTCATGCTTGTCTGGTATGGTTGTCGCTTCTTCATCGTCTTGCGACAGTTGAAAATGTTGTTCATCCAACGGTGTGTTCATCATGTCAACGTGAAAATTTTTCCGGCTTCCGTTATCGTTGTCAAAACTCGAGATGCCACGGCTACCAATTGTGTCAGGATTGTTTTTGGCAAGGACGTACTTCACAAAACCATCAAAACGACCATGAAGTGAAAGAATATTCGTGTTACAAAAGTCCAAGCAAACAAATCGGTCATTCGCTTAGAAAAAGTTTTCGTTGTGTACCGGAGAAACAAACGACTGGTGTGTTGCCAAAGTTTCCTGATCAGCCTGAAAAAACTTTGAATCTTTCACACATTGTTCCACCTTCACCATTGCCATCACATCATAACGGATTTAGTGATGGAATTTATGATAGGAGTAGCACACTTGACTCAAGGGCAACTGGTAGATCCCTTGACAGTACAATGATGATGAATACAATGGGTGAACAAACAATGCAAAGGACTTTCAATTCAAGCGACGATCCGCATACAATGATGGCACGATATGCTGCGAGACTAGCAAAAGAAGGAAAAGAACAAAGTGGAAGTTCCGGTATATCAGAAACAACGACACAGAAGACGCAACGTGAGCTTATTACACAGTTGGAATCAAAAAATAAAGAAATTATGCGAGAAATTCAGAAGCTTCGACAACAAGAGCAAGAAGCAATGGGCCAAGAAAATCCACAGTTGGTGTCTGAATTGAGAGCTTTACGGCAAAGAAAAGGAGAATTGGAAGGTCATCTAGGAGCGCTTCAAGATTCACGACGACAACTAATGCAACAACTCGAGGGATTAATGAAGTTATTGAAAAATCATCAAACACAATCACCAAGATCGACGCCAAATTCTAGTCCCCGATCAGCAAAGTCACCGCCAATTCCCCAAGGTAAGATAATCACATAAAATGTTTGAAGAATAATTTATTTAATTAAAGTAAGTGAAATCATTCCAGGTCCTCAATCTCAACAGCAAACAACTAGAAATGGTTCGCAATCAAATCAAAATGTGCAGAATCAGCAGCAAACGAATGATGGCAACATAAACGGTAATCAAAATGTCAGTGGTGGTGGTCAAAATAGTCACAAAATAGCAATGAGAGATAATTTGCATTACGCCGCTGATTCGGTCTCAAATGCAATGTCATCACTTGTGAGGGAATTAAATTCAGGTGCAGACTTAGAATGTTCACAGTGAATTAGAGAAGATGATGAAGAAGATCATTAGATGTCCACACAAACTTCTAATTTAATTAACTTTCACTTTTTATTTTAATTTTCACTTATGCATGCTTCTTCACTTTATTACTTATTAATTCAGTAATTCTCAGCCTTTGTGATTAGAGAACTTTTTTAATCATTCAATGATTTGAAGTCGTTGCCTTCACTTTACGTGACATAAAAAAAGAAAAAGGTTGAGTAATTTCTGCATTTTACTTTAGTTGAAAATCACTTTTTCCGTAGCAATTTCTTAGCGTCTTCCTTTTTTTCTTCTAAATTAGAAACGAGCACGTTAGATAGAAATATGATGATGCGAAGACAGTATCGAGGTAAGCAATGTAGTTAAAGAAGTTTTGTATTTTTTTCTCATTTTTCATCATCATCATCAGTCCAGATCATTTCTCAATTTTATGATTTCTTTTCTCGATGTCTTGCACAAGGGATAAATATACGTGATGACGGTTGAACTTTTGTTATTCATAAAAAAGACAAACATCATCTAACTTTGCTGATGAATGTTTTGTTTTTATTCTTTATTTTCAGACTTTGAGGAGACACAGAACCAACAAATCAAACATCAGCAGCAACAACAGATGGCCAAAGGAAATGGAAATGGAAATGGAAATCCCCACTGGCAAGAACGATTCGCGCAGTGGAACCTGAATAATTAAGCGCTTTTATGATTATCGTTTGATGACCAATTTTCCAAATTTTCTATCTAGAAGATTAAAAAATATTATATTTTATAATGAATTCCTACTCACACCTTTTATCGTGGTCCGAAATATTCATGAATAATTTCTAAATTTTATTCCAATCTAGATAAATCTTTAAATTTTCATTTTGAGAATGTTTTCATACAAATTTGATCTTTTTTTTACTTTCATGTTTCAAAGAACTTTTGACACATTACAATTTAATGAGATTTGTTTGTGGAACACATAAAGAAATACAAAGTATTATTAGATAAATATATTATAATAGCGAGAAATGTTTTCAGAACTTTAATCTTTAAACTTTTTATGATATAAAGTTTTTAAAAATCTTAAAAACATTTAAAAACATATTTTCTTCCAATTTTAAATCGAAGTTTTTCTGTTAAAATTTCTTTTTAATCATCTTTGATTGATTCCATGAAAAACGAGATAAATAAGAAAAAACAGCAGATCTTTCAGAAAATAGAAAAACTTACTTAGTATGGAGGCCTAAACTCGTGAGCATACTTACTTTAAATTTGTGTAAGTCAAGGTTGTTTTGTTTAGTCCAAAATAAGAAAAAAAATGGCAAAAGAATGATTATAAAAAATCGTGCACCAAACTCATTAATCAATGACACGTTCGCTCATATTATACTACAAAAAAACAATTCTTTAACCGAAAGTGTTTCTTGCAACACAAATACACACATTCCTTGAAAAATGGAAATAGTCAACGAGATACAAGTTGGTAAAGTTATATTTAACTCATGAGTAACATATTGATTATTATTGATCAAATGGAAAATAAAGATATTACGAAAATGAAAAACAACAAATTTGTTTATACATCTTTCATGTTTTCTTATGAATTTCAGCTTTCTTGTTCCATATATTTTAAATTCAGTAATCGTATCATTGCCTTTTGTATTGTATTTACAAATCTAGAAAAATGTAATTATGGGAGAAGAATTTTAATAAATTCGTGAGAATTTTCAACTATTTAGTCTGAAAATATTAGAAAATTTTAAAACTCTCTGACTAATATAAAAATTAATTTAAAAATATGTAGCACAGCACTCTAGCACTCTACCTAGTCAATGATCCATTGGAAGGTGATGAATTTTGAGATAAGTTTCATTCCCTGTTTCAGATAAAATATCAAAAATATCAAAATCATCTCAGTTTATTTAAATGTATTGGACTTCTTAATATCTTTTTCTGATTGGATAAGAAAACAATTAATATTCATGTACGTAGTTAGGGTGAATTATCTTTGAAGAAAAGTTTTCTTCGGTAATTTTCGTATTATTCAGTCATTATAAAAAGAAATTCTTCTGTCAAAAGTACCATTCACGTTTTCATTCTTTCTGCGACAAGCTGAAAAATGGAATTGAATAAAATTCTAACTATCTTGGTTTTTTCTTTGTTCTTAACAGCTAGTTCTGGAACTCATCTCGCAGAAAAATGTAAGGAATGCAGGGACTGCGATGCACTCCAAAGTAAAGTAAGAGAATTGAATGTTGAATTGGGCAATATTCGTGAAGACAATGACGCTGCTTTGAATAGAATTATGTCGAGTGATGACATGGCCAAATTTATTCGTTACCGACAAAACGCGGAAGATAGCGGCAATTCAGATCCAACGGAATTAGGAGAAATGAGGAAAATTGTAAATGCTTACTATGAAAGCGATCCAAGTTCTGAAGCGTGGCAGATGATAGCTAGAAACACCGCACGAACAGATGAGATAGAAGAATCATTTAAAGACATGATGAATGATTCTGCATTAGCTGGTAACGTGTGTTATCCTTGCAATGGATTGAGTCCATTTAGTTTCAAAATCAGATTCAAATTTAAAGTCAAATGTTGTCCACTTGTCATCGAAGTTGGAATCGAGATTGAATTCTAAACTGAATCAAGAAAATATTCGAAGAAGTCATTACTATATAATGCATTGTGATGTTTGATGACATAAATAAAAGGATATTGGCAATAAATAAAAATTCTTTTTCTTAGCTTTCCTCTTTCAATCATTTAATGGTTAACATAATCAATTAATTAAGAAATTCAGCTAACTATTACTTTGAAATTCTACCGCAGAACTTTTCAGTTAAAGTTCCAAGTCATCGTTTGCTGCACGTGTGTATTTGCATAGGTGGTTGCCATTGAAAGTTTTTGTTTAAACATACTTGACATCATCGTAGTGATAAATGAACTTTTGTCAGAGACATTCAAATATTGGTTGATATGAATTGTTTTTCGTAGCAAATATTGAGTATCACTGATAAGCTTGATATTAAAATTTTCATGAAAAGTCTGATGTTGTTCTGAAATACCTATAACTTCTAACGGTAATTTTAAATTTAAAATGATTTTCCGCTTCTTTGTTTAATGATTGTTGATGACGATTTCTGTAAACAATCGACGGGAGATTTTGATTCCTTCGTGATTAAGTGAAAAAGAAATTAAAGATTATTTTAAAATGTCTGATAAGAATAAAGTTTTCCAATATGTGCAATTAAAGTCTGTGGTCTCTCCAGATTTCTGGTACAAATTAGCTGAAACAAAATTAAATATTGAAAAATTGAATGAGAACTCAAAAAATATCTTCGGAAGTTTCACAAATTTCAATTCACAAAATTGTGTTGTTAATTTAGATTGTACAGCTTTCAATAGGTATAATCGTAATTATCAAATATTTCCTAAAATTGATTACAATTTGATTATATTTTAGTCATTTCAAACCACGCATAAACTCATTTCATTGTCACGGTACTCTACTGAACAGAAATACAATTGAATCCTTTAAAGATTCTGACAAAGCTGAGTTATTAAAAAAGGAAGGAGAACAACTTATTGATAATATTGTCAATGGATTATGTTTGGAAGATCCTACACTTTTAGTTCCTTTCATATTACTTTCTTATGCTGTGAGTATTTATTTTTTAATTTCTTCAATCTGAGTAGATATGTACATAATTTAATCAAATTGTTTTTAGGATCTCAAGAAATATAATTTCTATTATTGGTTTGCATTTCCTGCTTCAATTGATCCTGTTTTTTATGAAAATTCTACACCTCAAAAGCTTGTTGATGTATTTCCCCAACAAGATATTGCAAACTTCAATGATACTTATAGGAATTTTGAGGATCAGAGACTTGTCTCGTTTTTCTTATGTAATGAGAAGCTTGAGATCAAATTATTGAAAGATTTAATACGTTGTGATAATCTGGAAGGAAATTTAAAAGAAGTTGACTTAAATTTAACTTATTTCAGTTTCTCAGATCCAAGTGAATATGAAAATCCTGCTTGGCCACTCAGAAACTTTGTTTTCATGCTTTTAAAGCTTTGTCCGAATTTAATTGGAAAACAAATCAAAGTAATTTCAGTACGACAAGATAGCAAAAGAACATTAACCCCTAGTTTAATATTCACTCTTGATCTACAAGCAGTAAAGATTAACGAGAAAGATGAAATTAAATGGACAGGTTGGGAAAGAAATAATCAAGGAAAACTTTTACCCAAAATGTCTTCAATGGGCGAATCAATGGATCCTGAAAAACTTTCTGATCACTTCTCAAATTTAAATCTTAAACTAATGAAATGGCGATTACTGCCAAACTTAAATCTCGATGTCATAAAATCACAAAAATGTTTGTTGTTTGGTGCAGGAACATTAGGTTGTGCAATTGCTCGTAATCTTCTAAGTTGGGGAGTATCAAACATAACTTTTGTTGATTATGGGAATGTCGCATTTTCAAATCCTGTTAGACAGAATCTGTTTACACATGATGATGCTGTAAAGAAGAAGCCAAAAGCAATAGCAGCAGCTGAACGACTTAAAGAAATTCTTCCTCATATTAAAGCTTCTGGTCATGTTCTTCAAATACCAATGCCAGGCCATATTATAAGCGATTCAATGCGACAAAAGACAATCGAAAATATTCATCAAATAAAACAACTCGTTGAATCTCATGACGTGATGTTTCTCTTAACAGATTCACGTGAATCACGTTGGCTACCAACATTACTCGGTGCAAGCTTTGGAAAGGTACAAAAAGTAGATAAATCGAATTAATTGGATTAAAACGTAAAGAAAAAATATTTATTTTTATCAATTAGATTGTGATAACAACAGCGCTTGGTTTTGATAGTTATTTGGTGATGCGACATGGTGGTGCGTCTTTGAACGAAGTTAATGATGACGATATGAATGTGCCGGGTTTAAAATGTATTTCGGGTTGTCGACTTGGTTGCTATTTTTGCAACGATATCACCGCACCAGGAAATGTAAGTAGAAATAAGAACGAATTTAAAAGATTTGAACATCTGGATGACTGAATGTCTCGAAGCCTTCACAATCGCTCATTCCCATGTCCATATGATCAATCCCTTGAACTTCAACTTGCATTCCATTGCTGGTTTGTACTCTGAATGACATAAGTGTGTCAAGGAATGAATTACTAAAACGATAGTCATAAGTGAACAATCTTTCTCCATTTACTGCAACAACATAAGCAGTTTCAGTAAATCCAATTGCCATTTTAAACATTTGATCAATCTCATATGGGAATCCGTGTTGTTCCTCATGACGCCATTCATGTGATTCGGTCATCATGTTGACGATTGTCAGTCGTTGATGAACCCTGCAGCTGATGTGCAGCATTTGACGCTTAGTCGAACCTTCAGTCATTTTAAAGATCATTGTACCATTGGGATTACCAGATGGAATGGCACTGATCACCATTAAATGTCCAGGGAAGAATTGTCGTGGAGTATCGAAACTTATTTCTTGTCCTTTCCTTATATCTTGTTGCACAAATGGCCATGGAGATGGATAAGCTCGACGATGATCAACTTGATAAATTTTCTGTAAATCACCCAACACTTGAATTGCACGGATAGTGTCGAGTGGCATTCGATAGCTGTAAGTGCAGAACGGTTGATCATTTACACTGACATGAAAACGGTCGTCACCGGTTAGAATATAAACTTTAAAATCCCATCCTGACATAATTGGATTTGGCGATGCCATCAAATTATCTTCAATTTCTTCATCACCCCACGCTTGTTCCATTAAAGTATTTCTTATAATGTTTTCACTATGAAAACGTACAGAGAAATGAAATGGAATGTCAACTTCACCAACTTTACCATTCGATAAATTTATCACTAAATTCATCGCTCCATCAATAGTTTTTCCTGATACCAGAATAATATGTCCAACTTCTACTGGCCCATGAACATTTCCCGCAAATGATGTCAACATTTTCAATCAACAAAATTTTTACACGTCCTAAAGAATTCCTTTTCAATTCTTGACTGACAACAGTTTCAAACTCAAAAGCTTTGACTTAATTCTAAAGATTTAATTCTTATCGAAAAATACTAAAAAATTTCTATCGAGTTTTCATTTTATTTTGTTTATCTTATCGCCACCACCTGAATGATTAATAATGAATGCATAAATGTATGTATGATGATGATGAATAAGCAACAACTAACACATCTAAACAAAATAATGATCATTACTAATGATGAAAATTAAATTTCCAACAGTCAATGAAAGATCGAACATTGGATCAACAGTGTACGGTGACACGACCAGGTGTCTCAAATATTTCATCAGCTATTGCTGTTGAACTTCTCGTGTCCATTTTGCAACATGAAAAGAAACATTCAGCACCAGCTTATTATCAAATGTCACATAAAGATGCCGATGCTTCAATTCCTGAGGGAATTTTAGGAATCGTTCCACATTCAATTCGTGGATATCTCAACAATTTTGAGCATATTTTGCCGGCTACTGAAAGATTTTCACAATGTATTGCGTGTTCAGAGAAAGTTCTTAAAGAATTTGAGAAAAATGGTGAGGATTTCTTGTTGCGAGTCTTCAATTCTGCAGAATATCTTGAGGAAATTACGGGAATAGATAAAATTGCCGAGGTTGATAATGCTGTAAGAAATTCTATGTTTTTTTTTAAATTTTTTTTAAATGAATAAATGTTTTATTTCAGATTATAGATTGTGATGATTTCGACATCGATTCTGAATAGTTGAGACAGAATAAAAGAAAAATATAATGTTGTTAATGTTGAGTTATAATTAGGAAGATTAAACTTGAATAAAATTTCGTTTTGATAAATTAACATTCATTTCAAATCTTCATGCTTGAAGCCAGGATTAGAAAAAACCTCATAAAATTTACAATCTTCTTTCGTCTGAATATGATCAAAGCTGAAAACTCTTGCCGCCATTCCATCAGTTCCAACTACTTTGAATCCTGTTAATTGTTCAAAAATTGGATGTTGATAGTCAGTGCCAGTAGGTGGACGTGTTCGAATAAACTTAAAATTATAATCAAGGAGATGTTTTCCATTCATTGCGACACGAAATGACGAGCTTGTTATAGCGACTGCGAGAGTAAATTCATTTTTTAATGAAAATGGTTGAATTTGGAATCTCTTCTCATCTCTCGACCATCTTAAATGAACAAAAAAAACTTTCAGAATATTATTTTATACATTAAATCTTATTTTACTCGGTTGTAGTATTCATTGTGTTGACCACTAAAGCTTTTTCATCGAATCTTGCGTTAAAATGAAACATTTGACGTTCTGTACCAAGATCATTGAATTTGAATTGAAATCTTCCATTTTTGGACCCTTCAAGGATCATTTTTAAAACAACCACTGATCCAGGACAAAACTCATGCGGAACATCAGCACTAAAATCATTATATGTTAAATCTTGTTGAACTCCAGGCCAAGCCATTGGGTAAACTCTTCGATGATCAACCTGGGTAATTTTTTGAATGTCCCCAGTAATTTCAACACTTTTTATCAATTCAACTGGTGCTTGATGCTTGTAAATATACAAATGTTGATCATTCATTGCAACATGAAAATTATCTTCAGTCACAAAGATACAAATTTTGAATGGTTTTCCTGACATGATTGGCGCTATATCAACTTTTAATGATTCCCTCCATTCTGAGTTTATAAATGAATTTAAAACAATTTCAAGTATTCGAAGGTTTACAAAAATCGTCAAAGGAATATTTTCATCTCTATCTGTTAAATTTACTTTTAAAATCTTTGCATCCTTCGTTGTCACTCCTGATATCACGAGAGTTTCACCAAATGTCAGTGGACTATATAAATTCGCAAAAAAAGGTGACATAATTATCTAATGTTTGGAACTTAAAGCTGCAAAAAATGAACTGAACTAACATGTTAGTTCAATTGAAAGTGATATCAATAAAAAAAAAACGAAGATAAATGATGATAAGAATGTAATATAATAAATGGAAGAAAAATGTCTGAGTAGTTGTGAGGAATTTAAATTCTTTTTTCTATTATGACAGTTCAATCTCAACAATCATGAACAATTTCTAATAGATAATGTTTTATTAAATATTGAAGCGTAGTTTTTCTGAATATGAACATTTTTTATTTTTAGCTAGATATTTGATAGATATTGAATTTCTGACTAATAGTGCACTATGAAAGATTTTAATCATTGCAATAGACCATTAATATTTATAAATAAAGAACATTTATAATAAGAAGAAACTAAGAAAGCTTTGATAAGAGCTGTTTACAATTTCAAATTGCATGCGAACATTCGAAAATACTAGGGGGAAATTACGGGCCGAATTCGCGAGCGAGAATAATTTTTTAGGAGTTGTTAACTATGATTTCTGTCAACAACTCCTGGAAAGTGTCAACAACTTCAACAATTTTTGTGAAAAATCGCCTTTGACGACAACATCCGTCCGTAATTTCCCCCTTGGAAAATACATTAGCGCAACACCCATAAGATGATTGATTTAGCCACCTCAACAGTTCTGGTTTTTTTCTTTCATTTTTTCTTCTATCTGACTATTGACCTCTCTTAAACAGGAATGGAATAATTTTTTTTTCCTCTCTTGGAATTTGCTCAGGAATGGGGAATTGTGACAGGAATCTCGCTCAGAACTGATGATCCACCATTAATGACAACATCGAGTATCAGTGGTCAAATAGCATTTTGGAACTTGGAAGAGAAAAAAGTTGTGGGCACTCTTTTAGCTCATTTTTTTAAAACTTCATCAGACAACTCACTGAAAATGTGGATTTTTGATAACTCGATGGATTAAATGTTAAACTTGATAAATAAAGAATTATTTTAATGTAACTAATGAACATAAATCTTGCTGTTTATTTGATTAATCTTAATTAAGGAAAAGTTAGGCATGTCAACTGTCCATGATTGTCGCTGCTTTCAGTTGTCTTCTTAACTTCATCACTGAAGTTGTTCACGATTCCAAGAGATTTTTGGACAAGTAACTTCCAGTTATGTGGATGGCCACCAGGATTTGATAACGCATAGAATTGCTTTAGTATAGTTCCAGAACAGGAGAATAAGTTATATATTGAAGAACATCAAAATATTTGTAAGCGAATACTATTAATTGATCTTTTTCATAATGTATTGAATGGTAGATCCCTGTCCAATAGGTCAATTTGTTTAAATTGTATCCACTAATACGTAGTGAAATTTGGAGGAAAATTATTTACTTGCCAATATATTATATGGAGATAAGTATATCAAAATACTTAATTTCAGTTTACCTCTAATTATTGAACGTTAGTGAAAAGTGAAATTAACGTGAAGCTAATAGAAATGTCTTAAATACTATTAAATTTTAAGTTTTTCAATAAATTTGAGAATTTATTTACCTTACGCTTGCAGAATTGCACATAGATCCGATCACCTAACACTTGCATAAACTTATACATATATCTAAGGTAGGAAGGTACCTAATTATAATTTTTTCTATAAAAAGAAATCTTTTTCAAATCGAAACAAAATTTTTTTTACATTGATTTTATTTATTTATTAATGAAACCGCATTTATCTAAATCATTAAGATACATTGTGAATAACTAACGAAAGACAAAAATCTTCTTTTTAATCTTCTTCTTCAAAAAAATTAGTTTATCATTTTTATGAAGAAGGCTAGATATGCACAGTTTATGTATTTTTTTTATGATTCTTCCTTTGCGGTGTTTTTCAAAAGTCGCCTAAAATCTTAAGCCTTAAAGGAGATTTCAAATGTTGAGAACTTTAAAGTTAGGTACTTAACTTATTTGAACGAATGAAATTAAATATTACATATTAGTTAAGAAAAATTAAATAGATACAATAGCTAGAGCTTGACTTGACATGTTTTGAATACTCGATACGACCGTTTTTATCAATCACCGAGTGTAATTTAGCACTTCAGCAAATCTTTAGTATTTGGAGTGATTTAGAATTCTGCAACTTTTGGAAATTTGGTGAATAAAAACTTTAAATTGATTTAATTATGCTCTAAATAGTATTTCGTATAAAAATTTCTTATAAGAAACCTTAAAACGTAAAAGAATTATTATTTTTTTCAATTTTTTGGTGAAACAATACGGTTGCACCAGAACGTTGCCTCCGTAGTTTTTAAATTACAACATTTTAACATGGAATTAACATATTCAACGAATTTTCAAAATAAATTTGAATTATCTACTTTGCATGCTTTATTGATATGAAATGTTTGAAAGCTTTCGAAACTATAAATTTGTTTTTTGGAATCCTCTCATCTTTCGATATTTATTCAAACAATAAATGAAATAAACTATATTTATTAATTTGAAATTATGATTAATTTTAAAAACAATGCTCTGAATAATAATAATATAATATCTCAAGATTTTTATTTGGGATCAGGAGTTTCCTATAAAATTATATCGGAAAACTTTTTAATAGCAAAAACATACAAACATATTAAAAAACTATATTATATCCTATGTTGTAAATTATTAATAAACTCATAATATAGACATTGGATTTCAACCAACATGCTTTACCACAAAGTTTAATTTGGCTTTCATTCATATGTCGATTAAAACAATGTTTCAGTTGACGACGATGAGTTGGAAAGTTTCTTAGCTTAAAGCACTGTAATGACGATGCGTTATAATGTTTTTCGATAGGTTGATTGTGAAATGGTTTTGGATTTTCTTCACTACATAGAGTTGATGAAATAAGAAAAATCATGTTGCTTGAAGGAATAGGTAACACTATAAATGGTCGATCACAATTGTTACTCATTGGCAAATCAAATGCTGACTTCTCTTTTTCTTTTGGTCTCCAAAGTTGATATAGTGTTATAACTTTGTCACAACGTTCTGGTCGAGTTCGATTTATGAGAACTCGTTTATCAAATTCTTGTTCTTTAGATTTGGTTGGTGGCATGTCGTAACGTTCTGTTGGATCAGGACTGTAATCATCCCCATAAGCGACTTTAAGAAAAAAAAATATAAGGGCAAATAATTAAAATATAATCATATGTGTATATAAGTTTTAAGTCATACATGACTCGCTACCGTAGTATGATCCGTAAGCTCGAGTGTTTTCGACTAAAACACTTAAAAAGATCCATATGATATGCTTTGAAATAAGTTTCAAAACTTGCCATATATATTTAAAAGGCTGTAAAAGAAAAATTATTAGCTCTTGTTATCTTTTTCAAAATCACTATAAAATTGCAACGTACTGTCAAAAGTCTGCTTGCCATATTCAATGAGTCTTTTCCTATAAAACAAACTGCTTGATAATCATAAATTGTGATTTTCTTAAAAACTTTGGCGTTCACAAGATGATGCATTAAAAATCCTCGAATTTCACCAAAAAATTTTCCAGTGTCAGAAATTTCTGGAGATACTATTACGTATCCATTTTCATCCAAAACGAAGCATTCAAAATCATCTGAAGCACAATTTGAACAAGAAGCATCCACACAGTTGCTTGTAATATTCTTGAAAAGTGTATACATTGCAGAATGTTTAAACTGGAATCCAACAACTGCTGCTGGTGCAAATTTATTATTTTCTTTGTGGAATATAGCATGAGTTGCTGTCACTAATGTATCATTTCGGTGAGCAGCATCAAAGGGAACTGCATAGACAAAACTGTTTTGCTCGATAAAGTGTTGTTCGACTGCTCTTCGATACCAGATTTCATCAATCGATTTCTTATTAGTTTCACTAAATTCGTTCCTTAAAATAAAACATAGTCACCCAAGAGGCGGTTATTTCTTGTCAAAAATTCATACTCTGGTTTTACTTCATCACTAAATGTGCTGTATTCTTGCCATTTTAGGAGGCCACTATGAGTCGCTAAGAATGAAACACTGACACCAAACCTTTGCTTGAACTCATTTCTGAAATAAATAACGAAATTTGAGTTATTTTCCTGTAAAATAACGATGATTATCAGGACTGACTTGTAATTTTATTACTTAGATATAATTTGAAATTATTAGTTCATATAAGGATATTAGGAGAAATTGAGGAAAATAAAATTGCGGCAGCCAAAATCTGTTCAATTATTTCTTTTTAAGAGCGAAAAACTCCAAGAAAAGCTTTTGTATTTGGGTGTATAATTAATTAAGAACTAAAAACTTCAAACACATAAGCTTAAATTGCAACTTGATCGTTCTATCAAAAAAATAATTGAATTAGAAGAAATTTAATTTTCCGCAAAATTCTCCTAATATCGTTCATCAAGTATCAGAGCGCAAAACAATCTCAAGAGTATAGGAATATAAAATTGAATCACTTTTTGAAAACAAACGGATAGACAGTTTAAAACACGCTTAATAAATGTCTAATTAGGCATTTGATTTGTTAATAACTCAATATATTGAAAAAAATGTTACGGACAGAGTAGGGATCCTCACTTCCCCTACTGCTAGATATTTGGTCGAAGTGATACTTTTAGTGCTGACAGCGCAATGTTCTTGCTACTTTAGTAGTGCAAAATCTAGTTCTTTTTCTTTCACACTTTTAATGTTATTGAAGTAAAATTTAAAATTTTATAAAATAAGTACAATAATATAATCTAAATATAAAATAAAATCAAATTATTAAAACTTCTGTATTAGATTCAGAAGATTCAATCTTTGCTCTTGATAATAAAATATAGCAAATTAGAAAAGACTAAGTTTTCCATATTGAACATTTTGTTAGCAATTTTCAAATATGATTACGAATAATTTAAATCATTTGTGTTTTTAAGTAATCAATTATTTACTTCGTAATTTTTAATTATTGCTTTTAACTTTTTTGTCTATTAATTAAATGCTATTATGACAATTTTGGAAAAAAATTAATTCCGATATCTGATGATACATATTACCATGTGTACGGTCGTCATTATAATTTAATAAATATGAAGCGACTTTTATATGATCATAATATTTTCAGGGTTACCTTGGTAGTTTACCAATCAAGAGAGCTAAAGGGCTATTTCTAGAAATTGTAAAATATTACAAACATTATCAAAAAAAAATTTTTTTCGAGATAAGATATTAAATTTGAATTTGAAAAAAATAATAATTTGTTACAGAATCTTTTTCACAAACTGAAATCAAAAGTATAAAATTCCTGAACATTTACCCTTTTTCTGTAAGTCCTGTACTCGTATTTTTTGTAAACCATTCAGTTATTTTTGCATCGTACACTAATGACTGCACTAAATTTCTATCGCAATAATAGGAATCTTTATCTGATAGAAATTTTCCTGTCGTGTTATTAGCTAAAATTAAGATTTGATTGTAAAGGGTTATTTAAAGACAAAAAAAAAATCTTACTATAGATGTTTAAATGTTCTGGTGGTGGTGGACTTCTATTCAGCGGCCATCTCCATCCCGGTTGTCTCATACGCTCTAAAAAATAAAGCAGTTCTGCTTCGGGCGATGAGTATGTATCATTGCTATGTTTACAATACATCCTGTAAAATATAAAGAAATATCTTTTAAAAACGTCTTTTGAATATAGAAGATGCATGTGATGTACCAATCGGGATGGACTTTCCAATTAGAACTGCTGAAGAAGTTCAAAACATTTGTTCCTTTCGCATTGATGCGGTGTATTTCGTCTTCACTGCGAGTTTGTATTCTATATTGTCCATATTGTTCAGGATAAGTAACAACTAATGTAAAGGGGGTGTCTTTGATTTCTGTCCAATAATAATAACGTCTCATTCTTGAAGCACGACGCTACGTTAACAAAAACGATAATATTAGATCTTTATTGAAAACCAAAAAGCTTATATTTCAAACTTACCATTTTGTCGTAATGATATTTTTGAAATATGAATCGACTTCCAGTTGACTGATTTATAATAGCTTCACGCAACTTAAATGTATAAATAGAAATAAATTCGATGTAACTATTAAAAAATCTCAAGTTATTGTCTTGTTAGACAACATATCGAAAAATGGATTTTTTTTTGTTAAAAATAAAGAACAATAAAATAATAAATGTAATGTCCATAATTAATTCGCACCACAATTGATCTATAACTAAATTCGATGTTTTACTCTGATTCTGTTTGAACTTACTTGAATGATATTGGAATGAAAATCTCTTGGTTCATGGTCGTCGTCCATCAATTCCACTTCAATCATATCAACTGCATTATATGCTGGCTTTAAAATATCTTTATAAAACTTATACCGAAAAAAAAATTAATATCATCTACATAAATACGAATGGTTTAAAAAACCATAATTTAAGTTATGCTTACAACTGGACGAAAGTCTGGGTGAATAAGAAGAAATCCGTTGTTATCAACAATGAAAGCATATCCACCGACACCTAACTGTTAAAAATAATATTATTTTTAGACTACCTAAGTAATTATAAATAAGAATAAGTTTAAATATTTACCAAAAATGGTTGCATTAATTTCTTAATATCCTCCACAGGAATATCAGCTCCGGCAACTCCCAATAGATTAGCAATTTGTGCCTTTTGAAAATAAATGATGTTTATAAACGTTGTTAGTATTTAGAAAATAATTGATAGTGTCAATTTGAAAATAGTTGATAAATATTGTGAAACAATTACACAGATGTTGTTCCTATTTATTAAACATGTCTTCAAACTGTAATAATTTTCTATTTATTAAGTAGTAATCTCAAGTAGTAAGGGGCTGTTCGTTTAAATGAGAGAAAAGCGTAAGTTAACAAGCTTACATTGGCGTTTCGGATACATTTATTATTAAAAGATACTTAAATGTGTCTAAAAGAACCAATAAGAGATTTTTAGTACATTGAAACTTTTTATTATGCTTAAGTATGACATTGTTTGAAAAAGAGATTCTCTTATATTTTTTCCTTTATTTTCATCATAAAAAATATCTGTCTCTTGATAATACTGGAGCAATATTTTCTCCTTTATAGTACGTAGAAATATTCACATGAAATATTTTGAATTTCGGAGTTATTTATTTAATAACGCCGATTATGAAGTTCACAATTAACGATTGTTTAGGTACTGAATATACAAATGATAAGAAAAATGTATTAAATCAACCACTTTTATTTGTATATTGTAATCTGGATATCTACTCTACTTTTCTAAAAACTTTTTTAACTTGAAAAGAAAATAATGGCTATCAGTCAATTTTGTCTTCTGTGTTTTTACTGTTTATTGCAACGTTTCGATGACTTGTTTGTCATCCTCATCAGGCTTAAACAGTACAAAATCGCCAATGTTAATGTTTAACATTTAAAAGGTAAAATAGCGAAGAAAATCGTATTTGAAATTTTCAAAATTAAATGCTACCACAATAATTCATTTATTTTATTTTAAAAAAAATCAGTTCTATTTCAAGCTATAAAATAAAATATGGTACAAATTGATTTTTAATTACCTAACTTATTTTCTTATATTGTAAATTCTATGTTCCTTTTAAAACCCTTTTAACGCAGGCACTATTTTTAATAATCTACCTAAATATTTTTTAAATTCCTTCCTATCACAATTCTATGTTTAAATTGTCATTTAAATGTTATTTTCATGAAAATCATTTTTATATTTTATAAATATTTTCATGTTATTTATCTAGCAACTACCAAGATGTGTATTAGGTATAGCATACTCAAAAACGTAAACATCTCTTCTAGCCATTGATTCTTTGATGAAAATCTCACTATATGATTGTTTAGGTCATATCTATTATTTCGTAATAAATTTATCATTTTACGATACCTCATGGGTAATTGTAATCCATGTTGCTTCATTTAATAAAATTTCTTCGGTAAAATTCTATAAAATCATTACAAATGAAATACATTAGTGTAATTTATTTTCTTAGTTTTTAAGTTTTATGGCGAGAACTTAGATAGAATTATTACTTATAATTACATCACCTTTGATAATTAATTTATCTCTCTTTGATTTTTCTTAGAATTTTCTTTGCAAAACCTTGTGTGACTAACCTAAACTTAAACCTGTATATTTAAAGATTAATCACTGAAATATTTCAACTCACCGCATTTTCTCGTTTGTCATACACCGGAATAGAAACTGTCGTCATGAAGTTGAATTTTTTCATTCTTTCATTTTCGTCGTCTTCTATGAAATCATAACCGAGATTTGAAGGATCTTCTGGTAGATTAATGAAATTACGACTCCTTCGATACACCATGAACCTCTCCCTTTGTTTTGCCCTTTCTCGACATTCCCATTCATAGTCGGTCATCTGAGGATCCTAAAAAAGGAAAACAATTCAACATAATTTTTTTTAGATTGTAAACATTCACTATAGACTTGAAATTTCGTCTAATTTCTTCAAATAAATTTAACTTACCACAACATCAGCGTAAAGTTGAGAAAATACAACAGGGTGATGTGTTTTATTCAATACCAATGGTCTTGCAATAACTGGAATATATTGCAAAACATCTTCTCTCACCTCAGCAAATGTACTAAGATGGACATAATAGCCTTGATTGTCACATGCTATTTTCTTTATGTCAGTTACATCAGCAACTTCTCGTCCAATCAAGTATGAAAAAACACGAACTGGGATGTATGGTTTCTCTTGCCAATTCCATGTTTCAAATACTTCATCAATAGGATAAGGAACACCATCAGATATTAACATTATTGCTTGATTACAACAAGCACCAAGCTTTGATTCACGATATTCATGTAATATTTCAAATGCTTTTGTAAGTGCTGCAGTAAAATTTGCTAATTCCGCTGTTTCTATGCTATGCAAAGCTAATTTGAGTTCTCGTATATTTGCCATATTTGCTTGCACTAGTTGATCTCCAAAACATTCGACAACTTCTTTTATATCATCGGAAAACGTAAATATGTTAACAAAATCATTCGATGTCAAAGTATCCAAAATACTTTCAACAACATGTCTTGCAACATCCCTTCGCTGTCCGGTCATGGAACCTGAATTATCAATAAGGATTACGATATCTTTTGGGCTGTTTGCTGCTTGTATATACCATGAACGTAAGCGACAGTCATATAAATCAACCGGATCCATTTTCCATTTAGTAGCAGGAAATTGACGAAGAAATCCTGAAGAACTGCAGAAATATTGCCAGAACAGTGATGGATCATGTCGGTAATTACTATCAAAAATATTGTTGAGCATCTCCGACCATTTGATAGCTTTAATTACATCTTTTGCACGATCGTAAACGTTTGCAGGCACGTGTACTGAACTAACGGAAATGTTCACGTAGTCACCAAACTTTTCACTTTCGGTTAAATGAATGACGGGTTTAGGGAATTCAGCTCCATCGGTTTCTTCGTCACTATCTAAAAACGTTGGCAGTTCAGTTGCGGGAACCTCATTAGGTTCTATCATTTCTTTTGAATTGAAATAAGTAAAATTTTTTTCCACAATCTCATCGTTTTCCGCAGCATTAGACCAACTTTCCTGAGCTGCATCAACAACTCTTCTCACAGCACTTATTCTGGCATCCATCATAAACTTGATCTCCTTAGCTATATCTTCGACAATTTTAGATCCGGACCGACTGACTATTTGCGACTGCTTAAAACTTTCCATTACATCTTTCCTTCTAGTTATGAAGTCACCTGAAAAACCATGGAAGTTTTTAATATTTTAGATAGAGTGCTTTAGGAAATTAAAGCAAACATCAATAACTATCAATACCTAAATTCCAAAGTTCTATTCCAAATTTTTCTGCCCACTGCTGAGCTCTGAAATAATAATACTCATAAATTGATTATTTTATATTTAATTTCTTGTAACATATGAACATTACGTAGAATATTTGATGACTTTTGGTTCATCAGCGCCAATTATTTTTGATTGAATTAAATACATGAAAACTATTAAAGTACACTTCATATTACACATCTTTTCCTTTTTATTTTATGTTATTGTAATATTTTAGATATTTTAAATTGCATAACGAAATTCTATGCTTAAATTTACAATCCACAATGATTTGTAAAAATTTTAGAACAGAAAATTTTCTTCATAGGGAAAATCAATAATGAAAATCTATGAATAAGGCTCGAGTTGTATCATGCTCAATTTTTTTTGCTTTTGCGCAGTTCAAGTAAATTTATTATGCACGTGGATTTTATTAGTACCATGTGTTTCCATACACGTGTAAACTGCAACAGTTGGAAATCAACATCTGTAATTTTAACATAGGTTTTAAAGCGAAACATCATATTATCACAGGCTTCAGAGTCTCCCAATGTGTGATTTCATTTTTGGTCAATGTGACTTGCTTTCATTGTTTTATTTTTATTTTTATATGATTTAAATTCGTTTTTATAACTTTGGTCAACATTGTCATACCTAAATATCTGAGAGAATGAAAGAGTTAGGTTCTGAATATCACTTTTTTTTTGATATTTCTTTCATAATAAAGAGACAAACTGAATCATTATTTGTGTCATTTCTTATGTCGTACTCAATTTGAGGTTTAATTTGCATGAAAGGGTGAGATGTCATTTGTAACATAGTTTTTTTTTCTTGCTTATTGTTCAAAAACTTAACAGCTTAAGCATAAATATGATTCTGAGGATTCCTGTCACATACCTAATTGGATTAAGAACTGGAGCTTCAAATCAAAATCGTGTTTTGAGTACTAACTTTTTTTTTGGCTTTTTTGATTAGTCAATATTGCTATCTACAGGTTTGTAATTTATGTTTGCTCGTCTTACACGTTTTTGCATCGGGTCAAAATTTTTATGACAATCTTTTCTTTCAGCATCAGTTTTCCTAACTCTTTTTTTCCTTTAGTTGTGAATGACTCAGTTGTGAAGGATTTTTTTTATTTTATTTTTAAAAGAATATTACCTATTTGATCGTTTTATAAACAAAACAGATCCATCATACAAGGGTTGATTTTCTTAATTTAAGAGTGATGGATTTTATTATTTGTAAAAAGTGACTTGGTGACAGTAAACAATAGGAAATCATAATACACGTTGTATCGAACCACAATTTTAAGAGGTTAATTTGAAGTAGACTGTCTTTTAATCACTTTAATCTTTAATAATAATTTACAAGATAAAGTCAAAATTAACGAACGTTAGACAAATTTGAAGTTTCATTAGCATAAAGAAATTTTGAGAGGGGCTCACAATTGAGAATTGAGAAAGCGAAGAGGCAAAACTTTTTTGAGGCAAACTAAACTCACGGTCGCGATCATTGTTGTATCTAGTTTTTAAAGAGATATAAATTAAAACTTTCCTTCAAATTAAATTAAACGTATTTAAAAGAACTGCAAACATTTGAAGTTAGTTAACAAACAAAAGAATAACTTGAAGTAAATTGAATTTCACAATAAAAATTGAGAAGTCATTTTTTGCCGATTATTTTGCATCATATTTTGCTTCTTTCCATTTTGCAAGTCATTTGCTTCATGTATAACACGTACTTGCTCAGAATTTCATAATTAAATATATACTTTTTTTAGCCTTTCCATCAAATTAATAACATAACTGATTAAAAAGTGCAATGGCTGAACCTAAAGGGTAAGCATTACAAAAGAAAAAAAAATGAAATCTATACTATTTCATTGATTGTGCACAATTGGATAATCTTATGTTATTTCATTTCAACAAATTTTCCTCCATTGTTTCCATTAGAAATGAAGATTTAGCAACTGCAATTTTGAAAAGGAAAGATCGTCCAAATCGTCTTCTTGTCGATGATGCAACAAACGATGATAACTCAATCGTTTGTCTGTCACAAGCTAAAATGGATGAATTGCAGTTATTCCGTGGAGATACGGTGCTTTTGAAAGGAAAACGTCGTAAGGAAACTGTTTGCATTGTTTTATCTGATGAAACATGCCCGAACGAAAAAATTCGGATGAATCGCGTAGTTCGAAATAATCTACGAGTTCGTTTGTCTGATGTTGTTTCAATTCAATCATGTCCGGATGTTAAATATGGTAAAAGGATTCACATCTTACCTATTGACGATACGGTTGAAGGATTGACTGGGTAAAATAAAATTAAGATGGTTGATTACCGAGAATTTGATATTTTTTTTATTTTGCATAAATAGGAGTCTTTTTGACGTTTACTTGAAACCGTATTTCCTGGAGGCTTACCGCCCAATTCATAAAGACGACACTTTTATCGTTCGAGGAGGTAAGTTATACTCAACAAAATTTTACTAATATTCCTTTGTTGCTACCTATAGCTATATAAAATTGAATTTATAATTTCAGGTATGAGAGCCGTAGAATTCAAAGTGGTCGGGACTGAACCTGAACCTTATTGTATCGTGGCACCTGATACTGTTATTCATTGCGAAGGTGATCCTATAAAGCGAGAAGTGAGTATCATCTTAAGAGTTCATTGACTTCTTAGATTATATTTTTTCAATATTATTTTATGTGTTTTTTAGGAAGAAGAAGAAGCTCTTAATGCTGTAGGCTATGACGACATTGGCGGATGTCGTAAACAGTTGGCTCAAATTAAAGAAATGGTTGAATTACCGCTTCGTCATCCTTCTTTGTTTAAAGCAATTGGTGTAAAGCCTCCTCGTGGTATATTGTTATATGGACCAGTATGTTATACATTTATTTATATTATAATAGTGATAATACATATAATTTACATATTTTCTCCAACGCCAATGTAGCCTGGAACTGGAAAAACTTTAATTGCTCGTGCTGTTGCTAACGAAACGGGAGCTTTCTTCTTTCTTATTAATGGTCCTGAAATTATGTCGAAGTTAGCTGGCGAATCTGAATCGAACTTGCGAAAAGCTTTTGAAGAAGCTGATAAGAATTCTCCAGCAATTATTTTCATTGATGAATTGGATGCAATCGCGCCGAAACGTGAAAAGACTCATGGTGAAGTTGAGCGTCGCATCGTGTCTCAACTTTTAACTTTGATGGATGGCATGAAAAAGAGTTCACATGTTATTGTTATGGCCGCTACTAATCGTCCTAATAGCATTGATCCCGCTCTTCGACGCTTTGGACGTTTTGATCGGGAAATTGACATTGGCATTCCGGACGCAACAGGAAGGTTGGAAGTTTTGCGTATTCATTCGAAAAATATGAAGCTTGCTGATGATGTCGATCTCGAACAGATTGCAGCTGAATCACATGGTCATGTCGGTGCTGATTTGGCTTCATTATGCTCAGAAGCTGCTTTACAACAAATTCGTGAAAAAATGGATTTGATTGATTTAGAAGATGATCAAATCGATGCTGATGTTTTGAATTCGCTTGCTGTTTCAATGGAGAATTTCCGCTATGCGATGACGAAATCAAGTCCATCAGCATTACGAGAAACTGTTGTCGAAGTTCCAACTACAACTTGGTCCGATATTGGAGGATTGCAGAATGTTAAGCGGGAATTGCAAGAATTGGTTCAGTATCCAGTCGAACATCCCGATAAGTTCTTGAAATTTGGCATGCAGCCATCTCGTGGTGTTTTGTTTTACGGCCCACCTGGTTGTGGTAAAACATTGTTAGCTAAAGCAATCGCCAATGAATGTCAGGCCAACTTCATATCCGTTAAGGGTCCCGAGCTATTAACAATGTGGTTTGGTGAATCTGAGGCAAATGTTCGTGATATATTTGACAAAGCTCGTTCAGCATCGCCTTGTGTTCTATTTTTCGATGAACTGGACAGTATCGCAAAATCTCGTGGTGGAAACGTAGGAGATGCTGGTGGTGCAGCAGATCGTGTCATCAATCAGATTCTCACTGAAATGGATGGAATGGGAGCAAAAAAAAATGTTTTCATTATTGGCGCTACTAATCGTCCTGACATTATAGATCCAGCAATTTTACGTCCAGGACGCTTGGATCAATTGATTTATATTCCTTTACCAGATGAAAAGTCACGTGAAGCTATTTTGAAAGCTAATTTACGTAAGAGTCCGATTGCAGCTGATCTCGACTTACTTTATATTGCTAAGGTCACAAAAGGTCTGATTTATATTTTTTGTAAATTGATTATGTTTATAAAAATATTTTCATTCCTTAAGGTTTTTCTGGAGCTGATTTAACTGAAATTTGTCAACGTGCATGTAAACTTGCAATTCGTCAATCAATTGAAATTGAAATTCGCCGCGAGAAACAAAGAGCCGAAAATCAGAACACAGCAATGGAAGTTAGTATTAGAACTTGTTTTTTTCCCAATCTTTATTATTATAACTTTGTTTTTCTTAAAGATGGATGAAGATGATCCTGTTCCAGAAATCACACGCTCTCATTTTGAAGAAGCAATGAAGTATGCTCGACGTTCTGTTCCCGATAATGACATTCGCAAATATGAAATGTTCGCTCAAACATTGCAGCAGTCTCGAGGTTTTGGCAACAATTTCAGATTCCCAGGCTCGACTGGTGGACAACAGAATCCAAGCTCAGGAAATCAGCCGGAAAACACAGATAACAACAATGATGATGATCTTTACAGTTAAATTATAAGCTTGAATATCGGTAGAGGAGAAGTCTAGTTCGAAAATTTCCATTTTTACCCGCATTCAACTTCTACAAAGCACTCTCCTCCCGTATCCATTTTATTATTATTTTTTAATTTAAATATCCCTCATTTGTTTTCAAACTACATTTTCTTTTGCTATTTTAGGGAATTTTTCTTTTGTTTTCTGAGAAACTTAAAATAGAGAGGTAAACGACAAATTTGCATATGTGCATTCTCGGATGAAAAAATATAAAAGGAAATAAAATTAATTGGAGATAAACTCAAGCTTTTTTGTGTTATATTTGGAAATTTACAAGACTCAAAATTTGTTTCACGATAAATAAGCATTTCTTTGAATTTTAAAAGGATGTTTTATTCCAAAAAAAAAGGGAATCTTTTTCAGTGTATTCATACAATTTTTTATTCCAATTTTGTATTACTAACTAACAATATCATGACATCGATTATATTTGGAAGACTCAATAAAAGCAAATTTTTTAATTTAAAAAATAAGAATAAAGTGAGAATCCTTATGTGCGTGTAGCTTCTTCTCAAATGTTTGCGTTCTCCCCAGCAGAATGTCTTTCGTAGCTTTTTACATTGTATTTGATATCCCTTTCAAAACTTTTCGAAACTTATCTAAAAAGATGTTTGCATGCTTCTCTTCGAAGATTAAAGCTGGTCGAAAGCGAATGGAAACCTAGTAAAATGAAGAACATATTAAATATATACATTATATTGTTCATGTGAAGATAAGAAAATGTTTTACTACTTTTAACTTAACGTCAATGTTTTAAACTTAATTGAAAAGCTTGAGTTTTCACTTATAACAGAAAGCATTCTCTTATTTTTACATGAAAACTCCCAAAACGTTTTTAAATACTACAGTATTAATACACGTAATAAATGAATTGTGTACCTCGCCACATCCACCTGATTGAACTCCTTTTTGTTTTAAGCCAGCTACAATATTATCTCTGGTTTTGGAATTCTTTGCGTTAATAGCAAGAAAAGTTCCGCGACCACGTGTTGAGTTTAAAATATATGGAAATTCGTTCTCGATTTCAAAAAGTCCACTTTTTAAAACTTTTCCAGCTTTGTTGACGTTTTCAAGGAGATTGTCGCGTTTTATGACATTAAGAACAGCTTCAAGAAGTAAAACCTTTCCCGGATCTCCACACCATGTGTTGAATACTCTGTATTCAATATTTGGTTTAAAATCAAGAGAGTGAAAATAACCGCCAAGCTGCATTTTCTTGGAGAATGTTACAATATCAGGTGGCCCATCGAGATTAAACCACTCGTGAGCCCAGAATTTCCCCGTCGGTCCTCCACCAGTTTGGACTTCGTCAATCAACAGAGCTATACTGTTACGACGAGTAATTCTTTGTAATTCTTGAAAGAACTCTGGTGAAGCTTCATTATCGCCTCCTTCAGATTGGATAGGTTCTACGATGATTCCAGCAACATCATGATCAGCTTTTTTCCATTTTTCAATTAAACCTTCAACTTCGGAAAGACATTTTTTATCTTCTTCCTGGTTTGCAAGAATATTTTCTTGCAAAGGGTATTTGTAAACAGGGAAGCGAGCGATTGGCCAATCAAAGGCGGGAACGTCAACTTTATGAATGTACTTAGAGTGAGTTGTAGAAAGTGCCCCAATCGTTCGTCCATGAAAACCACCATGAAACGAAAGAATTGAAAGTTTGGGTGAACCTGGAGGCAAATTGATCATACAGGAAGTCATTTCAGCTTCTGTGAAGTTCGTTTTAGCTCCACGTCTTTTTTGACAATACCACAAGAAAATATTTTTGAATGCATTTTCATTTGAACAACTTCCACACATCATTGTAGTGATACATGGCAATCCTTTAGGTGCAACTGGCATAAGAACGTTGTATAGTTTATCAGGCCAATCTTTTCCAGGGAAAACTCCGAGAGCTGGTCGATTTATAAGAGTTTTTAAATTAGTTTCAGATTCAAACACTTTCAGCATGTCAGGATGGTTATAGCCTAGTGGCATACTTGAAATTTGAGTGTAGATATCTAGAGATGAAAAAATGAAAGGATGAAAAGTTTTACAAACATTCAAAAATTCTTACCAAGTAATTGATTGCCATCGACATCTACCAAATAATTGCCGATACTTTTATTATAATCAGCAAATAATTGCACTGAGCCGGCTTGCTTAAATGATTAAAGAAAAGAAACAATAAACTTTTCTTTCGGGACATTTTACTTGCATGGTCTTTGACCGTTAAATTGATATTTCTTTATACAAAGAACAAAATTTCGTCATATTATTCCTGCGATCACGACTTTTTCCACGTCTGTACTCACAATGTTGTCATAAAGAAAACAATTATTAGTCAGAGACGTTTTCGTTTTATATTCATACATAATCATACATCAGTATAAGTACACATCACATATTAAAGTGATGAATAAATTGATAATGAAAATACTATGTAGGTGATACTGCATCACATAACATAAAAATTAATCAAAATTCATTATTTCGTATAGGTTGAATGTATTCTTTTATCTTTTAATATTTACTTGAATTTCACTGAGACTGCTGAGAAGATCTTTTGAGAGTGGTCCCGGGATCTTGGTGCGAACTGTTGGTGATACTGGTTCATTTTTTATGTAAGAACTGTATAAGCATCTCGATTCAGAAACTGTTTGAATAATAGACATTTATTTGCTATTACATTCAAAATCTAATCCACTCTTAAATGCTCACCCAAGATACTTCGTTTTCTTAAAACTTTTCTTAACATAATTACAATTTTTCTCTTTACAAATGTTTCTCAAGAAAAAAAATCAATTATTAAGAAAACAAGCGCACAATAAAATCCACTCCACACTAGACTTTATTCAATCACGTTTATAATTTCTAAGGGGGTTCACTTTGAATTGTCTATTAAGATCAATTTATTTTAATTCAGAATTTAAATGAACCAAATTTTTTTTGTGCTGTCTCACTTGCTTTACTTCAGAATGTTGAATGAATGCTATCAGTCGTTTTCATCCCCGATGTAACTGTTTTTGAATCTCATCCACCAACACATATTTAAACGTTGTCATATGATAGTAACAGTAAAAATGCGCATGCTTCTTGGTAACAACGTAAAATAAAACAAAAACATTTTCATGCTTTCGAGTTCCTACCGTGTTTTGATCGTGATAAAACCTGTGAACATTATTTTTTTTGATAGAAATATTATGACGCATCACAAAAACAAATCTTCAGTTCAAAAACCATCTGACAATTTTTATTAAAGAGAACTTATTTTATTCAATGTACATTAAATAGATGTAAATTTGAACACAACCTTTTAACCATCATCCCACGCTACATTTAATGCTTTTGGCAAATGTGTATGTTTTATTTCATTAAATACCATTTCTTGTGTCATTTTACAACGTATGTAGGTACAAACTGAGAGCGAAAGATTCATTGCGTTTATATTTGTTTTTAGAAATCATAATCTTATCTTGGACGAAGCTCGAAAGATACTAATTTAATTAAAAGATACAAGTATTAGTATATTATCTTAAATGAATTTAATAAATACCTAAGTAAAAAATGAAAAGAAAAAGAATTGACTTAAAAACTATTGATTAAATTACATACATAAGATAATAAGACAAGTATATAAACCAATAATTTGTTTATAAAATATTTGAATTTGAGTTATTAATCTCATTGAGCTTTTGTGAAATTCCTTTCCATATCCTGGCGAGATTTAAAGAAACCTCTTTCTGTCTTACATTCACGAATGGTCACTGTTTCCAAGTTTACTGTTACGTCGGTGATAAAAATTTGATTTGAAGTTGATTGAGCTTTTGGCAGCCACAGTTTTGGATGAGCTGACTTCGGAGATGTTAACAGTTTTACATTGCTGTTTGTCATGAGATTAGTGAACTTGTTTTCTTTTGAACTGTTCTTATTCTCTGGAGAAGATGACACAAGTTTTTCAGGTGTGTTTGGTTCTTCTGTTTTCACGGTATTCTTGTTTTCATAAATCTTTGTTGGAGGAGAATTTTTTTTCGCAGGGATAGTTGGGACTACAGTTGAAATTGTTTCAATAGTACTTTTAGAAGAATCCTGTTCTTCTTCCTTTGTGTATGGTAGAGCAGCCGTAATTTTCTTTTCATTTTTCAATTTTGGAGAGAGTAAAGGATTTGTGATGGTTGTTTTCTTTATTGTGATTCCAATCTTTCCAGATTCTTTCGATAAAACTTCAGCCTTTCTTTTTGCTCCTATCAAATCTTTACTAACAATGGGCTGATCATCACTACTGCTACTTGACACTCCATCATCAACTTGTTCTACTTCTGTCGGAATCATAAGTTTTGGAATAGGGCCTGCTGCACTCGAAACAGGAGATGCTTTTTCTGGAGTATTTGAAGATGATAAGCTTGTTGTAGGAATTGTTATCATAATTTTTGGACTAGAAATTACATCTTTCTTAACAATCTCAGGTTTTTTGATAGTTTCAGGTTTCCTTGGAACTTCTTTTATTCTCAACTTCTCTTTCTTAACGGGAGGTTCCCTTTCAGTAATATCCACTTGTGATGATTCTTCTTCAGATTCACTTGTTTCAAGAATTCTCTTTTTACCCAACTTTTTTGGCGTCGAACAACTGTTTGGGGATCCTTCGAAAATGTTGAGCAGTATTGGATCAAGTATATTTTCCTCTGGTTCCCAAGTATTATGACGCTGCGACCAGCCTTTCCATTTCACTAAGTACTCTGTCTTGCCCTTAAATATAGATAATAATAAATTTAAAAAACTCCTGTGATAACTTTTTTATAGTTTTGAAAAAGAAGCTTCATATTTTTGTATCTGTTTTTTTTTAAATTATATTTATCATTCTTACCTTTCTTGTTCTCTTTTTAAGAATTTTTTCTGCAGCATAAACACGATCATCAGAATTTTCCATTTCCATTGTATATAATCTCTGATTTAAATTATGGCTGAATATCTGTTTTTAAGTGGTTTTTTGTAGGTAAATAAGTTTCCAAAATAAAATTGACGCGAAAGTCGACTTCGAAAAATATATATTCGGAATTGCTTTTAGACAAAAATTCAATTCTGCATTGAACGTTAATAGAAATAAGTTTTAAATATTCATTTTACTCTTAGAAGTAGCTATAATTTATTATATAGGTAATACGTCAAATTTTATTTCTCTAATTTTAAAGAATTTCATAGCGTTGCGACGGAGAATATATCAGAATGCAATTTATACCAAATTGATGAATTCGTAAATTTTAAGCAAAAGACAGTCGGACAACAATTTCTCATACATTTTTCAATGTTTGCCTATATAAAACCGGCTCTACAGAAGAAAACATTCAGAAAACCTATTTAGAATAATAAAATCTTAACATAATGGCATCAAGTCGATTAGAAAAAATAGGAAATATTTATACGAGGTAAACATTTCAGTATAAATAATTTAACTTTTTGATACCTAATGGAAACTTTTGATTTCAAGAATTCAAGGTTTGTTAAAATCAGGTGCTATGAAGCATGAAGATCGTCCAATATTCTATAATATCTATGAAGCTTTTCCACCCTTAAAAGAACCAAAATATGGAGAACGTCCAGATATGACGATTGCAATAAAACCAATATTTTATAACGAGGATCAGGAGAGAGCGTAAGAATAAGTTCAATTTTGTATTTGACTTTAAATTAATGGATTACTCTTAGGTCGAGAGATAGCTCAAAAATATTGTACAACTTAAATGAAAGTAACAAGAGATTGTCTAAAGTCAATTCCAACAATAATTCTTCTGTACATTTTCAACAAAGGAAAGATGAATCAAAAAACAGACTTTTTGACTTTCAACAGCTTTCGGATCTTAAGGAATAATTTTTTAACACTACCAATTTCATAGTTAGATAATTAGGAAGTACTTTTGGATTTATTAATAAAATCATCTTAGAGAAAAGAAGAATAAACTTGATTAACTAAAAAAAAGGTTTCTTCAGTCCAAAGACATTACACATCCAACGTTAACATATAAAAGCAAGCAACAAAAAATTAAGACAATATTTATATAAAATTGTATTTTAGTCCATATTAAATAAAATTATTTTTCCTATGAATTATGATACAAAAATTGATGAACTTTTTCATATTATAAAGTAGTTATGTCCAGAACTTTAATGTTAATTGAAAAAAATATGAATAATGTTTGATAAACTCGGGTTAAATGTATTTCATTTTGAGAAATTTGTCTTATCATCTAGAAAGGTGTAACTTATAGGGAATCTGAGCCAATACATTTTTTTTTTATTTTAAATATTTGTTAAATCTAATTGATTTCAATGTCTTTATTTTGATTGTAAGTTTATAAAATTTAATGAGAAGTTTATAAAGTAAAAAATGCTACAGCAATGGCAACATCTTCAATCTACATAGCATTAATAACAACAATAAGTTTTATTTGCTTTGCATTAAGTTGCGCTGCAGTGTTTCTACCAGTCTGGGGATATTTTGAAGAAACAAATGGGGGATTTGGCTCTGATCGTGGTTACTTTGGGCCTTGGAAAGTGTGTAAAGAATTAACTTACAATCGAGAAAAGTGTGGGACATCTGAAAATGTATCGCGATTTCGCCCTTCAGGATTTGTTTTTGCTAGTGGAATCATGATTGTTCTTAGTATGATATTGCTATTGCTATATTGCATACTTTCCGTTATTCAAATTGCAGCAATCTCATCTCGCGAGAAAATTTTGATGAGATACAGTTCGCTAGTTACTTCAAAACTTATTCTAGCTATTATTGGAGGTGATTTTCATTTATTTCGTCATTAGGGTAACATTTGAAAGTTTTTTTTTATATTTTCAAAACTTGATAATTATCCAGCTATGTCAACATTGCTTTGCGCTGCAATGTTTGCCGTGCAAACAGACGATCTTAGGCGAGGTTTTGTTGTGTCCCGAGGAGTGTCTTTTTATCTCGTAATCACCTGTCTTGTGATGACTATCCTTCTTACAGTAATGAGTATGTATGATGTTATGTTTTCACGTCGATCTGGTGGTGATCCCACACAAGTTCCTGATGTTAGCGGTGCCAGAGCAATAACTTATGATAATCCTGGTTATAAAGAAGGGGATCACTACAGTAAGTTTCGGACATTCATGAATTATGTATCATATTATTATTATAAAATAAATAACATTATAAATTGTTTGTATCGTAGATAAAGGTATTGCTATGACAGCTTCATCAGGAAAGCCATACGCTGGAAGCTTTGGATCAGTAACTACTACAATGACGTCAGTTTCGAATGGATCTACTATGACAGATGGATCAGTGATAATGACAAGTCGTGGTCCACTTAGGTCTAGCTTAAAAAAACCACGACAAAAACCCCAAACAAATGATTTTGGTATTCAAAATCCAGGTTTCCATGGTGTCAGCAGCTCACCAAATATGGATCGTAAAGGAAGCGTTAAGAAAGTTCGTATTCAAACTCACAGTACTGAAGTTTGAAAATGTTTAATTATCAATCGACAATATAATTATTAAGTGAGTAAGGGCCAATAGGAGAAAAGGAGAATCTAAAAATAATTAGGCCTAAATGATTTTAGGAAAAGAATTCAACTCAGATTGAATAATTTATGCATCAAGTTTTGCACGGCATTATTCGATTGAAAATAGATTAAATTGTTATTAAATCATTTCTATTACACTCCACATTCTTACAAAACGTATATTGCATAGTTGAATTGTTGCGCAAGCAGAAAACGAAAAGATGTTTCCCGAAACTCAATTAATAGACTCAACTCAGTTAATAACTTATAATATTTATGTAAGTCTTGTTCTCGTTTTAGATTCATAGTTTCAAAAGGTCTGGTTTTTATATTTTTATATCTCTCTTTCTCTCTCTACTTCAATGTTAATTCAATTAAGTCATGGAATAGTACCAAATTAGAATAAGGCGTAATACATTCAATATCACCTGTTGACTCTTTCTTACTGTATTTCACTTCATTTGAATCTAGTGTTGTACACGAGAACACAATTTAAAGCATATCAAAATCCGTCCACGATTGATATCAATTTTGTCATTAATCTTTTATATGCATACATATTTAAATATCTAGTTTAGTTTTTATTGTGCCGTCCATTGAGAGATCGCTTCACATTCCGTGGCCGCTCTGTTTTAATATTAAAATTTTAATATGTTCTAAATATTAGTTTCCTTGTTTTTCTTCATGATATTTTCATCTACATAGGTAATCACTTTGATTTAAAAAAATGTGATTAAAATAGTAAACTAATCAATGTGTGTCTTTTGTAAAGAGACCTCAAATTCTAAATATTATTGCACTGAATATTTATCTAATTGTTTTTTTATCTGTCTATTTACTTAAATGTTTTATTAACCTAATTATACAAAAAAATTGTATTAGGTCAAAATTAACACAATGTCAAATTAGGTATTTTTGCTTTTGACATCAAAAAGCAATCGAAATGCCTAATGAATTAAGTCTTAGATATTTTTTTAATCTTGACATAATTACTACCTGACCTTATATTTATATATCTTTTAATAAATGCTTCCACGGAAAATGATAAAAAAAAACATTTTAAACATAAATATTATTTTAGCCTTGTTTATAGTATACAAAGGATATGTGGCCTTGATAGTTTTATTCTTAGAGTCAATGATCTACTTAGTGTTTGTTGAGGATTTGAACCCACACAAGTGTCTTTATTATTATAACCAGATATTTTGCCTACCCAGAGTGTAGAATTATTTCGAAAATTTGGATTTCATTTGAATGTTATATTATTAAGCGGATCTAGATGATATTTAGTTTATATAGAAAGATCAAATTTTATTCGGTAAATACAAATTATAATGCAAATAAAGCAAGAATCGAAACATCCAATAATACTTTTTATCTCTTGAAATATTGAAATATTTATTATTCTTTGTAACGACGATGAAGAAAATAAAACAAAATTATTTTGATAGTTTATTAAAGAAAAATTTTGTGTTGATATTGATAGCCTCTTGTGCGAGATTTAACAGAAAGTGAGTATTACTTATACCTTGACTTACTTATCTGCGTTATGTACAATTATTATTTGAAAAATCATTTATTAATGATGAGAATATGTAGGACAAAATTTCGTTAGGAAAAAATGAAAAATGCCAAACTCATATTTTTAATAACGAAATTTGGTTCTATTATCCTTTAAATTTATTGATATTAATGTAGCAATTGCCTATATCTCAGAAAACGCTTTTTATTGATTTCATAGAAATATTGGTGAAATTTATTTAACTGGATTTAAAAAGTACTGTGGAAACTTATTAATTATTGAGATATATTCAAGTTGTTGCTCATCCTACTGAACAATCACAGCAGAAATTCACTGCTCTCTCCTCCCATATCCACAATTCTTTCAAATCACCGTGTAAACCATCGATTCCAATTTTATTATTTGTATAGACACATTCACCTCGTCTTCGTCTAAGAATTTTGACGGTAAACGATCGTGGTTGACATTTAAAGTGCCCATAAAAACATGTGTGAAGTGTACATTCTACTGTTCGAAGATACCGAGGATAGTAGTCGTAGCCTAGGTCAAGCCATTTTATCTTTGCTTCACATTCCCAAGGCCGTTTAATTTGTTGTTTATATTGTGAAGACTCATTTCGTCTTCTATTATTTGACCTTAGAACCCTTGAGTTATTATTTTCTTTTTGAATCATTTCTTGTTCGTGTACTTTCTTCACTTCGCTTAGATGAAGTACTTCCCAAGCTGGTTTATTACTAATTTCCATTGCATATGTGTTGTCAACATAAAATGGTATAACGTCCTCAGCATCACGTTTTCCTCCATCATTGGTTACTTCAGACTTTTTCTCATTTTCTGGTATCTCAATACTCATATATCTACAATAATTATTTATTTTCATATTCATTAATTTTCTATAGTAATGCATGCTTGAGTTTTACTCATTCAAGCTGATTAAAAATTATTTCCACACATACCTCGAATTAAAAGCAGCACCTAAAATATCATTCAGCACTTGTGTGGGCAGTTCACTACAATTTTTTAATCGATCATCCTCAACATATTTTTCACTTTTAAAATTATGCTTATTATATTTAAATTTATTATGTATGGTTCCTGTTTCAACTTTTACTTTAAATATTAGAATAGCCATAATAATAAATTCTGTTGTATTCATGATGAATTTACTTTTAAATACAAATTACAAATAAGTGACGTCTTAAAAATGCGGCATGATATGAGAGACTGCGTTTAAAATTTCATGACTTATAGTTTAACGTAACTGTGTATACAGATTTCTGTAAAAGAAAGTAAAATGTAACTGAAATAACATAAAAAGGATCGCATTAAGAATACAAACACAAATTTACTTTTCCTACATTTTATGACTTTCGCCTACCATTCTCTTATCTATTTAGGTTCTTTTTGAACAGGTAGTTTCATTTAAAAGGAGTCAATTTTGTATGAATAAATAAAAACTACGTCTTTTGATTTTAAAAATAAAAATGGACATGTGTTTTTTAAGTTCTAAATTTAATAGATACCTAGCTATTTAGAAAAATTATCGTTAAACTTCAGTATTGAAGAAACGCTGATTAGGTGTAGTTAATTCGCAACAGAGACATATCTTCAAGACTCATGTTCATTTAGCATAAAAATATTTTAAGGTAGCATTGTTAGCCATTATTTCATGTGTAGGTAGGTAAATGTTAGATAAGTTGAAGTAAAATTTTATTATCTTCCTACCAATCTCTTGATCCCATTTATTTATGTTGGTTATAACTCTCAAATTGACTCTGCTAGAGTTACATTTAAAGTGAAAGCGCTAAGCTAATGACTCAAGGGGACAAAAAATATTAGTAGGTCGAATGTGTTCTAAAAGAATATTCATCAGCAATTACCTAGTTTGTCGCCATTCCTCTGTATTCTTTTGTTCTACTTAAGAGTAGAAAAGACAAAATTAGCATCCTCAATAATATACGAATATTTTCTATTACCTACTTACATTATTAGTTATTACTCATTGAAATATTCTTTTATTTACATAAATTCAATTACCTTATTAAACTTTTCTTTAATAATATTCCCTTGCCATTGAACAATCATCTTGAATAGTCGCTCGAATAAACCTTCGCTCCAACGAAATTTTTGTGATTGTGGAAGGTGATGCTCGAATGCACCATTTGTTGATAATTTAGGTATTCTTGTTTTATTTTTTATGACGAAAAAGCTAAATTTCTTTAGAATGAATGTATCTACTTCAAATTAAAGAGTTTTTAGTTTTATCAGAATGAAAGTAAACAATATGATCTATTTATCAGTTATTAACATACAAAATTCATGCTTGTGAATAGAATGCAGAAGAATAATGTGAAATTTAATTTAATAGCAAATTTTTAAGAATTTTTCTCGGTGACCATCAATAAGTCTCTCGTTATTTGGCTTAATTTATTTTGAATGTTGTGTTGTTTTTCATTATCAATATGATCTTTAAGCTCTCGAATTTCTCGCTGAATAGTTCCAGTTCTCTCTATGAGTTTTATTAATTCACTGAACTCCGTGTGAAGCGAAATAAGAAGTTTGTAAGTTTTTTTTGAGTACTCATCCTTCGTATTTGTCTGTTGGTAAAAAATACAAGCATTAGAATGATAATTTTAATTTTTGATTTTTTGTAATTAGGTATTACTTTATTCCATATTAAATCTTCAGTTACTGTGAATTGTCGTTGAAGTTGACCTTCAGCTGTATTTATGGCTTTTTGAATCGTTTTAGTATCTTTTAAAATATCGTTTATGCCATGATCTTGTCTTTCTATGTTCTTCACAACATCTAAAATTCTGGAGGTGTATGATGATCGTTCAGTTATTCTTTTTATATGACTTAACTCTGTTTGAAGTGTTTTTTGAATATCCAATTTACATTTTGTATCATTTAAAATTTGTCGTATCTCGCCTTTAACTTTCTTTGTATTTTCGATGATATCCTGTATTTCTTGTAATTTGAACTTGTTTGCAACATTGATAGATTCAAGCTGCTCACACAAAGGCTTTTTATGGAAATCAAACTTTCTTTCGATGGTCTCTCTTTTTCGAATTGCAATGGTTAATTTTTCTCGAAGTGCCTCGATATTTTCATTTGGATTATCTAATAACATTGCTGCTTGCACCTTTAATTTGTTATTTCTTTTCAACTCTTCATGACGTTTTAATTCTCTTTCAATTAACCCCTGATAATTTTCTTTTTCAAATGTTAATTTACGGAATGTTTCTTCTTGAACTTCAATGTCCTGCTGTAATTTCTCAATAGTTTCATTAAAAATTTCTATTTTTGTTTTTGTCGTCGGAGCAGTTGTTTGAGATTTATTTATTTCATTGTTTTCTGTGTCACGTGAAGTTGTAACTGATTTCACTGATGATGGTGATGATGTTGATAAATTCAATGAAGCATTTGGTCGAATGGGTGATGTACGGAATTTTTGGGCGATTGATGAATCATATGACGGATCATATTTCTTTTTGAATACATCTCTATCATGCGTAGCAATAACAGATGCAGCTATTACTGATGTTTGGTGAAAAATGGATAGAGCAAATCTTTGTTGAAACTCTAAATAATCTAGAAATAAAATAATAGATGGTGGATTTAGGTGAAAACAACTTTTATTGTTTTGTTAATTAATAGTTACCGTCATTGCTGTCCATATTATTCAAGTCATTAGGATTTTCTAAGTAAAGAGGATTTACTCTCACGTTTGAAGGCGATTGGAGATACTCAAGAATCCAAGGCATCTTAAAGTCGAAACTTATTTTTCTTAAAATAACATTTTCTATTGTTTTCGCTTCATTTTCTGGCGTTATTTGAATAAATAAATCAGTTTTATTTTCAAATTTAGGTAAATGTTCGATAAGCCACATTAATATACGCCGAAGTTCTATCGGGTTGGAATAAAGAATAGTTTGGTAACCTAAATCACCTTTATATCCTATTAATTTACAACATTTAACAAGTTCAGAAGCTGCTGCAAATCTGAGAGCTACTTGAGTAGGTAAATGACCTGAAATTTCAATATCGGGTTTAATTAGTTTGCACAACTTTCTTAATGCTTCATAAATTTCTTCAGGCGTTAATGATTTAAGATTCACATTATCGTCATAATCACATTCAATATCACGTAGTGATTGAAAGATAATTTTGTCAACTTCATCCATTATAAATGATTTTATTTTATTTACGATATCGTTCAATATTTAGGTATTTTGATTAGAATGTACGTGTACAAGACAGCGTCTCTTATACCAACTTTACACTGTTTTAATGTGCTGTTGTGTGGTTCTTGAGCAGTTGATCATTTTGACTAAATATAGTAAACACGTTTGATATATAAATAGACTTAAGTGTGAAAAATATCAGTAATTGTACTCACTTCAAAGGAAAAAGCACGTTGTTTTACAAAGAAATAAAGAAAGAAATATAATAAAATGGAAAATGAAAATAATGATGAACAAGATGTATTAATAGCAAAAATAATAAGTGGCAGTGGACTGTTCATTGTATCTGTGATATGTGGTATTATTCCATTTAAATTGGCAAAAGTTTTAAAGTGGACCGACCCTGTAATAGGTGAAAATGGAGAAAATAAAACAAATCTAACTGTCACTTTGTTGTTGTCCTTTGGTGGGGGAGTTTTGCTTGCTACAACTTTCCTTCATTTACTTCCTGAAATCAATAGTACAATTACTTGGCTTATGGAAGAGAATATGATACCAAAAGTAGATGTTAGTTTAGGAGAGTTCTTTATGATGGCCGGTTTCTTCATTATATATCTGATTGAAGAGCTTGTTCATAACTACTTGCATAGACATCAGCATAAATTAAGAAAAAAAGGAGAGGAAAGTAGCGAAAGAGATTTAGAAGCTCAAACTTCATTGAATGATGATTTTTTGAGAAATGTTGCAAACAGGAATAGCGTTGTTAGTCTAACAAGCCAAATGTCAAAAATCTCATCAAGCGATATTCCAGCAAAAATGAAGATAGAAAATGATCGAAAAGATGAACATGCGCACGTGCACGATCATGGACATTCACATATTTTTCCACTTCCACATAGTGTTGATGAGGATTCGTTAGTAAGAAGCTTAAGAGGTCTTCTTATAGTTCTCGCGCTGTCAATACATGAACTTTTTGAAGGTTTTGCTGTGGGACTTGAAAAAGATGCAACAGGTGTTTATTTCTTGTTTGCAGCCGTAAGTGCACATAAGTTTGTCATTTCTTTCTGCATTGGCGTTGAATTGATGGTGCAGCGAGTTAAGCTTTCGTTAGCATTTATTTACATTATAATTTATTCTGCTGTCAGTGCGATCGGTAAGAATACTCATTAACTTTCTTAGTACATAATTCGATCATTCAAATCAGCACATTGTTAGACAATATGCTTATTAATTTTTTAATTTATAGGAATCGTTATTGGAGCACTTCTTACTACTGGATCGAACGGTGATAGCTTACAAGTTCCAAATGTCATCTTGCAAGGATTAGCTACTGGTACACTTCTTTACGTTATATTCTTTGAAATTCTCTCGAAAGATAGAACTGGATTACTACCTTATCTTTCTGTACTCGTGGGATTTTTAGTTATGTTTGGTTTACAATATATTGGTGAGTAATAAATTCAGGAAATTATTGCAAAATCGAATATTATCAGATCTAATAGTTTAATAGCATTTTATATAGTTGTATTATTTTAATAATTTTTTACGAGGTTTTAGTAATATTAAAAAGATATACATCTTATAAATTGTAATATTAAGTTTCGGAAAGTAAGATAAGTAACGACATTTCTTACATCAAAAATGTTGCTACTTTTAATCAGTTTTTATAATGATTGATTATACACGTTTAATTTTATCAAGAAACTTAAGTGTTTCTATCGTTACTATATCATTACGTGCAATGATGAACCATTCTTTGATAAATCAAATTAATTATACTTTTCTTTGATTCAATTATATGATAAATTGTTTTTAATAAAAACAAAAGTTTTCTTAAAATTCCGCTTATGAACCTTTATTAAAATGATTTTTTTCTTTGTAATTACAGCTGGGGTTTCTGAAAATCAAAGTCCTGGAGGGAAAATATTGTTTGAAACCATTGAGCATGAGAAACCTTCAGCATTGATTCCACTGTCTTTATGAAACACGTGAATACGAATGCAAGGGATTTTATTTCTAAAATTTTAAGATTTCAATAAACGTTATAAATCTTATTATGAAATCGAAATTTTTAAAATAAATATTTACAATGAGATGGACGACTATTATTCTACTTTCATCCCGACTATGATATCTTTTAATTATGACGAATTATCATAATATTTCTCAAAGCATATCGTCAATCATATCACATATTTTCCAGTTTGAACTTATTATTCTTGAGAAAAGAGTTGTTAGTTTGTATAATTTGTAAAATCGCAATAGCATCGGAATCTAGTTCCAATGCTCTAGGATTGAAATCTCGAAAGAATTTAATATAACGCTTAATCAAGTTGTTTTCGTTGTTGTTTGTGTTACTTTAAATTGAAAATTAAAATATTTGAAAGCTGTAGATGATTTTATTTGTTGTAAGATTGTCATTGGACACTTTTCTCAAGGTATCGAATAACTCTCTTGTTGACATCTTTTGAATATTTTTAATGTTCTCAAATTTTTCTCTTCATAATCCTCTTCACAATTTGAACTTGGTGACATCGTTTGCAATATTAATAAGACCTTAAGAAAACTAGTAAAGTAAAAACTATTATTTCTTCATCTCATTACTCAAATTGACATTTTTTGTATCCTTAGTTAAAAGAAACTTTAAATGTTTGGCTGTTGATGTTTAAGTTAGGTAATACAATTTGTTCAAGAATAGTTATTTATTCGAACTTAAATTTCGTACTTTCACTCAAGTAATGACGAGTTTCAATATAAAGTTTGGAGATCATAGTAATATTTTTGTTATTTCTAATAAGTTATTTGAAGTATGTAGGTACATGTCTGAATAATCGTTGAAATATGAAACTTTAAGAATGTTGAAAGTATGACCACATAATGATTTTAATAGAATTTAAAAATTATTTTAAAGAATATTTTTGCTCACCATGCCTAAAATTCAATTATCTGAAATCTCTCATTATCTGCCAGATTGTCAACTAGTTTTTTCATTGAAAAATGTTTTCAAAAATTCTTGAAGCTATAATTTTTTTCTAAAAATGATTGAAAAACTTTTCTAATACCTCTTCTATTGCTTGTTTATGTTCATGACATGAAAGAATTCGGAAAACTTCTTTTTTGTTGTCATCAAACAAATAGCCCAACGGAAGCTCATGAAGTATCTTTATAACTTTTTGAGTATTTTTGATAGGATTACTATCAATATATTCCTATAGATTTTCAATGCATGAATCAAATATCGAATGTCTGACTTTGTGACATAATAAATAGCACCAACACCTTTTCTTCAGTAAATAAATGAGAGCCGCGTGTCTGATCTTTTTAATAAAAATTCAACATTTTTTTCTATCTTTGAAGACAGATGAAGAAGATCTTCGCTTAAATACCTAATTTTCCAAATTTACAAATAGATGATTTTTCTGATAAAGTTTAAATATCCATACATTCTGCTATTTACTAGGTATTTATAACTTTTTATTTCTGGAACCGAAGAAACAGCGTTTATACATAGGTAATATTCATATGAACTTAATTTACCTTTCTCAAAATTCATCGCGAAGCTTTGATTAGGAAAACTTTTTGAGTGTTTAATAAATAAAACAACTTCCTTATTAGGTTAATCTATAATTTAGAAATTTCGTAATATTTTTTACAATAAAAACGAAGATGTGCATAAAAACATTATGAGAAGACCTTATCGTGTTTACTGTGGGGACCTAATATCTTGTATTCTGTAAAGAAAAATGGAAAACAGAATGGAATTATTCAAAAATTAAAGAGTAGTTACTCTGTTTATAGACAAAATGGGAAAAATCATTCATATATTTCTCACTTTTTTCAAGAGTTTGGATCCTTTTTATATTTTTAATGTCTTGCTTTATATTATTTCGAAGCATATGCCTAGGTAGTCATGCAAAAGCAATAATAATACCATTAGGCATATATCTATTTTAAGCATTTTTCCCTTTTTCTAATAAGTTTATCAACCAATGTCTCAAGAAAATAAAATAATTTTTTTTCTAAAGTAACAGCAATCAAAATATCGCATTGTTTGATCAACGTATTCTATATACTAGAGATTCGCTAAGTTCTCTACTAGTATATAGAATACGTTGGTTTGATAATATCTACAACGAGAAGAATATTTTTTAAGTTTAAGTTCGTCTTTAATCCAGTTTTGTGTAATTATAAGAGCTGAGCTTTTCACCAAAGCGATATAAAATCGGTGGGGCGCTCTTATAATATCTCATTTGAATCAGTCGTATGACTGATTTAAGAGTCATGTGACTGCCTTGCCAAAGCGAATTAATTATAAAATCGTCTCCAGCGCCCTCTGGTCCCACTTTAGTGAAATACAATGTATAAAAAAAGTTGCAACATGTGAAAATCAACAACTTTTACAAACACACCATGTATCTAAAACTTAAGGTTTAAGCTGTAGTTAAAATTATTCAATTTTGATACATTTTGAAATTTCATTCTAGCGCCCTCTGGTGTCAATGTACTGAAAAACACTATATGAGAAAAAGTTGCAGCATGCATAAGGAAACAACTTCTCCAAACACACCATGCAGCTAAATCTTATAGTTTAAGCTGTAATTAAGTTTTTTCACATTTTCTTTGCTTTTTATATCTATAGCGCCATCTGGTGCCAACCTATTGAAAAATGATGGATCAAAAAAAGTTGCAAAAAGTAGTAAGGAACAACTTTCTCAGTGATACTATGTAGCTTAATCTTATAGTTTGAGTACCACTTTAAAAATCTTTAAAATCAGTAAATTTTGGTAAATTGCCCTTTCAGGGACACGAGAAATCAGTCATATGACCGATTTGAAATGTACATGTAAATTTTGGTTTCTCGGGTCATCGGTCAATGGCTTAATGTTTTCTTTTTAAATTCTTAAAGAATGAAAAATACACAAATTGGTATTTTTCAATCATTTAGTAAATAAAGAAATATACCTACTTCACAAAAATAATAGGGGGCAATTTGCTTCATTGGTCTAAGTGACTAAACCACGGTTTTGTATCGAACGCGTTGCCAACGGCGCGGCCGGTTCGAGACTGGTGGTGGTCATGTAGATCTGAGGTTTTCAGAAGTTTAGATACTTCGCCCCTTAGACAGTTTTGTCTTTAACTAAGTTTTCGCTGGGATGAAAAATAGTGCTGAAATATCTCTTTGTCTCGAATTGTTATTCAATTCGAACAATGAAGATTATATTCAGGCTTAGAATCTCTAGCGGAACGAAGTTGAAGATGAAACACTCTATCGTCAAATGATGGTAAAAACAGCCCAAGGCTACTTTCTAGAAAAGACCTTGGGTGGATGCAAAACGGTCGGTAGTGAATAGTCAGCACAAAATAATTTCAATGAAATTGAGTAATGTTGTCATTTTCACGTGCCACTTATGACCATTGCCCTCAAATGCCTTCGGCATTTGATGGTGGTTCCTATATGGCCAGGATTGGCCTATAGGTGCCTGTCCTTGATCTGATGATGATGATGATGATTCAAAAAAATAAAGAATTATTTAGACATGTCTGACAATTGAAATAACAAAAAGGGATATCTTGAGTAGTGTTAGTGTTGTCATTTGCCACTACTGACAATTGCCCTCAAAAATACCTCGGCATTGCATGGTGGTTTCTATATGGGCCTATCCTTGATCGCATGATGATAATGTCTGACGATTGAAATAACAAAAAGTGATGTGACGAAAAATTTTTTAAGTTAAATGACCCTCTCAGGGTCACGCTACTGCTTCATCTTTTTCATAAGTACCGAAGTACAAAAGTATTATTAAAGCTAAATTTTGAGCGAACTTATATTAAACCTAATGTACACAAAAATATCAATCCGGTGAAAAGTTATCTAGAAATAACTAACTAAATATATTCGACAAGTTATATCATTTTGAGCGGTACTGTAATCCTCCACCGTAATTTATTTGCTTACGATAAAATAGTATTGACTCAGTTTTTACATACTCTATTAAAAATCATTAAATTTTCCATTATTCATTTTATTCCACTGACAAGACTTAAAAACTAATAAAACATATTTGAGCTTCGCGCAAATACTTCAAAGCAAGGTTCACAAAGAGTGTTAATTACTATAATATATTCAGAAATAAATGAAGTTCTCTTAAAGTTATTATTATAGGTATAAAACTAAAGATTTCAACCATTATGCAGCATACACTAAAATACTAAATTATCATTTGAATCTTAGTCAGGAAATTTTAAATTAAATAGAAAAGCACTAGTAAATGTTTATATAAAGAAAGACTTCACACAATATGAAAAATTGAATAAGGAAAATCAATTTCCCGACGACTGGAATCATACCAGTTATCTCCAGTTATCTAGACCAGTAAAAAATATAACTTTTTAAAGATTATACAATATTATTCTAGTTAAAATAATAAATTTTCATATGATACAATTTCTTTTAATTCGTATATCTAATACCTACTTAATACAAATATATAAATGAACAACGCGATGCAAAGCCTTTTGAATATTGTTTAATTTAACAACTTCTAAAAATTCTTGATTAGTTAGAACATAATTCGTTTGACTTGCATACTTCACAAATTTTATTTTATGCATTCATTCATGAATATTTAGATACATAATATCTATCTATAAAGATTCAACAAAAGAGCATAAATCATGAAAAAAAATAAAATTGCTACGCTATCCACCTTGACATGTCATACAATGAACTTTGAATATTTTATTCCAATTCGAATTTAATCAAGCACTATAATACAATGATACCTTCTTATACATGAATATTTTCTACTTAAGTAACAGAAGCAAGTAAATATTAATCGCAGCCAACAGCATTTTCTTCATAAAACATTTATTTCTGTTTAGGTTTAGTGAGATTCAATTACAAGAGAGTAACATTAAAATGTAGTATAATTAACAATTTCTTTGTATTAGCGATGAATGAGCGAGAGAACAGTTGAGAAAGCATATTCTGTTGGAGAATTCTGGGGTCAGTAACTGAGAAGAAAAGAAGAATTAAAATGTGTTTGCATTTGTGTATATATTTAGAGAAATCAATAATTTATCCATGTAAATATACTCAAGTTCATATTATTTCTCAAGTTAATGACTGTGGTACAATTAATCAAATATCTTTGTCTCTTAATGTTAAATTTCCTCTTTTTCTCTCTTCTTTTTTAACATCATCGCTAAATGATCGTTCGTGCTTCGGAAAAAAATGTTCAGTTTCAGATTACGTTGAAACTTCAAACTGTTCGCTTGTAATTTTTACTATTCCCGCGATCCTTAGAATTTAAGTATACCTCAAGAAGAAAATAAGACTTGAAAAGAAAGGTTTTAAAATTTATTGACATATATATCATAAGTGTCATTACACCACCTAAGAAAACAAAGTCAATGTGTTATAAGTTTTTAAAAAAAGAAGAATAAATTATTTACAATAGTAAGTCGTGAGTCAGTTTTTAAAAGAAGTGAGAGAGAAAAATGTGTAACTAAAACCATAGCTCAGGTCNGTATTATTATCGGTAAAAAGATGCAAATAAGTAAATACTTTTAGACTTTAACATATTTCAATATTAACAAACTATGAATAGAAGATTCATTTTACAATAAAATATAAATATGTAAATATAATTCAATTAGTAAGAAAGCAGATTTTGATTCTCACAAAGCGGTAGAAATCATGAAAAACATGCTTCATGAACGCATTTTTACGGTTTACTATTTTTCATTCCGAAAGCCATTAAAATCAAAACAGCGCAAAATAATTTAGGCAAGAAATAGGTAACTTTGGTTTTCTTCATGGTTATTTTCTTGCTTTCACTGTTATATTTTCCAACTTAAGATGATATGAAGACGAGAAAAACTTGCATCGTCAATGTCTTCAAGTTTTATCAGGTTTTTAAACCTTATATTTCTATAATATGTGTAACAGAAAGATTTAAGTTCATTAAAAATTCAGAAATAACTTTGACATTTCTCTTGGAGGATGTTGCAAAGTCGTGACTATTAGCAAACAAACAAAAATTTTTAAAAAAATATTTTACCTTCTGATCAACGCTTTTCATCATACCGTTTTGGTTTATATGAATCAAATCTCAACCTTGGACCTGAGCTATGGTTTTAGTTACACATTTTTCTCTCTCACTTCTTTTAAAAACTGACTCACGACTTACTATTGTAAATAATTTATCGAGATTCTGATGATGATAGCCGATGCGCTATCGAAATGCGCATAAATAAGGTAAACTTAGTTAAAGTAATAAGTAATAAAAGTGTTCGGTATTCGTGTTCAGTGTTTTAGAATTACTTCTATTCATAGTTTGTTAATATTGAAATATGTTAAAGTCTAAAAGTATTTACTTATTTGCATCTTTTTACCGATAATAATACGTAGATGAATGACAGCTGATTGAAAACTATCATCGACTTGCCTGCTCTAAGTGGCAAAGTTCATTTTTTGTTGGAATATATTGTGCTTTGTGAAAACAGTAATAGAATGAAATGTAAGAGTGTTTAATTGAGAACATACAATGTAAAGATAATCGAGACAAGCTTATAAATACATATAAGTGAAGTTTCATTCCGGAGGGATCAAAAAGTTCAAAATGAAAAACTTGATTTTTTCGATTTGGCAAATCTTGAAATTAAGATCAAGGATTGAACCTTTTAAAACACAGAGAGAATCTCATTTATGTCTCACCGATGAAACTTCAGTTAGTTTTAGAACTCCACATATGAGTTCATATGTTTATTTTGATTTTCAATAAATGGATGAAATGAGAAGCAAAACACTGGTATATTACTCAAATAAAATAAAAACAAATAAAATTATTCAAGTGTACATATTTATGTATGCAGACTTATCCTGAAATTTAATAATTTTTGGAAAAGTTGTCAAGTCATTGTTGTTGATTCAATATCCGGTATTCTAACAAGCCATTTTTAATTTATAATCTGAAACCAGTTCTATCATTCGAGTTTTAGATATAATCTTCTTAAAGAATATAAGATGAATTCAAATTTATTTATAAAGCTCTTTTACTTGGAACAATCTAATAAATTATCTTTTGAGGACCTAGACATTGAGTAAAAATTTGCTTTCTTTTGAAATACAGATCGTGAAGGGTTTGTTTCTAGTTTCACGCGTTGAATTTTAAACCCAAATAAAGTTTTAAACAATGTCTAGGACTCCTTCAAAAGTTTTGTCAGCTACCCTAAATAGGCATATGTATTTACACATATTTATAAAAGTTTATATTTTATATAAACAGTGGACTTCTATAATATCACGATAGATGAAGGGAGAGAAAAATAATTGTTGTACCTAATGAGAAAATCGTTCTGTCAATATCAAGAGTCCACGGTAAGTATTTTTGTTACTGAAGATTTAGTAGATAATATTTTTAATTCAATTTATTAAAATACTTTTCTTAATATATTTTCACATTATTTTAATAACTCAATATTAATAAAAATAAGCATAACATAAGCTACGTCTATGTGTGAATAGGCATGCTAGATAACTTTCCCGCTGTTTTCTTTTAAATATTTTAAAACGAAAACATATTTCCACTGAAGAGAAAAAATCACTCGAATCAGCTGATCTCGTTTCATTACACACAATTAAACTTTTTTTTTGAAAAATTATTATTATAAACTGCTTTGCTGAGAAAATTAGGAAAATACGAGCTACAATGAAATATATATACCACTATAGAAATTAATAATTATAAGAAAAAATTAAGGAAAATAAAATTAGATTTGAAAATTCATAAAGATCAATGTGATTACCCGAAATTTCTTGATATTTTCTTATGTTGTGAAGTCTTGACGATCATAATTCGCATACAACATCAGATGGTTGCGATGTTTTAACCAGAATTCTCTTTATTTTAAGTGTGATGACGTTGAGAAAGGTTTAAAACATCAATACATTCAAACTAAAACTTATAACAATAATGAGAGTGAAGAAATAAACTCCACAAACAAGTTAGTGGACGGCAGTGGATCAGTCAACATTTCAGTTTACTTACGACGGGGTCTCAAAATAGTCAGCTCATTGATAGTTATTTCGTTGGCCTCAATTTTCGCTTTGTATATGGATAATCTGATTTATGCCGCTATCAGCTTCTTTGTAGCAATTGTTAGTATTCTCTTCATCACTGGAAAATGGAGATGGTTCTATATCGCTGCTGTTACAGGTCCTCGAGACTTGACGTAAGTTTCATTGAAGACTTTGACCCTTTACCGTTAAATATTTTTTCTTTGTATAAGTACAACATGCACCTCAAACATTATTCTTTTCTTGAAAATTTCATGACACATGGGAATTGAAAAAAATCAGAAAGATAATTATGAAGGAAAATAATTTCATACATAAGTACTCTTTTGAGGCATTGAATTCAAAGATCTCAGATCAATTCTTCGTTTTTCTTTGGCTCTAAAAGTTTATGAAAAAAATGTCAAAAAAGTTAATAGAAAAGAGAAAGTAAACTTTTTCGGAAAAAGTAGAATCTATTCATGCTTCTTGTATTTTTATTTCAACACTCGTCATCAGTTACCAAACTTTAGTTTTTTCAAGGCTAACAAGTTTTTTTCAAATCTTATCTATTGGAAACTTTACAGAAGTAAAAAATCAAAAGAAAATGTTAAACATTTTGGTACATTTCAGAGCTGTGATTCGTTTTATACGACTGTTGCTGTTTGTTAGAAAACTGGGAAGAAAAAATACATCAATTTGTGATCTTTTTGAAGAAAATTGTAAAAAATACCCTAACAAAGCTTGTCTGGTGTTTGAAGGTCGAGAATGGACTTTTAGCGAGGTAAAAAGAAAAAGAAATCATTTTCAATGATCAAGACGATTACTCTTTAAATATGAATTAAATTTATATTTTCAATTCGTTTTAGATAAATGATTTCAAAAATCGAATTGCTAACGTTTTTCATCAACATGGATTTAAACATGGTGATAAAGTTGCTTTACTTATGGAAAATCGACCAGAATTTGTTGCAACATGGCTTGGACTGTCTAAACTTGGTGTTGTAGTACCTCTTATTAATCACAACCTTAAGAAGCAATCTCTCCTCCATTCTATTAATATAGCAGGGTGTAATGGTTTATTATTTGGAGAATCTCTTCTAGAATGTGAGTTTTAAGAATTTCATTATTTTTAGTTAACACATTTTTTAATAAAAAAATATTTTTAGCTGTTGAAGATATTTATAGTCAACTCCCTTCTAATCTTGTTTGCTTTCAATTCAACGATGAAATCAATCTTCCAGTATATAAAAATTCAAAAGATTTGCAGACTTTATTGGCACAAGTATCACCGGATCCACCACCGAATGATAAAATTAAAAAGCCTAGTCATCATGATGAACTTGTTTACATTTATACTTCGGGTACAACTGGACTTCCTAAAGCTGCAGTCATAACACATTCGAGATATATTTACATAGCTTCAGCGATTCACATAGTTGCCGATTTCTGGGATAAAGATGTTTTTTATAGTCCTTTGCCATTATATCACACAGCATGCGGATGCATGGCGATTGGTCAAATGCTTATCTTTGGCTCGACAGTAGTTATCAAAAAGAAGTTTTCCGCTTCAGCTTTCTTTTCCGATTGTGTAAAATATAATGCAACGGTAATTACATATTATACCTACATACATACTTTACATTTAACAACTAAAAGGGGTCAAATAGCCTCATTGGCTTAAGTCGCTTGGAGTCGGGCGTACAATTCATACGTCCCG